TGCAGTTTTTGTCCGCGCTTTTTGAAAACCAGGAACCTCTGAGATTCCTTCATTTTTTTGAATTGCGCGTAGAAAAATGCAGTTTCCCCTTAACAGCGATTTTGCAACTGGATTTTGAAACTATTTTGAAACTAATTTGAAACTACGGAAACGAATTTGAAACTTGAAAAACGCGGCATTTCTGCTCTTTGGCGCTTGGCCACAACCGAGCAAGAGGAGAGCTTCGGCTTGCTGCGAAAAGTACATCTCCGACATTCTTCTCAAAAGCCATTGCAGCAACAGCGCTTGCCAAGGCAGCCACGCAGTCACAAGTCAGTAAATAATCTTGTCCCCAGTTTCCAGACTGTCTGGAAACTGGCAAGTTTTCGGAATAGTTTCAAATTAGTTTCCAATCAGTTTCAAATTAGTTTCAAAATCCAGTTGCAAAATCGCTGTTAAGGGGGAATTGCAGGTTTTGTCCGCGCTTTTTGAAAACCAGGAACCTCTGAGATTCCTTCATTTTTTGAATTGCGCGTAGAAAAATGCAGTTTCCCCTTAACAGCGATTTTGCAACTGGATTTTGAAACTATTTTGAAACTAATTGCGTAGAAAAATGCAGTTTCCCCTCAACAGCCCTCACATACTGCCCTCGCGCGCGGGAAGTTGACTTTGGTCAGCAGTGACTAGAGGCCAGAGTTTCCGAAAACTTGCCAGTTTCCAGACAGTCTGGAAACTGGGGACAAGATTATTTACTGACTTGTGACTGCGTGGCTGCCTTGGCAAGCGCTGTTGCTGCAATGACTTTTCGGAAGAATGTCGGAGATGTACTTTTCGCAGCAAGCCGAAGCTCTCCTCTTGCTCGGTTGTGGCCAAGCGCCTAAGAGCAGAAATGCCGCGTTTTTCAAGTTTCAAATTCGTTTCCGTAGTTTCAAATTAGTTGCAAAATAGTTTCAAAATCCAGTTGCAAAATCGCTGTTAAGGGGAAACTGCTTTTTTCTACATGCAATTCAAAAATGAAGGAATCTCAGAGGTTCCTGGTTTTCAAAAAGCGCGGACAAAAACTGCAATTCCCCCTTAACAGCGATTTTGCAACTGGATTTTGAAACTAATTTGAAACTGATTGGAAACATTTGAAACTTTGGAAACGAATTTGAAACTTGAAAAATACCATATTCCGGACTTTCTGCCCCCATGCTGGCCCCTCACATACGGTCCTCGCGCGCGGGAAGTTGACTTTGGTCAGCAGTGACTAGAGGCCAGAGTTTCCGAAAACTTGCCAGTTTTCCAGACAGTCTGGAAACTGGGGACAAGACTATTTGGCAAGCGCTGTAGCTGCAATGGCTTGACAGTTCTGATTGTTAAGCACGCCTGCAGCGCTACACCAGAGGACCAAGTTCTCTGCTCGGACCACTTGCCAGGAGATGGTTGCATTTGATTGTTGAAGAAGCTGGACTGAGGCTCAGCATGGGGACTGGACCTCTTGTTCAGCCGTGGGGCATCGTTGGACGGAGATTGCGTGTGCGAGGTCGCAACCTGCGCTGTTGCTCCTGAGCAAGTGGCGCACGTTTCCCTCTTGAAGTCGAGTGCCAAATGTGCGGCAATGAATTTCTGCGACCTCTGTGGCACAAGTGTCTCACGCAGAGTGGGCCCTTATTTCTTTGAGCTTAGGTTCCCTTGCAAAGTCCCCTCAAAAAAAGGGGATTGGACCAAGAAGGTGATGTGCCGCAGAAGCTAGATCGCAGAATGGTCTTGTTTCTCTCGGACGATCTGTTTCTGTTTCTTGCTGAACCTTCGAAGCTTTTGCCTCTTGCCTTCAAAGCCTTCGAAGCCTCTTCGCTTTCACCTTTGAAGCCTTCGAAGCTTTTGAAACCATCGCTTCTGCAATTTGGCGCAAAGTCCCCTTCGTTCTCACCCTTCGAAGTCTTCGAAGCTTTGCCCCCCCTTCGTCCTCGCCTTCGAAGTTTTCGAAGCCTTTCGAACCTGGGTTCAATGCAGATTCGAACTCCTTTGCAATCCGAGTTCAACCCAGGTTTGACTTGAATCTAAATTCCACCCCCCTCAAATCTTGTTTTGTTTCATTGTTTGAAAATCAGAGGAGTAGAGACGAGACTGTTTTTGTTTTTTGAAGTAAAGAGCGGGGGGGTTGGGGGGGGGCGCAGCCCCCCCAATTTACTTCTTATAAAGTGGGAGGAAGGGGAGAAGAGAGAAAGGATTATATTTTCGAATTATATAGAGACGAGGCAGTTGGAGGATGGGAGAAGAGAGAATGTGGAGTGGGAAGAAAGGAGAAGAGAGAAGGGAATGTATTTTAAATTCCACCCACCTCAAATCTTTTTTGTTTTGTATTTCATCTTTCGAAAAATTAGAGGAGAAGAGAGAAGGGAATTTATTCTAAATTCCACCCCCCTCTAATCTTCTTTTGTTTTTTTGTATTTCCTTGTTCGAAAAAGCAGAGGAGTAGTGACGAGACGTTTTTTGTTTATAGAAGTAGACTTTATTTTAAATCACAGACGAGGGAGTGGGAGGAAGGGAGAAGCGAGAATGCGGAGTGGGAGGAAGGGAGAAGAGAGAAGGGAATGTATTCCAAATTCCACCCCCCTCGAATCTTGTTTTGTTTTTTGTATTTCATTATTCGAGAAATCAGAGGAGGAGAGAGAAGGGAATTTATTCTAAATTCCACCCCCCCTCGAATCTTCTTTTGTTTTTCGTGTTTCATTCTTCGAAAACTCAGAGGAGAAGGGAGAAGGGAATTTATTCTAAATTCTACCCCCCTCGAATCTTCTTTTGTTTTTTTGTTTCATTATTCGAAGATCAGAGGAGTAGAGACGAGAGTGTTTTTGTTTCTAGAAGTGGAGAGCGGGGGGATTGGGAGGGGCGCAGCCGTTAGACTCTGGATGCCCCCGTCTCTCACCTTCGAAGCCTTCGAAGCCCCCCCCCCTTTCGTCCTCGCTTTCGAAGCCTTCCAAGCCCCCTTCATCCTCACCTTCGAAGCCCCCCCCCCCTCCGTCCTCGCCTTCGAAGCCTTCGAAGCCCCATTCGTCCTCACCCTTCGAAGCCTTCGAAGCCTTCGTCCTCACCCTTCGAAGCCTTCGAAGCCTTCGTCCTCACCCTTCGAAGCCTTCGTCCTCACCTTCGAAGCCTTCGAAGCCTTCAGACCTTCAGCCCCCCCCCTCCCCCCGCCCCTTCGACCCTTCGGCTTCGAAGGCTTCGAAGGCTTCGAAGCCCCCTTCGCCGAAGGGTAACGGGATGCAGCCCCAAGCTCTAGAATCTAGAACCAACCTCCATCCCTGAGCCGAGAGGTTTGGCGTGTAGGGTGAAGATGTCTTGGCACGCAGCATGTTCACTTGGCAAGAGCCAGGAACGTTCTTCCGACACCTCACCGTAAACCCTCAACACTTGGCTCAGTGGTTGTTGGCGTCTTCAATGCTTCTGCGCTGCCCCAAACTCTGAGCCGAGGGGTGCAGGGTGACAGGCAGGTCTGAGAACCTTCACGAAGGGGTCGCTTCAGTTCATTCTCCCCTTCGAAACCTTCAAAGCCTTCCGAAGCCTTCGAAGGCGAAGGGTCGAAGGGGGACTTCGAAGTCCCTTCGCGCTGAAGGTCTGAAGCCCTTCGGCTCATGAGAACGAAGGGGCCTTCGAAGGCTTCAAAGGCTTCGAAGAGAGGACGAAGCCCCTTGGTCCTCACCTTCGAAGCCTTCGAAGCCCCCTCCCCCTTCGTCCTCGCCTTCGAAGCCTTCAAAGCCCCCTTCGTCCTCACCTTCGAAGCCTTTGAAGCCTTCAAAGTTTCCTTCGTCCTTACCCTTGCAAGCCTTCAAAGCCCCCTCCTTCGTCCTCGCCTTCGAAGCCTTGGAAGCCCCTTCGTCTTCACCTTCGAAGCCTTCGAAGCCTCTTCCCGTTCGTCCTTGCCTTCGAATCCTTCGAAGCCTCTTCGCTCTCACCTTTGAAGCCTTCGAAGCTTTGAAACCATCGCTTCTGCAATTTGGGGTTTCGGACCTCAGCTTGGAAGGCTTCGACTGAGAGGCGGTTTTTTTGTTGGAGTTCAGGGAAGAGTTGGAATTGAAGGTTTCTGAGCGTTGACTTGGCTGACTTCGGTGCATGCTCCCCCTTTGGGGCAAGCTTTCCGGGGGGGGGGGTGTGGGGAAGGCGCGTAGCCCTCCCCCCCTTCGAAAAGAGAGAAGAATCGAAGGGGATAGGAGAGAATTATTCTAAATTCCACACCCTCAGTTTCTTGTTGTCCTTCGAAGCCTGTGGAAGAGAAGAGTGAAGAATTATTCTAAATTTCACCCCTTCGTTCTTACCCTTCGAAGCCTTCGAAGCCTTCGTCCTCACCCTTCGAAGCCTTCGAAGCCTTCGAAGCCTTCGAAGCCTTCGAAGCCTTCGAAGCCTTCGTCCTCACCTTCGAACTTTCGAAGCCTTCGAAGCCTTCAGACCTTCAGCCCCCCCGCCTCCCCCCCTCCCCCCCCCCCTTCGACCCTTCGGCTTCGAAGGCTTCGGAGGCTTCGAAGCTCCCTTCGCCGAAGGGTAACGGGATGCAGCTCCCAGGGTGAGGTGTCAGAGGGAATGGTCTTGGCACGCAGCATGTTCACGTGGCATCGTCGTGCACGAGGTGGGAGCCAGAAACGTTCCCCTGACGCCTCACCGCAAACCTTAAACACTGAGCTCAGAGTTCAGGGAATCCACACACCGAGTCTGCAAGAGTGTTGTCAAGGATGCTGTCTTGCCTTTCGTCACAAATCATTCTGGACTTTGGTTTCAGCGCATGTTTGAAGCTGGAAATCTGAAAAAAACAAGTTGTCAACAAAAACTTCAAAGAATTCCACCTGCCCTGCTGTGATTTGGGTCTCCTGCCACGCCCGCAGCCAAGAGCTCGCCCGGTCTTGGTTTGTGTCGTGTGAGTTCAAAGCACATGTTAATCCTTGGTGGACCTGCTTGTAGATATTCTTGGTTTCTGTGTGGTTGTGGTCAAACATGAAAGCATGCAGTGTGATATCGAAGTTCAGTCCAGTTAGAATAATTCCGCCATGAACGAACTCAGTTCACCCCCGCGCCCTCCAACTTCGGAGGCGAGTGTAGGTTTGTTTTTTTTTGAGAGCGATAAGGATGTTGCATTGGTCGCCATCATGGTTTGTTTCAGTGGGCGGTTAATCTCCACGTTTTTATGGGGGATTCTGATTGAACGTTTTCGAAACTTTGAGCATTGTCATGTAGCGTTTTGAGCATTCATCAGGTATGTGCATTGTGTGCCTGTGATGTCGCATGCAAGCTCAGGAGACAAGCAAAACAACGAGGAATGGCACTTGCAAGTGCATACCGCAGCCGCTGACCCGGTTGCAGGCCGTGCAGAAGCTGTCACACATTGCCGCTGAGATGGCAGCATCCTGGATGAATGTGAGTTCATCAAGCTTGCACACAGCTTTTTTGCTGCTGGAGTTCTTCGCGCTTTGCTGCTTTCAGGTTTCCACAGCGCAGAGCGAAGTCTGGGCTCAGCAGGTGGATGCTTTGTGCAGGTTGTGATTTCCACTTCAGAAGCAACAAACGCTTTGGGTTGCGCTTGGAAGGTTCAAGAAGCCCTCTGCCGTGCGGAGGAGTTCCCATGTTTGTGCAGTTCCATGTTATCATGGCATGCTTGGAAGCAAGGAAGCGATTGGGTAGGGATGTGCGTATCATGTTCAGAGTTGCCGGCGGAAATGCATGGGAGTACATGGAAACAGACAATGGCAAGTTGTAGTTCCCAACATGTGGAACATTGCGAAGTATTCCGTGCATCCGCTGCTTCTCTCTTTTCTGCAGGCTTTGTGCAAAGACCTGTCTCACGATGAAATCTGCACAGGTGGGCTGGTCAGTAGTGCAATTCGCACTGTGTCACAACAACAGGGGTTTTCTGCAGCACCGAAGTGCGTGCAACAAGCATGCTGCTTCAGTTCTCAGTGTGCTGATACTTCTTGAACACATCATGTCACATTTCTGCCGTTCGTGAGGCCTCTTGCAGGAAGCTTCGCGCAGGCCCAGATGATCACATTGTCTCTTCAACTTCAACCATGAAATCTGGCACATCTTGATAGCACATGTTTTCCTTTCACACATTTTTTTGACCGCGGGCAGAGTCCCTTGCTGTTGAAGGACGATTTCTTGTGAGCAGCTGTGGTTTTGCGTCGTTGAGTTGTTCCCAATCTCATTGGGTCCTAAGCCAAAATGCTGCTATCTATTTCACAGGGTTTTGTTGTTTTGCTTCTTTGACACTTTGCCTGGCCGCTTGGAAGGCATCAGCCAGCTGGCGGTCCACAACACGAGTCTGTGCTGGACGGCTGTGTGTGTGTGTGTGTGTCTCGAGTTCTACTGTTGCCCACACAAAAGGTGTTCAGAGAACTCGTCTTGTGAATCGCTGAGAATACTTACGTACACCGTGATCAGTTCCTATGTTCAATCGTGCATCGGATGCTATTCTTGCCAGAAAAACTGCCAAAAGCTACACGACCAACATGTCGTGACGCTTCGCATCAGGATCGGAGCCACTCATCGCAAGTGCTGTGTGCTGCCTCTCCCCACGAGAAAGGAGCTGGAGCGACTGCAAGTGATCGAGGCCATTGATACGTTGCTCCGAGCTCTGCCGAGCGCTCGGCGACAGCAGAGCAGGCACCACTTCAGAATAACCGTGCACGCGAGGAAATCCTGAGTTCGTAGACATCGTAGACTTTGGTAGACGTTGTGCGTTGCAAGTCGTGAACAGTCTGTGGCTCGAAGCCCACACTTCTGCCAAGCATTGGAACAACTGATACAAGCACATAGACATAAACATAGACATCATTGTTCGTTAGGCTTTAAAGAATCTTGCCACGTTGTATTTTTCTTGTTGCTCTCGCACTTTCCCAGCCTTGTCGACAGCCGTGTTGTGTGGTGCAGTTTCTCGGATTTTGAATGTGTGGCGCTGCTTTTGATTTAGGGTTGCGCTTTCACGGGTTTGCGGAATTGCTGCCTCGCCTCTCCTTTGTCAACTCCTGCTCAGGACTTGTGTTCAGCGCAATCACACTCACCATTGCCGCTGTATTTAGGGTGACGGCTGTCGTTTTGAAGAACCCAAACAACTGTCAGACTTGTGTGACCTCTCAGTGCACTTCCGTACTTGCGTCATGGGAAGTCTTGGTTCCTAAGCTCCCAAAAGGCTGGACCGGTTTGGTCCCCGAACTCTTGCGGTCCAAGGCTTTTGGTCTGAAACGTATGCCTTAGCAATTGGGGGGATCACTGATGTTCCCTGTCATGAGCAAGGTCGTTTGTCTTCATGACCGAACAGTGGTTTCATGTTTTGAGGTACGTGTATATTCCTTAAACCAGAAAAGTCAAGAAACCAGCTGCTCAGCCTGCAAGCAAAACCCTTAAGACATGGCCGATCTTTGGGTCAAGATGATTTTCATGGTTTCGGGCAGCTGGCCGTGCACCGGCAGTTTTGGGAACACGAGCCCCGAAGTGCAGCCGTGCAGTGACGACAGGCCTAGGGCCGATGTACAGGAAGGAGAGTGAAAAAGCCGTAGTAGACTCATGCAATGCATGGAAGATGTACAAGGATTGTCTCAAGCTTGTTCGACTTGCCCTCCATACCCCCAAGGCGTGAGCTCGAGCATCGAATTGCAGCGCATCCATGGCTGGAAGGAAACTGGGCCTCAATGAGCTGGAATCATGATTCGCACACGCTTGCACCTGCAGGGTGACCCGCATGTTTTTCTCATGTCTGTAAGAGTCAACATCATGCCTCTGAGTGTTGGCCATGTTCAGCCGGATTTTCCGTGTCGTGGCAGACCTAGCATCCATGAGGGACAGGATGCGGGAAGTGCCCAATCATGTACACTGGTGCTGGTGAAGGCACACTGCCTGCATACTGCGTGCATGCTGCCTGCATACTGCGTGGAGTGTGCTTTTGCCCAGAGGAGACGAAGAGAGCAGCAGCTGGGTGAGCAGTGCACAGGCAAGAAAGGGTGAGCAGTGCAGATGCATACTTGGGGTTGTTTTGGGCTGCTTGAGACTTGACAGAGAATTCACTTTAATTCGCTTTCGGGCACGATGCATGTTATCATGGAGCTCCTTCGTCTGGATGCTCATGACACGAAGACGTGACAGGCAAAGGAGGCCTCTGCGACGCGTGTGGTAGAATGCTAGGTCTATGGCCACCAGCGTTGTCAATTTTCTATGGCTGGTATCGCTCTTTGACCTCTCGCAGTTTCTCTTTGCTGCTTTCTCTACAGCCTCCCTGTCGCTGTTCTGACGGCTGCGGGGAGGAATGTACATCACCATTACCACTAAAAGTGAGACATTCCTGAAATGTCTCGCAACCTGCACAGGCTGACCTGCTGTCGCTGCAAGACATCTTCTTGCCCAAGGCTCAGTTCGCGCAAGGGCCAGGGCCAAACTCCACGAGATTCTGTCGCTGGAGGATGTTTCTCATGATTTCTCGTGCTTTGCCCGAATCTGTGCAAGCTCGTGGACTAACTTCGTCTTGCCGAGGCAGAGGCAAGCTGGCTGCCACCTGAGTGCTGCAGTTTGCGATGCCGCGCGGACAGCACTGAAGGCACATGCGGCGTTGCAGTGTGTTGCAGCGCATGGTAGGTGCTCACGCGCATACAGCATGTCCAGACATTAAGCATGGCATAGAAAGAACAGGACGGGGCTAGAGACCATGCATTGCTCGACAGGTCGTTGCAGGACGCCTGGCCGAAGCACTGGCAGCTTTGCCGCGCTTCGTCACCTGCAAGCTGCAAAGCTCAGGCGGCTGATAACAAGATGCTTGTCCTGAGGGATGTGATGTGCACAACTGCTTGAGGAAATACTATTCATGTGAGTGGTCATGTAACGGTAGGAAGCTTGAAACACCCACAGCCACGGCTGTATCACCAGCAGTAGGACTGAAGCATTGGGCCTTTCTCACCCAATAGAAAACCTCCCACGGAAGGAAGGAAGGAAAGGTGTAAAGTGTAAGGTGTAAGGTGGAAGGTGGAAGGTGGAAGGTGGAAGGTGGAAGGTGTAAGATGCAAGGGTGCAAGGTGCAAGGTGCAAGGTGTACGGTGCAAGGTGTACGGTGTAACAACCACAACATGCTCAAAACACAATGCCCCCAAAGCATGATTTGATTTTGGGGAAACCGCCAGCTATTCTGGGCAACGGCTCAAACAGCATGCCTGTCTGAATTCAGCGCCTAGCCACAATGAAGCAACAATTCCAAGCTGCCTGTCGGACAGTAGCAACCCTTTGTCTGATAGGCCTGCAATGGATGCACGTACCTCCTTTCCCAGCCATCTATGGTTTGTTCTCCCAAGCCCTGGCGCAACTGGCCTTAGGATGATTGGTAAGATGAGGTCTACGACCCTGCAGCTTCATTGATGAAGGACTGCACTTCACATGATGGTCTGACTTCACCCAGCCATGCACACCTGGGCAGTTCCGACGAACACGCCCAGCACTCAGAGTAAGTTGAGGTGTAACACATGTGTAGATTGTAGGAAAGACGTGGGGAGGGGTGCGGGTTTCCCAAAAGGCTCGGCAAGCGCAAATGAAGAGTCTCGGGAGCGTGTCTTTTGAGAGAAACCCCGCCAGCAAACGCAGCCGTGGCTCATGTGAAAGTGGTTTGGACAAAGGACTTGAATCTGACTTGGATCGAACCATATGTGTCATGTGCTTTTCGCTTGAAGGCAGGCGAGACAAATTGTGCCACGAACTCCTGTCGCTTGCTTGTGCTGCCCAGAGGCCTGGGAAAGAGCAGAATGGGGAGCGGCCGGTCCAGGGCTCAGCAAGTGCAGCATGGAATCAGAGAAGATGTGTTGTTTGAAAAGTTATGAACGCCCTGGTTGGGCTATGGCTCAAGAGGGACCCGTCCCCCCTCTGATGTTGCATGGAGCTCAGCATCAAAACATCAGGGAAATCCGTTGCTTTGCTTGAGCTCTCGAGCCTGAGCGTTATGTCGCGCATAGCACGTTGACAGATCTAGAACCTGATCAGGACAAGGGTAACCAAACCCATGCACGTAGACAAACCCAACAAAAGCTACATGGTACTGCTCGATTAGGGTACTCACGGTATGGGACGCTCGCAGCCACATGCTTATTGCAGCGGGTGCCGGCTAATCTTGCCGGGCAGGCTGCAGGGGGATATGGAGACAGAGAGAAAGAGAGTGTGTCTGTGTGTCTGTTAGTGGGGAACATGGCATGTCAGGCATTTTGCCGCAGCGGTCATTCGTACTCATGCTTCTGATGCTTGCCTGCCCCGTGAGTTCTTTCACTGGCGCAGCTCTGCGCGAGGCTTGCCACTTAGAGCCGTGATTGAGCTGGGTGAACACAATTTGCTTCTGGTCTAGAAGTTGAAGGATGTGCTTAGCAAGGGCTATGGAGACGAACGATGTTCTGTGGTGAGAGAAGTACAAGTATGAGGGTATGGGACCACGTAAACAAGGTGTTCCTTTTGTTGTGTTTGTTTTTCTTTTTCTGCCCCCCCCCCCCCCCCCCCCCCCCCCCCCTCAAGGTTGGCGACTTGCAGCGGCTGTGCAGACGCTGCGCTCGGCACCAAGTCTGTCCATTTCACCTTTCGTAGAACCTCTCTTACATCTCCCTCTCTTTTCTTGCACCTCTCTGTTTTTGGGTTTCTGGGAGCGTTGGCTTTTCTCATCTTTGAAGCTTTGGCTTTTCTGAGCCGCCGTGAAAGGTTTTATAGTTCAAAATTGGGTCAGATGTGGTCCTGATGTAGGGAATCCTAGGCCATGAGGGCTTCTTTGCACAAGGGTGCGTTCATGCCATGCATGGCGTATTACCAGCCAAGAATGCCCCTCGGTGGCATCCGGGCTACTGGCACACTCTCCTCACTTTTCCAGCCGAGGAGGGTAAGGTCCCATGTGCACAGTGCCTGGGGCTTGGAGTGTTGATTCAGGACAGGGCGGCATGTGTCGCTCCAATTTTGCGCTGTCATGGAATAATGGAACACTGAAACATACTGAAACATGTAACAATAGCTTGCATGGTCATATCGAGTCATGTCAAGTCGTGTCAGTGAGGTGGTCAGGTCTTAGCAGCTTCGGAGTTCACAGCCGACCAACATTTGAAGCCGATGAAGGCGTGCCAAGCCCTCGCCAAGGCCCCTTTATGGGGATGCGGATGTTATGCGTTGCTGCAGGCGCGATGCTGTGCAAAGTGTGTCACTGAGATGGAGGCCCAAGTCCGATCGGTCGGATCCTCAGATCACGTAGGCCAACTACCAGACTCGTCTGACTGATTCTGTTGTCAGGTCACGAAAGGCCCTCAAGTTGGCCTTCAAGCATTTAACTGCCTGGGTGCAGGACCCAGATCAGCCTTGAGTCTTGCTGACCTCTGTCCTATCCCCTTTTCTGCAAACTAAGCTGTTTCTTGAAGCAGCTCAGGGTTCGTGTCATGTGTACCTTCTGTTGAATCTGTTGAGAACAATATGCCTCTTGAAGATGCCCAGTGCAGGGGAGCAGCTATTGGCACAAGCGCGATGCCCCAACTTGTCACAAACATACACTGAGGTGCTTTCAAGGAAGTCAGGCGCTGGCAGCTGAACCTGCAAAGGCGGCTTTCGTGGATCCAGTTTCTGTTGCGAAGCCAGCAGTGCCCATTCCAACATGTCTATCCCGTCACACATGAATCGACGAGAATCGGTGTCACCATTTGGCCTGCCAGGATGTTGAAGGCTCTTCCCCTCGAGGTGCTTCGGGTTGTCTTGCATGTGTGCAAGCATAGCTACACCAAGGTGTTGAGACAGAGCAGTAAGCACGCAGCGTAGCGCCATTGGTTGTAGATGTGCCACTGCGCAAGGTATCGCTAGATTAGGCACTTTGAGCTCCCAAGCCTGGCGGTGAGGTCACCCCACGCGTGCAAGCTTTCATCGGAGCACCTCAGAAGGGTGCACTGTGGCAGATGGGGGCCCGGCAACTGTGCCTGCGCTGCGACAGGACTGTCAGTGCAGTTGCGAGATGTTAATCGATGCTGCCGTTGTGGATGTGTGCCACAGGTAGCTATACTTCCAAGCCAGAACCAAATTCGTGCATCTTGCTTTGGGCCCTTGCCTTGCCTTGAGGATCTGGCTCGGAAGCTGCATGAACCAGTGCCCATGTCGGGAAGGCAAGGCAAGACAACGGCCCGTTGCCGGTATCACTTCGGGTCACTTCGCACTTGTCCTGCGAGATCCAGCGAGGACCCCCGCATCGACCAGCGGCGCCGCGTTGGCGCCGAGCCAAAGGTGCAAGCGCCTCCAGCGAGGAGCAAAAGGATGCCTGGCGCAGTTCGTGGCATTTCTGACTGGGACGTAGTGATGCTGCTATTTCCATGGATGCAAGCTTGTTCCGTTGTTCCGTTGTTCCGTTGTTCCGTTGTTCCGTTGTTCCGTTGTTCCGTTGCAGCAACTTTGATTCACTGTCCCTCCAAGCCGCATGCAATGGTCCAGTGCTTGACCTGCTGCACCTAGGTCATGGAGCCCATCACCTCTTGCAGAGAGTCACAAGGCATGGCGCACAAGATGCTTGCGAGCTGTACTGCAGGGATGACTTTGGTGTCTGCCACGTTCCCAAGCAGTACCCTGTGCGCTGGCCAGGTGGCCATCCCAGTGCTCCAACTTCGCCCATCAGGAGCTCGTGAATCGTGATCGGTATGTCGGCACAGAGTCTGGGTTCCGAGTTGGAGATGTGACAGGATCACCGTGCCTGCGATGGTCACCCACAGCAGCAAGGCGAGTGATCTCACCACGAAGCCTTGGCACCAGTGAGATGTCTTCATCAAAAAGGCACATAGTCAAGAATTCAGGTAGCTGTACTGTACAGGTGAAGCGGAGCACTGCGAGTTATGGTGTACTGCGGGTTTATGTTTGTGCCATGTGCCAGACGGTGAAGGGGTACTGCATGACCAGTCTGAATGCATGGGTGGATCGGCGGATCCTTTTTGGGCTGGTGGCTCAGAGGTGATCCTGCATGAGGACCCGATGCCACAGCGATTGTCGATGTGGGAAGCTGAGTGTACGTGTGTGCATGCGGGCAAAGCGTGATGTTTGCCTCACACGTGTGTCAAGTGTGGTCCTTGACGGGACTGTTGATGTAGCTTTACATTCTTTGCATGTTTGTTTGAGGCTGGAGCAGAAATGCAGAGTTCAAGAGGTGCGCATCAACAGCTACAACAACGACGCGTGCCCTCGCATGTGCATCCTCGGCCTGAGAAGAGGCCATGCTGGTGGAGAAGGATGCCCATCTCCAAAAGCTCAAAGATAGCGTGGCTGCCTCGGTGCGAGTTCAGAGATGCTCAATCAAGGTCTTATCCATGCAGACGGAATGGCTAGCCGTGGCAGCTGCTCAGGAACAGCTTCGGCTTCGTGTGTTGATGTGGGCCACCGAGGGTGACCAGAAGCAGTGAACAGTTGCTGCTCCGATGCGATTTCCTTGCCAAGGTTGGAGGGTCGATGCCGCTCCTACGAGGCACCTAGGTTCAGGGGCGGAGCTTATGACAGCTCCTGTTTCTGGCAGCAGGCTATCTTGGCTGAAAAAGATACCCAGCTGCATAAGCTCAAGGAGGGTGTCCGAGCCTTGAACATCTGTGAGGCAGCACAAATCAGCACTCTTGTGCATGCAGAAATTCTGCTTTCTTATGCTGTCAGGAGCTGTTGCCCGGAATTACCATACCTCGTTTTGATTTCTCAAAAGCTCTGCATCCCACAGTGCAGCCAGGCGTCTCTTCATCCCAGAATACCCATGCTGGACTCCAAGAACGCTGTCTGCCCGCGCAGCAGACGGTGACGGGGGGGGGGGGGTGGGGTACCTGCGTGCTTGGCAAGGCTTGAGCAGAAACTGCGATCGCAGCAGGCCTTCGAACCTACCCATCGGCATGCTTCTGATGCTTGTGGATCTGTTCATCTCAGTTGCGCATATCGAGCGAGTAGGATAACACGGCCGAGTTTTCCTAGCGACTCCACGAAGCAAGCTGAAGATGCCGCCGATTCCTTGTGTTGCAGCTTGCAGCAGGCAGAGCTTCATGAAAGAGACAAGCAGATTCACAAGCTCACGGAGATTGACGCAGCCTCGTCGTATCGGCTATAAGGACGCTGTGGTGTTCAGCTTGTTGAGGGCTTGAGACCCTTAGGTGGAGCAAGCAAAGTCTTCGCTGCAGCAGCTTGCTATCGAAGCAGATAGTCCTGACCCTCAGAATTCCGACCATCCTGCCAACTGTAGATGGATCATTTTGCTGGTGCTGATGTATCCTGGCAGAAAGATGGCTTTATGTCCTTTAAGGTGAGAACAATGAGCTCCAAGCCGAGATTGTCGCCATGAAGGACTCTTTGTTTTCAGAGTGCCGAATCCTCCGCACAAAGCGGGAGTGCAGATGCCTTGACGGTCTAAACCGTCTAAAGCTGCAGCACGCAGTGGGACCTATTACAAAAACCAAGCATTTCATCCATTCCAATGTGGTCGGCATCTTTGTCTTTTCTGTCCTTGATGAATGCATGGACATGCTTGAGTTTCCTAGATAGCTTTATCATTGTGTCTGCTTTCAGTGTCTTGGGTCGGCTTTGGAGGGAGTTACAGCTTTTGTCATTGACTCTGGAGGCCGTGGTGAGATCTGACAGACTTGGCATTGCTTCCTGTGGTTTCTACCCTCCCCTCGCTTTTCCTGAGACAGGAGAAGCTGGACTGTGTCGCCCAATTGCACAATTGCACTATGCATTGACGCAGCAGTCAAGCCCATCCGGGCCAGCTTGAACTCGCATTGAAGGGGGGAGGAGCTGTGTGGACTGAGCTTGCGAGAGATGAGTGAGGTCGCTGATGAGACTCGTTCGCGGCAGGCTTCACGCCCTGGTTCGGTTGCGTGTTCGGGAAGCTGCTGATAGCTGGTACAGTACATGTGATGCGGTCGGATTGAGTTGACAGGAAGTGGATCAACTTGACAAGAAACTGGCTGAAAGTGAGGCCATGTGCGTTTGCCCCAGCGTTATCACCTTGTTGTGCTGAGTTCATGAAAACTGCACACAAGCCACACGCACTCATGAGCTTGCCGAGGTCAAGCACTTCGTTGGGAGTTGGATGCCATTTCTGCAAGGCCTTTTGTGACCTTTGTGTTCATTGGCACTCCTAGCAGCCCTAGCGATGATGAGCGATTGCCAGCACGGTGGGCAGGAATGTTCCGGAAGCCGCTGTGGCGAGGCTGGGCTGCATGGGGCTGCATTGGCTTGCTATGCCGATCATCTAGGTCGACTGCCATCTCATGCCTTGTCAGCTCCTCCTTTGCTTCCTGAGCGGTTGCAGTAGTTGCTGCCATTGTTGCTGCATTTTGCAACTGCGTGCAATTGCGTGCAGTGGGGATCCTGGCCATGAGCTCGTGGACCGCGAGGCTGGGTTGATGCGGCATGATGGCCTATCAAGGGCTGGATCTGGCTGTTCCCAGAACATTGGGGAATTGGGGAAGACACGTCGGTGCAAGGAATACCAGGCTTTTCAACACAGCCTTTAGCTTGCATGGTTTGTCCTCCGCGACATGGGGGAACGTCTGGCTTTCCGAGACTCAGTTCCCTCTGCCGGAGCGAAGCATGAAGGTCACAGCGCTGCGGGCAGAAGCTGTTAGGCTCCGCGAGCTCCAGCAGCTGCAGTGGCAGCAGGCAATATGCTTTCCAATCCTTGAGAAGAGCAAAACCCTCGAATGCACCGAAAAAGCATCTTCCCGCCCTCGGCCAGCATGCGGCCGACGCGCAGCGCTTCCGAGCGGAGCTGACGGCCTTGCGTGCGCTCCTGCGACGGGAGGCGCTGACATGGCCACAGAGACATACAGGGACCGCGATTCGTAAGCCAATCGCAGAGATCCTTTGCTTTCAGTGCAACTCGAATGTTCACATCCCCTAGTAATTCATGTGGTATGTAAACAGCAAAGAGCTGGGATTGATGTCCACGCTGCAGGGAATGGCTGTGGACAGCTGCTCAGAGCCGTAAGCTTGGAAAGTGAGGAGCTGGAGTGACTCAGGTTGTGATTTTGTCTATTTTTTTCTGACTCGCACCGGAAGCTGTGGCAGCTGAGGTGAAACTCAGGTATTCTCGGGCGGAGCACACGGTTAAACATCTCCTGAAGTCCCCCCCCAACCACTAGTTTTTGGGCTTCAGGGACATCGCACGTCTGGCTGCTTGTCGTGTGGTCGGGTCTCTTTCTCCGGCGGTTTGTTGTGCTCGCGGTCTCTATGGACCTGGGTTTGGATGCTTCTCCATCATGCTTGTAAGCTTTTGCCACAGCAGATGTCGATTAACATATATCCTTGCTTCTCGCGAAGTCTAAACCTTAAGCATTCCGCAATCCGAATCCGAGTCCTTCAAACAACGCTCTTACCTTGGAGACATTGCCAAGGCTGGTGGTCGAAGGCTCCACGGAGGCTTGAAGCGTGCAATGGTGTGTTTGCCGATGTGGCTTGGGTTGTCCAGAAAAGGCGCTTGCTGTTATGGCATGTTGTGGGCCCGCAGGCCCTAGAAGAAGCAAAGATGGAGACGGCACAAGTCCGGAAAGCGCTGGAAGCTTCGCAAGGCGCAGCTTTTTGAGGTAGAGCACTTCTCCTTTCCGCATGTTTTCTTGTAATTTGTTGTCATTTTATCCTCTTTTTGCTCATCTTTTTAAGTCATCTTCTCCTCTCAGGCTTGGCTACTCAGGCCTCCTCGGAGGCAGTCTCCCTGAGGGAAGGCCTTGCGGAAGCCGAGGCGGGAGAATCGAAGCATCAGAAGAGCGGGGCAGCTACGATCATACAAAGAGCATAATATGAAAGCCATCAGCAGCATCGCTCTTGAAGCTCAATATCGAAGCGTGCAGCACGATGGCGTTTCTCTTTTTTTCTAGCTCTCTCTCTCTCTCTCTTTTGCTTTCGTTGATTTTGTCTTTTCACTCTGATACTTTTGATGAGTGCGCCCTGCACGCCACCAAACAGGCGGCTTTGGAGGCAGAGCGGCGAGCGCGCCGCCAAGCTGTCGAGTCACTACACCAGTGCGAAGAGGTGCGACTTTTCATCGAGAAGCTTTGTTGCTTAAATGCTTCACTTTGGGTTGCTGAGTGCGCAATTTGCGCAATGGCGGCCAGAATTCAGGGCGTTGTTTGACTGGGGGTTTGACTCTTCTTCTATCCTCTGCATGCAGATGCTGAGAGTGGCCAGGTAGCAGCGAGATTAATGGCCGAAAGGAACGCCGCCAGAGCAGAGCTGGAGGACGGTTTCCACAACACTCTGCTGAGCGAGACTTTTCGAAGCATTCGAACAAAAACCATAAGGCCATAAGAACATCTCCAGTGATCTTGCAGGAATTGACCGCCGGGTCAGAGGCCTTCAGACTGCAGGCAGTGCACCCTGAGGAGATCACAGAAGTGGCATTTTTCACATCCTTTCACTTGCTTTTGTGTTGAGTGTGTTGACAAGCATCACTTGCTTTTGTGTTGAGTGTGTTGACAAGCATCACGTCATCTGATGGCTTTGACCACTGCAGTCTTCTTGCCTGCGTTTGTGCTCCAGCAGCTCTGTTGTTGTGCGCTTCGCTTCCCCAGGCGTCATCCGAAATACGAGAGGGCAGGTCGGCGCCTCGATGCTTTCCTGAAACTTCAACTTGGATGAGGTTGTTGATGCCGATTGGAGTTCGGCTGCGCTGTTCACAAATGCTGTGCCCCCTTGCCACCGTCACTGCTGACTGCTGTTGCGATCCTCTCGGTGCAGTCATTCGCCTGGCCTTATGTTACATTGTCATGGTTTGACATGTTCATTGAAAGGTGGACCCGCTTCACTCTCCGCCTACTGCATCTCATCAATGGGAGCGCATTCGATGAGCTCAAGGACTGCACTTGCAGTCGCGAGCAGCATGAAACGCAGCTTCCGTGATACGACCCTCGTGTTTGTTTGCTCACCCTTAGAAGGCTTTTATGAGGCAGTTCACATCCTATGTATATGGTGCATGAATGTACATGATGGCGATCTCGCTATGCCTTGTGTTCTTAGCGAGTGTGTTTGTAGTGAGTGGCGCAAAGCAGCCTGCAGCTCATGTGCCAGGACAGCTGGTCAAAAGGCGTTCAAGGATGGCAGGCACAGCGATGTGATGCAGCACCGGCAGCCGACCGGGTGCCACTGGATGATTTGTGCAGGCTTTTGCCGCCTCGCTAGCGGAAAAGATCAACAGCCGTCCCACGGCTGTTTTTGCACAGGCTCGCGGTACGCGGTGGGGCTCAGGTCTTTGTGGTTAGCCTTCTTAACATTATCGAAGTTAATGCCCAGACCGTGAACAGACTCTGAGAGGAGGGAGCAGTGGAGGTTGGAAGCTGTTGCATGTGTTTACGCAGAATGGTTTAAACCTAACGTTTCTTGGGGTTTGTGGTAATCCGAGTGGCGCTTCCAAACTCTGGCAAAAGCTGTTAGTTTTGGAGAGACCAGAAGACGGAGAAGAAGCAGTGTGGTCAGGATTGGTCAGGTCTTGCACGGGCAAGGGCCAGCAGGTGAAAACAGCATCGTCGAGCTTTCGGAAGCACCAAAAAACTCACTACCTGAGATGGCGTTCCGTCCTGGGCAGGAAATCGCTAGTCACTGTGCCAAAGGCGTGGGCAACTCAGTGCTTCTGCTGCTCTCGAAAGCCAAACTACTAGGCAATAGAAAAGCTGAGGCAAATGCTGAAAGGCTGTTTCAGTATGTTTCAAAGTTGGAGCACATGATGGGAGTACAATAGACGGTTCAAAGATGCTCAGAAAACGGATGTGGAGAGGTGGACAGCAGAGTGGTGACGCATTGTTGTCGTTCAATCCTGCATGATTGTACACGCAGACGCTGCAAGCTATTGTGCTCGTGATCTGCTGGTCTTGGTGCACGAAAGGACTTGGACTCCTAACACATAATCTTCGCCAGACATGGGATGTGCCGTCGTACTGAGGACAAGGCTCTCCAAGCGTTGGACGAGAAGCTCGCCAGCCAGGCATGCAAGCGGCAAGCGCTCTGCGGGGTGTGCTTATAAGAACGCCTTGTAAATCACGTCGTCTTTATTCTGCTTGCATGTACAGTGTTTGCCGCAAGAAGTTCTCCGACCCCAAAGGATTCCTAGGTGGACTTTGCAGGCTGATTCGCAGTTATGTGCAAAGCGAGCCATGTTCAGACTTCTGCTGGCAGGGGATGCAGATGGCAGCTTTTGCGGACAAAGCGATGCAGGAATCTGATGTGTCTGGCAGGGATTGGATGGGATGGGCAAAGAACCGTAGCTTGCCGAGATTGCGGATAAGACTTGTACTTGTGGGCAAAAAGCGCACAAGTTGTGGCAGCGGTAAAGATCCTTAGCAGCGAATCTAATCCTCATTTGGATGTCGCAAAATGGTGCACCGTGCAGGAGTTCAGTCAAGCGCAGAAGCTCTGGGAGGCGTGGAGACCACAAGTCATAAGGGTTTGGCAGGCGTCTCAGAAGCGAAAGGCTTGCTAGGGTCCAAAGGCAATTCATGTTATTGCAGGCGCGGCTGAAACGAGAGCGCACGCTGCGGCTGGCTGCCGAGGCCGTCGAAGACTTCGTGACTTAGTGAGACGTTGAAAGTTTGCCCCTGCGCAGGAAGATCTCCAGAGACAATCTGGCGATCAGGCTCCCTTTGCAAAGTCTGATGCCGCGCATCGGCATCTGTTAACTGGCATTGTTTCGCCGGCATTGCTGGACTTCGTCCGGAGGACCCTTCACGGCTGCCTGACAAGCCCAAGGCGCAGATGCTTGGACCGTGAAGCATAGACAGATCATAGTGCTGCAAGCCTATCCAATGGGCTGCCGATGCCAGATTTGCTTGTCAAGAATCTCACCTTGAGTAGAATTTGCTTCTTCTTTCTTGTGGGATAATTGGGACAGGCTGTCGAGCTGGTGGCCAGCCTGGAGAAGGAGCGAAGCGAGGTACGGCCCCCAAGCCCCAAGCTTCATGACCAATGCTTATGCCGCAAAGAGTACTTCTCGCAAGTAGTCTTTCATCCGGCATATATTCATATGTAAATATGGTACCCGCTCCCCAAAGATCCATATTTTTTCTTGGCTTCCACAAGAAAAATCCTCGATCTCAAAAATGTTTTGCTGTCTAAGACGTTTTTGTGGTCTGAAAGCAAAAGGATTGGGACAGTACATGATTTTTGTGTTCCCAGACCTCAAAAGTAATGGCCACCCTTGCGGGTGCTTGCCCCTCTCAGGGTGCTGCACATGACCGCGCTTGCCTCCAGCCTTGTACCCACAGCTTCTGGCCGGCTGGCCTGCGTGTAGGATTTTCAAGCACAGTTGGCTGTGGTCAAGTCGCGTTCTTCATCGTAGCGCAAGTTTCGGGAGCCTGCGCTACCAACACAACTTGCGGAAGTGATGTGTTTGAGGCATCACCAAGCCCCTTAGCTAAAAGGGGACAAGGTCCCCCAAAGCAGATGCGAGCTCGGGCCCTGATCTCATCTGATCCCCCTGGACCCTTAAATTGCGACTCTTCTATGCCCCGGCCTCGGGCCTGAGGGCAGTGGGGTAGCACCTCGAGCCCCTCAACCGAAAGCTTTAACAAGGCTGTCGTTGTTTCAGTGCTAAGGTCGAAAGACTGCAGAAGCAGCTCGCAGAAGCGGAGCAGACGTAACTGCCTCACTTTGCCAACCGGGTACGTATCTGCAGGAAGGTCTTCGACATAGCATGGTTGTTCTTGAGGGGGGGAGGGATGGTCAGCTTGTTTGGTGATCAGTGGTGCAGCAATGATGTCACTACCTGCCCCTGTGTTGTCCTAGCTCTTTTCCTTCACACCACTCACTGCACAAGCTTTCCGCAGACTCTTTGCAGTCAGTCTGGGACCGACGGATAGTTGGAATCCAAACGTGCAACAAAAAGCGCGATTCGCCATGGAAGACTTGAAAGGGCTTGCCCTTTCCAAGCAGCTGGTGGTCAAGACCCTCCTGGGGTATGGAATCTTTGGTGCTGCGTCCCGGCTAGATCGGTTTGGGATTGCTGCCCGAGTTGTGCAGTTGCTACTGATCACGTGAGACTGTCAGGTTCAGGTTCTGTACCGCCTTATCTGGGGATGGAAGGCATCCTCTCGAATGAAAGACATCCTGCAAGATGTGCCGGCCACGAAGGGGGACGGACATGATGCGCATGCAGGCTGGCTCAAGGACAATTTGCCCTGTTGTTTTTGTAGTGCTTTGCCAGACATTTAAAATGTGTGTGCCATTTGCGTAGCTCATATGGTCGGAGGACTTCCTGGCAAACGTTTATAGAATTCACGATTGGCGTGTTGAAATTTGCGAAGGGCAACCGGTTTCCAAAAACCTCGGATTCAGCTGGCACCCTGGTCTTTACACTCTGATCGCCAACGATCCTGACATCGTGCGCCACATCCTAAAGGACGAGTTTAACAAGTACACTAAGCCGGATTTGGGCTATGATCCCTTCTTCTTCTACTTGGAGGAGCCTGTTCAGATGTTGATGACCTTCTGAGATGCTGAGAGAGTGCCTGCTGCAGTCTCAGATCGGGCCCTTGCCTTTGGGGAGCTCCGCACTGTGGTTCTCTTGCGTTCGAGCAGGAGTTCTTGGGCGAGGGTATCTTCGTGAGCAAGCATGGCCTAGGCCGGCTCAGTGCATGTTTTTCTGGCACAGTGCGCAGTCTCACGAAGTTTCATGGGCCTGTTCGAAGGCTCCGAAGACCGCGGCGAGGGCTGGGGTCACATGCGCAAAGTTTCATCGCAGATCTTTAGCCGGAAGATTTTCAATTCCTTGCCGCTCAGCATGCCTTGGCGAGAGGAGTCTAGGGGACTTTTTGCGAGTCTTGCGCAACTGCCCCCGAGCTTTCCGAGGATGCAGGAGGTCTTCGTGGAGAAAGCAGAAGTGTTGCGACGATTTTTGCAGAGATCTCGAGACCTGGGGACCCAAGTGGACTTGCAGTCATGCCCTTGGGCAGCTTCATGCACCTCTTTTCCCGTGGCAATCTTGTTCTCGAATCTTGGGTCTGCTTCCAGGGGTGCTGTAGCATTCTGTCTAAGCCCATTGAGAGTCTACTGGTTTGTGGGTTCTACACAGCTTCATTGTTTGGGCTCCTTGGTTCGCCATGCCTGACAAGGCTTCTTTAACTTCACCTTTGACAGTATCATGCGGATCTTCTTTGGTGAAGATTCCAACACAGCTGTTGGGGTGCCCAACATGTATGGCAAGGCCTCCGCGACAGGTAGTATGTTGTATGCATGACATGTTCAGGGTATGTTCTTAACCTGCGCGAGGCCTTCGATACCGCACACAGAAATATGCGAGATCACGCTGTCAGTTCACTTGCGTCTTACCTCTTCTTCAGCACGTTCTTGCCGTGGCCTTTTGGTGGCCGACACGGACGGGACGGTAAATGTGCAGACTCTTCTGCTCATGTCTCTGCTTGTACAACTTAATCAGGAAGTTTCTGGGCACACATCGGCGTAAACCCATGCAATGCTTGAGCGGATGGTCTCGTACACAAAATATTTATGGACAAACGCTGCTGCAGGAGGGCTGGCTCGTTGGCTTCGGGACCGATTCTCATCGAGCTGCCATGACGGCATTCTTCAGTTTGGTTTTGTTTCTTATGTGCGAAAATCATGCCGTTTTCTTGTATCGATAGTCAACCTTGCTCCTCGCCTCCTCCAAGTATCCCTGGAGTGCCCAAGAAGCCCGCAGAGGTCCCGCCAGTACCCCGAAAGTGCCCAAGCCCGCGAGAGAGTCTTCCTGAAGCGTCCACCCCCTCAGAAGCGCACCGAGAGTCGCGTCGAGTATTCCTTGAGTGTCCATCTCAAAAACACTCAAGACGATCCCACCGAGTATTCCAGCGCCCAGCCATCGCCGAGTATCCCGAGTGGCAGAGAGTCCTAGAGCACCTCCACCTGCAGAGAGTCCCATGTCCAGTATCGTCAGCTGCTTGTTTGTTGTCAGCTATGTTTAACTTACAGACCTCTATTCAACTGCCGTGTGTCTTTATCCTTGGGAAAAAATGGGCTTGCTGCCGGTCGCCTCGCCTGGGCTCAGCTGCGCCTGGCTCCGTTCGCCCAGTCTTAGCCTCGCACAGCCCACTGCCAGAGCAACCTTCACGGAGAAGAAGAGAGCTTGCGTCCGCATTGCATTGAAAATAAGCGCATTCGCTTCCTTGTCGCCTAGGCTACTGTTATTGGAAGCTGGATAGTTGAACCGCGAAGTACCTTCAGACACGCCTCGAAGAGTCCCGCCGAGTATCCCTGGAGTGCCCATCCCCAAAAGCCCGCAGAGAATCCGATTTTGGAGGGCCCACCCCCGAGTAACCCTGGAGCGCGAACCCGAGAGTAGCATGAGCAGCCCGGAGGGAGTCCCGCTGAGCATCCCTCAACGAAGCCCGCGGAGAGAGCCTGCGGACAGCATCCCAGAGAACGAAGGTATCCCTGGACTCCGAGGTGTGGAGAGTCCGCGACAGAAGCCCTCAGTAGTCACTCTCTGAAACCGGCAGGATGGTTCCCACATCAGGTAGCTGTAGGGTCCTGTAGGGTGATGATGATCGAAGTAAACATTTGGGCTATTGTTTTGTGGCGCCGAGTCGGGTTCAGTGGAGCTGCAGGTTTCCGGAACATGAAGGCAGCAACCCGGGTGCTCGATCGGGAGGCTCTGTGGGCGGACACTATCGTTCTAATTTCCTGTCTGCGCAGTCAGTCGAGCGAGCGTTTGATCATGAATGGCAGTTGTCCTGCTGTCGCGCTGCTGCATGCCTTTTGGCTTTCATGTGCAGCATTGAGGGCAGACTGTAGTCCTTTCTATCTCCTTTTTTCAGAAGTGTAGCTATAGTCCCACAGTGGCCCAAAGACGCAACTTGTGTGCAAGGCAGATCGCCTGGTTAAGAAGTGTCGTCAAGATCCCAAATTGGGTGAGCGACGAGACTTGCTGGCTCTGTTTATCCAGGCCAAGCAGAGAGGTGTTTTGTTTATATGTATATTCCATGTCACTTCTTCGACGTGGCGATAGCTGCTGCAAACCGATGCTTCGTCAAAGTGCTGTGCCGTGTGCGACCGTGAGCGCAGCCTGTACTTATCAAGTCATGGAAAATATGTGATCTCCCTGCCACAGGCGAAGTTCAGCACCGATTTTGTGAAGCAGATGGTGCTTCACTTGATCATTGCTGGCCGGGATACCACGGCTTGCCTGCTGCATCTCGTCTAATCTGCAGAGGAACTATGGATGGACACTGACCAGAATTTCCCCGGTGACCCCGTTCTGTCATTTTCCCGTGACATCCTGCAACTTCTAGAAACGAATCTTCCACACACTCATTCACGCGAGCGGTTTGAGGCAGGTGCCTTCACTAGTTACATTGAAGCATAATCGCCACGCATATGGTCAATGCTGAGGTCATGGACGTTCTACGAACTCACACGCAACCCGGATGTTCAGGCCCGACTTCACGACGAGATCATGCAGAAGATGCCGCCAGGTACAGTCTTCAGTTGGCATTGGCATGCATGCTTGGGTTGGGTATCCGTGCGCGTGTCAGGTGCCAAGCTGGACATGAAGAGCTTATCGGTGTCTGGGAAGCAGCGGCTAGCCCGATGATCAAAGAAAGAGGCGTCAAGCTCAGGCAAGCGAGATGCCTTACCTCAACGGCGTGATCTACGAAGCTCTTCGGCTTTGGCCTCCAGTTCCCTTCGACCCAAAGATGGCCTTTGAGGACGACATCCTTCCTGGCGGGTGCCCGTGAGGAGAGACATGAGACACATTGCGACATTATGCCCTGCACGCAGAATCAGTTGCATGAGTTGACATAGACACTGCGAATGCTCAGGTGGAAGGTGCCAGCCTATGCACAGGTGGCTTACAGCCCATACAACATGGGTCGTGATGCAAAGAGATACCCAGAACCTGAGGCTGCTCGGCACGCGGCACGAGCATGATTGTGTTGTGGACGTGTTTTTCGCAGGTGTGAGTGAGTGAAAGACATGTTCGGCCGACAATTTGGGGCATGCATGGGTCCTGGGCAGAGTATTCCGAGGGAAGCAATCATGTGGAAGCTTTATCGCAGGCATTCCGTCCAGAGCGATGGATTCCGTTCAGGGCTCCGTCTCAGCACGAGTTCCCAGTTTTCCAAGCTGGACCTCGACTTTGTCTTGGCATCTTGTCTTAGATTTGTTGTCGTGCGCTGGCAGTACTGGAAAGCCGTAATGCCCAATCTAGGCATGGACATGGCGATGTTTGAAGCAAAGACCGCTGCTGTGGAGCTGCTGCGGCACTGCCGGTTTGAGATGGTGCCGGGACAGGAGATCACCTATGGTGACAAAATCACTTTGGACATCAAGAGCAATGGCAAGGAGGAATTCTTTGTTCATGTAAGGGGCTGGCCAGCGTGATGACCAAGGACGGGGTAATGGAGGGTAATGGAGAAATGATCTGTTCAAGGGAGCCTTGGTTTCTTTGGGATCACGAGACGACTTGCTTATTGGCTTCAAGTTTCGTTGCTTTTGCGAAGGAGCAGACCATCAGACCGTGCGCAGACTGGGGAAGCCTGGGACGCCTTGCAGCAGACGGCTTGTTTGAGCAGGGAGGCCACCAGAACCAGCCCACTTTTGAATTATTGCGGCCGGATCTTGGGCAACCTACGTACCTGTGATACAGAAGGCAGCCACATGAGCTATGCCACGTGAAGGAAAAAGGACAGCGTGCCTGCCTTGCGGAGGGTGTCTGCCGGAGGGTGCCAGCGGGATGGTGCCGACCTACCCCTGGGTTGGGCGAGTCCTCAAGGAGGTTTAGTGGGGAGCTTGTGAATTGCAAAGCTAGAGTCAGACTCATGGTGTCAGTGCACGAGCACGGTGGTGAGCAGCTCTTGGGTTTCTGTGCCAGCGTTTCGCGCGATGTGTTTCGGGAACTAGTGTGTTGCAAACGATTGCAAAATGCACCTTGTATAGAGTGCCCACGAAGAGTTGCGCCACCCTTGTCAAGCTGTCTCAAGCTTTTGTTGAAGTGGTCTCATGCCTACCCAAACCCATACGAGTGTCGGGCCTTTGTAAGTCCGAAGCAAGGGGCAACAGCTTTTGCCATTGGGCGTTTTCTAAAGGCTCCACAACCTTTGCATTGCCATGGAAGAGACACGATCACAGCCTCGGCTTGCCGACGCCTTGTCGAAGCAGCTGCTGCTGAAGGGCTTGCTGGCCTACAGCCACTGGACTTACTGGACTTGAAGCGGTGTGATCATGGAAGCACGCCTACTTCTTTTGCAATCTTTCGCATTGGTTCTACATGCGCCTGCGGGCCTGAGGTGCATTCGGTGCTTGCCAGGCCTTTCTCCTAGAACAGCGCTGCCGACCCGAGCAATCGAATCTGCGTTTGTGTGCCCCTCCCTTCCCAGTCAAATTGGCATGTTCCAAAGGTCCTGTACCGTCTGCTCCGTGGATGGAGGGAGTCCTTGAGGATGCGGGAATCTTGGATGGAAATGGTGTTGAGCTCGCGTCAGATAGCTTCAAGCCATCCGAACGATGCTTATGACCTCGTTTCTGTTATCCCTCTTGTGTTGCATCAGACTGCACGCAGCACTTGGCACTTTTGATGAGACCAGGAAGAACACCCTCGAAACCACCCGAAGCTCTAAAGCATGCCTGGGCAGACTGCGGGCGGGTGTGCGTCTGCCACGCAGAAGTGGGAAGCTTGGGGAAGCTTGCGCTCAAAAGCTTGACCAAGGACATGCTGGCCGACATTCCGGCAAGCAAGGGCAGCTCAGCCAAAGTTCAAGTTGGCCACGGTTTTTTTCCCGTCATCTTTTGGGCCGCCCGGTCTTCGGGCTCCCTGGCCCCACGGTCCCCCGGCGCAAACTTGCTTCCAAGAATTTCGGTCCGCCAAGGGACGTTCCGTATATCACCGTTCATTCCTTCAAAACCCATATCCTACCCAATGCCATACGAGCATTGTGATTGCGAATCGGGGGGAAGAGCTGCCCGCTCCTCCCAACCCCCAACCCCCCTGCTCTCTTAAGCTGCGCGAACTTGCTTCAAAGAATGTCGGGCCATCAATGAACACCCCTTCAAAACCCAGATGAATCACTTCAACAAATATCATGCGAGCATTGTGTTAGCAGAAATGGGGCAGGCCCTTGCTGTTTATAGCAGCGCAACAGCGCAAGCTGGCTTGAAAGCACATCAGGAGGAGCTCCTTCGAAAGGCATGCGCATCCCTTAGTTATGAGATGTTGCACACCTTTCACGCGAGCATTGTCTTTGCAAGGAAAGATTGAGATATGTACGAGCATTGTGTTTAGAAACGCGAGGGGGCGGAGTAAAAATCCTGAGCTGTTGCCCAAGACACGTTCCGATACAACAATTGAAGGTGTCGAAACCTACAAATCTTTCCCAGCACTGGGGAAAATTTCAACCCAAACTCGAAAACAAAATAGCTTTTCTCCAAGTATAGAGTTTACGTTTGAAAGACGAGTGAACACAGAACAGGACAAAAGGGCGCAACAAGAACTCCACCCGAACGAAGCGGTGCTAGTCTTCGTTACCTTCAAATGGGAAGATCTGCCGCAGTTCGCGCAGCGTCAACTCCAAAGGCAACGAAGCTCCGATGTCTTGGGTCAAAGAGATGAGGAAAAACTTCCATCGAGCCGCTCGGCAAATACTCTCATGTTGGTAGCATAGCTGTGCTCGGATGTTGCAGTACGTCTTCATCCACCTGCTGTGGCTGATAGCACTGAAGCAAGGCCCTGCGGTTAGTTTTGTTCAGTTACAATGTATTTCGCATCAGGCAAACGACTGGCGCTATGAGATATGCGAAGGCATGCCCATTTGCAAGAACGTGGGCTTCAGGCGCCGGAAGAAGTAACAAAGGGGGGAGGGTGAAGAGACCGGGCTTTCTGTTTGGCGTCTCCCGAGGTGGAACCCTGGAGGTTTCCAGGTAATTTGTGGCGAACCTGACATGGTCCGCCACTTCTTGAAGGATGCTTTCGACACGTCGCTTGGATGCACGATGAAGCGAAACAGGGTTTTGACTCCGCCTATAGAGTGTGCATGGGTTCTCGAGTCTGCAGGTATACGAAGGGCGTGCCTTCTGGAGAAAACCCCTTCTTCATCTACTTCCAGGTGCTCAGAATGGCTCGTGCAGCAGTAAGGTGAGCGGCAGCATGCGGAAGCAATCAAGTGTAGGCGTTGTGCACTGTCAGGAATTCTTGGGCGATGGGATTTTCACTGTCAGGCAGCAGTCGCCAGAAATATGCACCTCCCCACTAGTCTGTGCAAGTTAGCATGTGAGTTGTGTGTGTGTGCAGCTGCTTAGATGGCTTAGATGAGCTTAGATGAGCTTTGGATCGTGGTGCATTCTAAGATTCTACCTGCCCGGCTACTCTGTACTAGTTCTCAAAACGAGAACAGTGCTTCGCTGAGAGGCATGGTTTGGGCTCTGACGATGACGGGAAAGCCTGGACGCAGATGCGCAAGATCTCAGCTCAAATCTTCAACAGGAAGAACTTCAATTCCCTGTAGCTCGGCTCTTTCTTACTCGTTACACCGATTGTGCGCGACCCCGTGGAGCCTCTTGCACTCCTGCAAGGATGCAAGACGTGTTCGTGGAGAAAGCCGAGTCGCTGCGATCGTTTCTTTCGCGCCCGGAAGTACAGAAGGCGAGCTCTTAGCTCTTTCGTAGTGTCTTCAGCTTGGGATGGCTCTTCTTGGCTCGCTCGTTCCCTCATTAGAGTTGACAGGAGCCTGTTGACCTGCAGATGGGTGACTTGGCTCACGCTTGACGCTTGACAGGTTCTAGTGAGTCTGAGTTCGCCATGCCAAGGGTTCTTCAATTTTACGATGGACAGCATCATGAAGATCTTCTTTGGGGAAGACTCCAGCACTGTAATGGGCAAGCAGAACAGATACGGCGAGGCTTTTGACAACGCGCAGGGCGCCATGCGTCAGCACATGGTCAAGTCCATATCCTTCAACCTCATCGCCAGTACGTTCTTGCCTTGGCCCTTCTCGAGCCCTAGTGGAGGAGGCCGGGCTTGGGGCTCAATCTTATTTGTTGAGTTTTTTTTGCGATTGTTGCTTTCAGTTGTGCCATTTAAACATGCATTACCTAGACTAACACTGTGAGGTGCTGTTGCGCATTGGGGGGGAGGGGAGGGCTCTTCGGATGCATCATCGAAATGTTGCAGATCCGTTTGGGTTGCCGCGTGTTTCTTTTTTTTCTCCTGACCATCTCAACCGTAAAGGAGTCTCTCACTGGCGCCTGTTCATGACTCGGTGTCACGGCTGCTCTGTGGCGGCAAGCCAAGGTGATCTTCTCTACGCTGTCGGATCCGAGGATCTAAGACGGACTAAGACGACGGCAAAGAATCGCAAACAAGGAACAGCTAAGCTGAAGGATGACCAGACTCCCGTCTATCAAATCCGGAGCTACGATGATGCGACAAATCACACAACCCTGCCCCCTCACTGGAACATGTCCAACAGCCATATAGTATGTGGACATGATGGCATAGGAGTTCAAAGCCAGAGTCATCACATCGGACCCAGCAGAGAGCAGCACCACGCCGCTTATCACGGTCGGCGCCTGAACTAACGGGTCACTGCGCTGAGCTTGTGCCACATCGTCTGTAAGCCAACCCACACCCGGACACTCGAAGGGCAATAGAACAGCTCTGTAATGGCTCTCTGCAAAGCGGCTACCTTCATGGATGCTGAAGGCCCCAATCTCAAATGAAAGTCGACCTGACGGGAGTGTGCATCCCTGAAGACAGGCAGGCCTCACAACACGCAAATGATGTCCGGAACATCAGAACGGCAAACCCCATCTTCACCGGAGATACTTATCACCCGCGCTGCATGACTGACAAGCTCATGCCTCAGCTGTTTGCCCACCGTGTCTCTCGCCTCCCATTCAAGTTTACATGGAATGCAACTGAGACGTGGTATAGCAAACTCCAAGAAGTCTGCAACATCGTGCTGAAGATGCATACTGTGCCATCCCACTAAGCACCACCGGAGACCCATCCATGTTGTTGGATTTGAGCCAGCACTTACGAATGTCATGGCACCCACCAATAAAACAACGGGCCTGCATGACATGCTTCTGTAAAGCCGACAGGACTGAAGCCCGACGCACGATCTGGGCCGACTTCGTCTAGCTTTGCCGGTTGCGAACTGGGATCTACATTATGTTAAAGTCGATTCGCGACTCCGCCTCCCCGGTGTAACAGGTCCACCTATTTAGCAACGTGAGACCCCAAGGAATTCATCAGCGTCTTTGGGAGACTCACGTTCCATCACGCCGGGGCCCACATGAGGGGAACAGGGCGGGACATTGCAGTTTGCATCACCACCCGATAACCATCGTATTCCACAGTGGCATCCCCTTAGTATGCAGTGCTCGCCAGACCGAGCCGTGATGTTTCAGGTTTTCAGTTTTCATGTTGATGGCAATACACCACATCAATGCAGCTGCGAAGCCCCCTGCGCAAGAACATGTAGTGTCCTTCCTTGTGCAATCGTTCGGTCGGGACATGGCTTCCACATGTTTGCTTTCCCGAGTGCGATGCCGAAGCAATTCGCTGCTTGTGGGCGCAGCCTTTCCGCGAGCCTGCTTCTGCTTCAACTCGACTTCTTGGTCTTGAAAACTCTTGTCCCATTCCAGGTTTCACTGGGAGCTCTCGCCCCCAGCCACCGGCACAGAAGCTTCATGTGGAGATGCGGTAGCTCAGAGCATCTGGGGCTTGAAAAACATCCATGGATGCTGCAATGAACGTTTGGACCTGTCGAAGGTTGCATTGCAACTAGTTTGACAAAAACTTTTCAAGGTACCTAGTGTCATTCACAGCATGTGGAGCTTAGAAACATCTGTGCGTGCCTCAGTTCAAGGCAATTTGGAGCAGTTTGCAACCCTGGAAGATTCGAAGGGACCTAGAAACGCTCGGAATCCTGCAAACCTACTTCATAGTAGAGAGCAGCGCAGTCGAGCTGCCCAACCGTGATGGAACGATAGAGAAATTCCCGAAACAGCAAGGCTTTGGGTTCTTTTGATTCTTTTCCCAGCAGAAACCAGGAACGTCACGCACCTGGCTGGAATGCGGCGAAGTGGGGCATGGGTTGGGATGCAGATCTTTTCCTCCATGTTGGGGTCTTCGCTGGTACGAAGTTGTCGTAGTTTTTGATGCTAGGAAGTACGTTGATTTTCAACAGAAGCAGAATGTTAAGGACAAATTGAACCGCACAAAAAGAGAAGTGTCGGAGACCTTTGCCAGTCCATGAAACGTCCGAGTGCCTGGGCAGCGCAGGATTAGCGCGGATGCTTTGGGATGCCACGTCTCCCACGTATCGGGAGTTTACATCCGAGCTGGCTGTCATCCATGATGAAGCCGACAGACGCCGCCTCATCCACTGTTCAAGTCTTCGGTCCGTCCTCTTGGATCTGTTGCGTCTACGAAAGCGGTCTCGAGTTTAGACTGCCTGCAAGAGAGAGTGCTCTGCAATGCTGAGGATTGGTGAAGGAATGCTTGGCTGACCCCAAGTTCGAAACTCGTCGGGATCTCCTCGCTTTGTTCCTGCTGAGCAATAATTAGCACACAGGAGACATGTCGGCTGGTTGCCAATGGTTGACTCCTCGACCCTTCGAAGCAAGTCCTCAGGTTTCTACAGGCCCAGAAGGAGATCAAATTCACAACCCAGTTTGTGAAAGACATGGTCCTGAATTTGATCATTGCTGGTAGGGACACAACTGCATGTCTCCTGTGCTCCGCTTAGCTCCAGGGATGTGAGGCAATGTGTACTTTGAGATGTGTTCTTGGCTTGAGTTGCGCGGCATCTGAACTTTGAGGTCTTGGATGTTCTACGAGATTTCGCGGGACCCAGAAGTCCAAAAGCGTCTGCATGATGAAATTGACAGGAAGTCGCCGGCAGGCGGCTCGTCCGAAAGTTGCCATCGCTGCGAAAGATCATCCTGCAGCTCAGTGCAACCGATGCTTTTGCCTTGTGATGGGCGTGTCGAGGCACTTCGATGGATCTGAAAAGCTTGTCGCACAATGAGTTGCCGTACCTGCATGCGGTGATCTACGAAACATTGCGCTTGTGGCCGCCGGTTCCCGTGGACTCAAAGGTGGCATTTGCTGATGATGTGCTTCCGGGCGGGTGGAAGGTGCCGAGAGGGACTACGCTTGTCTTCTGCCCGTGCCTAAACCGAACTACAAAGCATGCAAACAGCACAAGTCCTGCCCGGTCGTGGCTAGTGTCGTAGCTGGTGACAGGTGAGTGACTGCTTTTTGAGTGCTTGTAGGGATGAGGCAGGTTGGTGGAGGATGTGGGATGGAAGGAAGCACGATCTCATACCACATTCAAAGCATCTGCTTGCTGTGGTTGTGACATTGACTTTGCCGTGTTATGGTGCTATTCGTTCGTGCTTCCGTGAAACGTCCAATTGCACTCATGACTGCGAACCACTTTCAAGTAAGCAAATGCAAGTGTGTCGTGGAACGGGTTTGTGGAAAGTTCGAGGTTGTTGGTGTGAATGCTATGCTGTTTGTTTGATTGTTAATGAACGAACCCCTTAGAATCAGGTACAACATGGGTCGTGATCCGGTCCGCTACCCTGATCCACTGGCCTTCAAGCCAGAGCGCTGGATACCTTTTACGGCACCGCCACACCACGAGTTCCCTGTGTTTCAGGCCGGGCTTGCGGTACTTTGTCTGTCTCCACAGTTGTTTTGTGTCTTCTTTGTCTAGGCAGGGCCGCGCATCTGCCTCGGCATGGATATGGCAGCCCGGCATTCTTGAGAACAAACACAGATCAGATATGGAAAGGATAAGATATCCATCAGAATCTAAGAAGCCCTGAGCTGACGGGATGTGACAAGTAATTCAACAAATAGCGGCAGATGGCTAACGAGCAGAGATGCAAGGAACAAGAGAGCAGTTCCCTTCAGCACGCTCGGAAAGACTAGGCTTGACTATGCTTGACTGCTTTCATCTGCTGATATCTGCTGTCTGTCACCAAGGCGATTTTCGAAGCCAAGATTGCGGCAGTTGAGCTGCTGCGCCACTTGCGATTTGAGCTGAAGGCTGGCCAGAGCATTACCTACGGCACGAAGATCACAATGAACGTCAAAAGCGGCGACAAGGAGGAACTTCTGGTTTGGGTCAAGAAACGCTAGTCGCGGCGAGATATTCAGTGATCTCATGCCTGGGAGTCGAGGGGCAAGGTTTCCCCCATCGGCCCATCAGACTCGCTTTACATCGTTTGAAATCGTTTTACCAGGCGCGTGAACTCAAAAGCAAGCATGCACATCACTATCCTGAGTCATGGCACACCAAAATGCAGATCTCAGCAAATGGGCTGTCCGGCCCACGGAAGACGGCCACGATTCTGCTCAGGATCGGCCAGCTGGTCGTCCAGAGCCTGGAACCAGCCCCGAAGAAGGCCGCACGCAACGTGTAGATGTGAGTACTTCTTCAATAAGTTGGGGGTTGTGCCCGACAGCCAACGGGAGTCACGGAGAAAGGCTAGCTACTCGTAATGTGGGAAATACTGGAAATACTCTTCCTTGTTTGGCATCAGCTAACTTCACGAGCATGAGCTCGTTCGACTAGGCCGCCGCCTCCAAGTCCGACTCCCAGCCGTCCCAGGGCTCTGCCGTGCTCGGTTTCTCCAATAGTTAACGTTCTGTTCCCGCAAGGACTGCTTCTGGGAGTCTACGAGGTCGAGCACGGTCTTCACTGGCATAGACAGAGGTGCTGCTTCAGTCAAAGCTCTTCATACTGTTGAACCTGCGTTGCATGATTGCATGTCCCTGAAGTTCTACCTGAGAATGGAACTCTGCGCATGCTGTAGGGCCTTGCCATCGGGCATCAGCTCACTTGCACTAGCCCGCAAATCGTTGCATGCAGCCTGATGACCTGCAAGGCGAATTGCGGCGTCGGCATGGCTGGTTGCGCAAGCAAGACTTGTGTGCAATAACTCAGCAGAACCCTGGCAACAGCACGGCCTGCCGCTGAAGCAGCACTCCAACCTACTTGCAGTTACAAGATTTGGAAGGTTTACACACACTTACCATCGCCTCTGTATAGACGCAGAGTCCTGTGAAGAATGTACAATAGCTCCTCAGATCCTGAGGAGTCGTCGAATGAACTCTGACGCGTAGACACCAGACAAGCGCCGATAGTCTCAGAGTTTCTTGCTGTCATGGCATGCAGCTTCAAGGGAGTTCGGCAGTTGAGCTGGCAGAGCAGGCCTTATGCTGGTTGCAATGGGCTCTCGTAGTGCTGATAGGGGCAAGCCATTGCTCGCCTGCATCATGCTGCATCGCAGAATCGAGATCACTGTCGAGCACATACTCAGCTCACCCCACCGCCTAGCAAGTCATAGAAGGATAGGCGATGTACTCGCCAACTTCAGCGAGTAAACGGCAACTTGCTGCCGATGGAGCCTCCCTCAGAGTACGGTGTCATAACAGTAAACCGTAGGGAACCTAAGATGTCGATGCAGTTGTAGGAGCAGTCTCATGGTCCCATGGCTAAGCTGCGCCGGCTTGGCCTTCTGCTCGAGCCTTAGTTGTGCTGCCACTCAGCAACCCCACGCGACTTCGTGGTGTCTTCCCAGAATATGTCCGATGCAAATTTTCGTGCTCCGAGATGCCTCAAGTGTCTGTTTTCTTGCCCTTGTTGAAGTTACAAGGAGTTCCTGCTTGCTGGCTTCAGCAGATGACCAGGTGGTCCTCCAGGCGTGGCCAGAAACTGACTGCTTTTTTTAAAACCTACGGGGTGCAAAATAAAGTCAAACTAGTTCATGTACGTTTGCTGATCTTCTTGAGCACCGCCCACATCCCATTCTGGCAGGCACCGTGGTTTTTCGATTGCTCCAATCATCCAGCTTGCGACCCAGAAGCCCACACAGTTTTTCACACACCACATGAATCAATAGGACATTCGCAGCGTTCGCAGCAGCGGGCCACCCTGACGACATCAATGCTGTTCATGACAGCCGGTGACAGCCTGATGGCAGCTCTCTTCCAAGGAGTGGAGCAGATTCCGCGAGCGCTTCGCTGAATTCCGCAAGAACTTTGCATCAGCAAAGGGCAATGAGGAAGAGGTTATCATGGAGATGCAGCAGGTGCTCTCCATTTTACAGTCACCTATCAGCAGTCCAATTCTTGCGCGCAGATCCTTGCTGAAGCCAACGACTTGGGGCGGCGATACGAGCCGACCTTCGCGTGGTCCTGAGTCCGTGCAGATCCTTGCGATTGCTTGCGCTTCTGCTCGCTAGCTTTACCTGCTCTTTGTTTCTCTGTGAACAGCCACGCGCAGTCATGCACAGTGAATGATCAGCTCAGCCCCGGGCATGGGATTTCAGCTCGCCCTTTGGACCCACAGCTGTGGAATAAAGTAGCCCTACGTGCGGCGCAAGCATGTGCAAGCAAATGGCACTCATGCAGGAGCAATGCGATCGAGGTGTCAGCCTTTATCACAAGCTTGGACTGTTCTGGTAAAGACTGCGTTCTAGCAGCCGGGGCTACTAGTTGCAATGAAGTTTTAGGTCTGAAGGGTGGACGTGAGGGCCATCCACCAACTCGTATATGGTGCTTAGAAGCATGAGCACAAGCGGGATGCGTTTTCAGCGGTCCACTTTGTGTTTGATCCGGGCGGAGAGATGTGCCTAAAGTTGCGCCGTGCAGCAAAGCTAAACTTAAGTCGGTGCTTCATGTCAATGTGGAGCCTGTGCATGGAGCATTGCACCGTAAGGTGAAGTATGCAAGCGACTGGTCCGTCTTCCACCTCTGCACCCCGGAGCGCCTAGTGGAAGTCCCTGAGGATCGCTGTCTCCTCTTGCTCAGGATGTCCAGTCAGGGTCAGTTTAGTGTTGAGTTTTGTCTTGCTTGTGTGCATGTTTAGGAGAGGTCAAGGAGTCCCTGAAAGTTTGCTTCGCAACTCCAAGCCATGATGCGTTCGGACCTGCTCACAGGACCTGCAGCTGAACTTTTGCTTCTATGGCTTCGCTACGGTGCAGTGGCGGCTTGGTAAAGCCGGATGTATTGTAATCTTGCAACATGTTCTAACAAATGCCTGAAAGCGAAACCTTCCTTCTCACATGGCGGGATGAAGACTGCAGGCATGGGGGGGTAGCCCAGGCTGGGGTTGTTCGGCCACCAGCACTTTGGCAATGTGCCGGGCATGGCAGAATGGGCGCAAAACGCCTGGGGTACCTCGGCTACCCTGAGCATATGCCGAAGCTGAACAAGCAACCCACATACATGCTTTTCCCTGGACACCTTTGAGGCTTTCTGAATGACGCGTCAAAGTTTAACGCGATGCACTTCCTTGAGCCTTGGCTTCTTGGCTTTTGGATGCTTAGAAGCTGGTATCCCATGGCATGCCAGAATATCCGACGGTATCCCATGGCATCCCATGCTATTCCATAGTATTCCATAGTATTCCATGGCATCTCCTTAGGAAAGATCGGGCGTGCATGCTTCCGGAAACCTTGAGGAAAGCTCCGGGTGGCACGTGAAAATGGTGGAGATGGCAAAAGCTCTCAGCGCTGTTTTTGTGGGAAGCAGTGGCTACAGGAGAGGGTGGTGTAAAGGGAGTGAGGAGGCATCATCGTTTGCTGTGACATTCAGTCTTATCATCTTCATGAGTTGAATGGACGTCACTTTCGATCTGGCCACCAGGGTCTCCCGAGACGCGGCGCTGCCGTCGGCACTGCGGATGCCGCAGCTCGTGGTTCGCAGGAGCGCGCATGGTAGACCGGTGTAACCAGTGTACTAGTGTGTACTGCGGTCAGTTCACTTACTCATTTGGAGTGAAAGGAGCCCTGTTCACACCAGGCACCCTGCATGCAATGAGCCGCTGCAGCCACATCTCATTTCGCGTAGCGGGCATGCCTGTTTGTTAGCGGTCACCTCAAGCGTGCTTGGCAAGGTTTCCAGACGTTCGTCGGTTGAAGGCAGTTGCCATCTCGCATCTTTGGCTGTGCAAGTGTGATCTTCATGCACAGCTCGTGTGGAAGAACGTGCAAGATTGTTGCAGAACTGGTCTGGTGTGTGTACGACATCTCTTCGTAGCTTCCAGTGCTTTCAAATGTGTGGATGTGTGACCGTCTCCTCCGTGCACAAGGTATCACACGGCACTGCTGCGAGAGCCGCTCTCGTTCTGGCATCTACGTGGCATTTTCGTCGGCTCGGCTGTTCCACGCTTTTCCTTTTCAATTGTTGTGCATGCTTGGTGAAAGTTCAGGCAGGCGGGCAGGCGGGCGGGCGGGCAGGCAAACGGTGCAAGAATCTAACAAAGAAGGTGATGCCCTTGTCGAGCAAGTTGGGTTCGCAAACAACATGGAACATCGATACTGCAGGCACACCCGGTTCTACATAGATCTTGCTGGGTGTGTGGAGGAATCGGTTCGTGCAGTCACCCAGTGGGTTCTCCAGGAAGGATGACCTGCGTGCGGTTCAAGCATTGACAAGTGGACCCCCACACCGAGGCAGCACATGTTGAGCCACTTGTTCGATGTGGACGCCACCTTGCATATTTTGGATGCCACGGCCAAAAGTGCGGAGGCGAGGAGTTAGGGAGTTTCGGCCTTCGTGCCTTCTGGACCATTCTTGACCTCTGCTGTCACCGTCAAAGGTAGGATGCATAGGCTGATGGCGGCGAGTCGCATGATTGATGAGGGACCACGCAAAGCCATGTGAAAGTTATTCCCTGAAGGACGTGGCCCGTCTACACAACCACTGCCGATTCATTGACGTGGCCTCAGAGGGTCCGAATTGTGAAAGTGAAAGTCCAGCCTTCCTTGGCTCGTATTTGGCGACAGGTTGCCTCGGGGCCTGTGCTTTGTTGGCACCGTTAAACTGTTACACATCCAGCCTCCACGTTCCATTGATCTTCACACATGTTCTTTCACATGCCTCCTGGCCTAGGGACCTGGTGTTCTCCCAAGAGCTCGTACACTTTGAACAGAAAAGCCACGTAGAATTTCCCCACAGTCTGTCGAGTCAAAACTTCCATCGCGGGACAACGGTGCAAATTCATTGCGCTGCACAGCTAAGGGTGGCTCATGGTGTGGCACAGATGAACGCCTCCTGGAGCTTAATGAGCTCTTTCAGGAGAGCCTTTTTTTTTGCTCAGGCGAACGTCAACTACTGATTGCATCTGCATGTTCCATGCTAGGCAGTCAGGCCAGAGGCTTGCTAGCGGCTTTCCAGTCTGCGATTTGCAGTCCATGTTGCACCTTTCCAGGAGGTTGTCTTGGACTGTCACACAGGTGACCACAAGGCCTCCTCTGCGTGGTGGCCTGTGAATTGTGGCTTGATCTCTCTTGCGTCTGCATTCTTGAAAGACAAGCGCAAGCTCTTCTTCTGCATAGCTCCCAGCAAAGCCCACGCCGCGTGCGCAGGCGCGCCATCATTTCTTGAGATCTGTGCCGTGGACGCAGCTATGCAGATATTGATGCAGGTCCTGAAGCAGCAAGTTGCGCAGCAAGTTGCCATGGTTCTCAACACTGCATGTAGAGAAGTCGGGTCTGAGCTCGAATATCGGGAAAAACACAGTCTTCCCGAAGTGGAGTTGCAAGATGTTCGTGAGCATGTTGTAGCAGAGGCGCGAGAGTATCATGACCGGTTCGTGCGGCTGATGGGCAATGATCCCGAGCTGCTGTCTGCTGACTCTGGGATGCAAGCCAGCTTGTTTCTCGGAGTCATGACCGGGAGACTTGCGGACCTGGGCCTCTCTGCAGGATTTCTTCATGTGCGGGGAGCCTGTCCTTTTCTGTCGGCTCTTGGCGCACTTCGGCCAGCCTGTCTCAGCCTCAGTGCCAGGTCGAAGGAAGCTGACATTCAGGCTTGTTGCCACTTTGGCTGATGACAGAGGTCATTGGCTACATCTCCACCCCGATCTCTGTGTACGCCAGCCTCTTGGAGTGCCCCAATCGCCAGAACCAATCGCAACAACAAGCGTCCAGGTTCGGTGCAGGCATATCAGGATATGTGTGTGTAGATTGAGTTTCGCTATGTTTCGCTGGACTTGGCCGTGTGAAGTTCAGCTGCATTTTTCAACTCCTGAGACTCCTTCCTGATGTGCCAAGCAGCAAGAGGGAGTTGATTGCCCCGACCATATACCTGTGAGAGCAACGAAAGAACTTTGGGCGACAGTTGCTGAATTCAGGTTCGGGCCGAAGATCGGTCTGAATGGTACCAGCAGTTCTATGCCACTGACTGAGCAATATTCACTTCAGATTTGCCGCTGATGTCTGCTAGGGAATGTTGTAGCACATGGTTGAATCGCTGCTAGCCGCAGGTACACGCACTGTGCAGAGTCACACACTTTTGAAATCGGAACCAGCAAAGGAAATGGCCCTAGAGGAGCGGCACATCTTTGCCGCCACCACACCGCTGTTCGCAGAGTGGGTCGCGCAATTCGGTGTCAAAGAAGGATGTTCGAGCACGTTCGCGTACTCAACTGGATTCGCCGACAGTCGGTACTTAAGTGATTCAGTGCATGGCAGTTCAACGAGAGTAAGATGATTTTTTGTCAATCAGCAGCTTCAGACAAGCGTCGCCCGTGCATTCCATGCCCAGCTGTCACGAGATGAGGTACGGCACCGGCATATCCTTGCCAGTCATCCGGCCCATGTGTACATATACTGAGGCGGGCCGAAACCATTGTCGATTCCCAATGCAGTTGCCAGAAACATAGAGTCACCGATGGTTTTTGGGGAATCCGGGAAGCGTCCGCCGCAGCTGCAGCCTTGCATGACCAATTGGATGAGTCCAGGAGAAGTGAGTTGTAGCAGCTGGAAACACAATTGTTCGCGCCGTGATTCGTCCCAACAACCCCCCATGCTGCCTAGAATATTCAACTCAGAACATGGCCCACGTTGTCGCGTTCCTAGTGCAACTAAATTAGAGGGTGAGTCGCTTCGTTGCTTTTTTTGGGGGGCGGTTTTCCGCTGTGAGAACACACCTGAGAAGACAGAGAGTCGTGCCTTAAAATGGGTTATCAAGGCTGGGTTCGCCCTCGGCTACGGTTCGAATGAAGGAAACCTTGGTGACCCTTGGTCGTTTCTTGTGTCGCAAAAAGCAGCTGTGGAAGTTGCAGCAAATGGTCAACAGTGAGAGAGGTGGTCGACGAGCGAAGGTGGTTGGAAACAAAAAGGGACCCAAAGGAGTAATCTGGAGTGCTTTGAAATCCTGAGCCTTTCACAGAAAGCCCCCCCCCCATAAAGGGAGTGAGGCCTATTCTAGGTGCAAGTGAAAACTCTGTGAGACAAGTGGTTTTTTTCCTGAGCCCAGTACACGTCAGCCCGACACCACGACAAGTGATCCGTGCCCATTGCAGTGAGTCAATTTGAGTCAACTTGTATCAGCATTTACAGAACTTTCCTCATGGCATGCATGTTCGGAGCTTCTGGGAGGCGACGTATTGGCCAAAGAGGGCGCAGGAGCATTGCTGTGACCTCTAACAGCAAGCTCGGAGCTGGTGATTCTGCAGAGTCGACTGGCAGCGCTAATGTTATCTGTTGTAAACATTGTAAACCTGGCAGATTTTGTCAGGAGGTGCTGCTTCTGCGAACCGTTAGCCTATTCTGGGACACGGTGCCTTGGAATGCGAGGTGCTGTGCTTGACAGTGTTCTTCAGAAAGACACGCCAGACGAGTACGCAGCCAATGGCTATGGCAGATTCATCCAAGGAATGTGTCCTCAACTACTTTGCTCGTGCGCATGCAGGACACCCCTGTCTTCACACTTCGAGCAGCAACCCTAAACCCTAAACCCTAAACCCTAAACCCTAAACCCTAAACCCTAAACCCTAAACCCCAAACCCTAAACCCTAAACCCTAAACCCTAAACCCTAAACCCTAAACCCTAAAGCCTAAAGCCTAAACCCTAAACCCTAAACCCTAAACCCTAAACCCTAAACCCTAAACCCTAAACCCTAAACCCTAAACCCTAAACCCTGAACCGAGTCAGAGTCTTCCGAACCCTGAGACTCTTCGGCGACAGCTCCGTTGAGATTCCGGGAGTCTGCAAGCCTCTCCGAGTCGCTCCCACCGCATTGAGTGCTCTGACCTCTACCAAAAGTACTAGTTTAGGGGCGTTTACCAACAACAGGGACCCTTGATATAGACCCCCAAATAGTTGGCTACCCTTTTTCACAAGGACCCCAATAAAGCACCCCCTGATTTCGGAAACACCCTTGTGGGGAACTGCAGCATGTGGGAAGTGCAAGTGTGATTGTGTGCGCAAACCTGGCCGCAGCAAGCAAGGAAGGAGCGGATGGGGTATACTGCCTTTGCGGAGTTTTTGGCCGCCGCTTCGCTAGAACTTAAGCTCTTGCAATGAGTTTTTAGATTGTTTTCATTTTTTGCATCGGCTCATCTGGGCTTGAAAAGAAGTGTGCACTAAACCTGACGCTTGTTTTTGATTTAGGGGGGCCGATGAGACTGGAGATCACAGCTTGCCCTTGCAGATTTTTTGCCAAGGCTGTGATTTACCCATACAGTCCCAGCCAGTTCTGGTTCTACGAGCCTGATCCTTATGTGCGGAGGACTTCTTTGGCAGCGGAGAAGAAGTAGGTCTAGGCCAAGGCATTTCTGCAGTGTGCTCTGACTTTGCCAACTGTATCAGGCTGTACGCCATGGGTGTGCCGATCTACATGCCCTCACGCGACACGCTGCCGTTGTACGTCAGTCAGGAGGGATGTGCAAAGAGCCACTTTCTTCACCGTTGCTGGAATCTATCGAGGGCTCTTTTGGGATGATTTGAGCTGCGGCCAGGACTACTCTGTCTGCCCAGACTTCGAAGGTAACCGGCCTGGACACGCACCACATCGTGTGCATCCACATTCACCCTTCGCAGCTTTCACCGCGCTTAGGTTTTGTCACTTTGAGCTTGGCCTCTCAAAGTTGTTGGGTAAGTGAAGCCCATGAGGTTGCCGCTTCTACTGAAAGTTTCATGAACTTAGCCTTCATCAACCGCATCTCGATGCTCCGAGGACACTGATGACTGGGCCGCCATGACGTAACTCGGACGCAGCACCAACCTGGATTCTCTTTGTTGGTATGCCGGGGCAATTCCAGCATTATCCAGGTATTGGGCAGCCTTCACTGACTACCTGACCCTGCCACACATCTCCCATTTCGACTCGGTACCAAGCTTGCTCAGGCACTGCCCTCAGGCACAAGCAAGACGTGCGCCTGAGGGCCTTGTGAGTCAGGCAGCTGCAGTCTGCAGATCACCAGAAGATCAGCCACTCCATGCAGAGAGCACATGTTCTCGACTCAGCTCAATGGCACGATCGCTGCAGCATAAATGTGCAAGAAGTTGGCCAGAGGAAGCACTAGCAGTGAGTTCGTGATTCTCTTTGATTCTCTGTGACAGATGGAGCACCTGGGGGTGGCAATGAGCTTCTGGAGTCAGGCTGGTCATGCCAAGTGATGTGTCAGCATCGCTGCAGATGCAACTTGACGGTTGGCACGTGTTATCACGGGTGAACTTGGGCTAGGGCCTCTAGGGGTAGCAAAGCCAAGCGTTGCCGTAGACATCTCTTCAGGGAACGAAGAGACTTCGGGGCTGCAGCAGCATGGCTGGCCTGCACATCGTACAATCCATGTGCGCAGTTCTCTTCCTGGAATGCGTACACAATCCAGAGGAGAAAGAAGACCCCAACCAGAACGCCCAAGCTGATTGCTTTTCTTTAGAGAGTGTTGGAGGCTTTGGAGCTTATCGCCTCTCTGCGAGGGATTCCACGCACGGTGAGCGGCGTGGAGCAGGCGGCATGAACACGCACCTCTCGACAGAACAACTTTTTGCCCAGATTGCAGGTAGCTGGAGACCTGGATGCCTCGGACGAGCACCGAGACCTCTCCACTCGCCAGCCCAGCGGCCGGCTGGCCAAATGGGAGCTAGGAGAACACAACTGGATTCAACGGGTTCAGAGGCACGAGCTGAGTGCTTGTTGTCACATCCTCACTTCAGGGGGCTCGCCAGCTCGGCCGGATGGGGCTCACCGGCTGGCGAATGATGGGCAGACACGACAGGAGCCCGACGGGACATTCGGCAGAGACAGCCAGGAACAAAGGTGGAAAACTTCAGAAGTTAAGTTCACCTCGAGCCCTGAAATTCATGTCTCCCGTAGCATGCATGTATGTTCTAGTATTTTCTTGTTATCTGCAGGATCATCCGCATGAGTACCACTTTGACCTGGACTCTGCGAACAAGGTGCTTTCGGCTGCCACGCAAGGTAGGGATAGCTAGGGTTGAATTGCTGTTGCTGGCAACCTTATAAATCTTGCTTGACTCTTGTGCAAACGATCGAGAGACCTGTGCTGCAGCTGTTTCGCTCCACTTGCAGGCGTCTCCTAAGGGCAAGTACGGCGCAGACCCCAGTGCTTAGCACGTTGAGATCCCCGTTGCGCCGTGGGCCCGCGTTCATTGGTTGCGCTCTGAGTCGGCGGTTCTCATTGGTGGGTGAAGTTGCGACGGACGGCTTCCGACCCAGAGGCACCCCCAAAGATCGCCCAAGCTTTGTCGGACCTTGTCATCTTTCCCCGCAGCCGTTCCTCTGCCAGTCCTTTGAAGGTGAAGGTCTGGTCCAGAGACTGTTGCACAGAGACATATGGTCCGGGCCTTAGCCACTTTGCTCACTTTCCACACTGGAATCGCTGCTCTGGAGCTGCATCTGAGGTCACGTGCTGTTTTTCCTGCTGGGCAACAGCTCCAACATCAAGGCTGCAGCTGAATGCGCCTCCCTCAAGGCAGGCTGCGGAGCACTTGCAAAAATCTGGAAGGCCCATTAGATGAGCCCATCAAACCGATGATTTGCTTCTGGAGGTGCCGAGCAACGTGGAGGTTTCAACTATCTGCCCTGGCAGAGGCGACTACCTCTTCGTGGAGGTGCAGATGGGGCAGTGCAGATACTCGCAACCTCTCGCACCTGCGTAAGATAAGCAGGCGTACGTGATCCTCTTGCAAGGAACAAGCCCGAATACTCTGAGTTGGATCCAGTTTTCCGAGTTGATCGGTGCTTCTCCCGTGTATAGTGCAGCCGAGACAACCAAGAAACTCAACAAATTTGGCTTCGGAACTTTCACCGGCTTGACCCTATATGCTGATTGCTCGAGTTCGTTCTGACCCATCTGACTGTTTTTGGTTCACTTCTTGGGTGCCAGTAGATAAGCTCACTTTGAGCATCTTCGGGCATGAACTGAGGCATCAGGCTTTAAAGAAGCGAGCTTTGGATTTGTGATTCGAAGAGGTCCTTGCCCTCAACGCATGTGAAGTTGGGTTTCCATGGGCCGATGGCCTGTAGGGCTCGCTTACCGACACCGCATGCGCCGCATGCCTGCACACTTTTGTGTTTACAGTAGCAGAACAGCATACTTCATTTACTTCATGTGCTCTTTCATCTGCACAGATTGATCTGGAGAGACACAGCTGGTGGGTAGCATGCTGTTCATCGTATTGGCTTTGGTGCTGTTGTGCAGGCTCGCCCGCATGCGGGCTTCGATTACACGGACAGCTCTGTCGCGGTCTTGATGTTGCCTGAGGTGGGCGCAGGGCGATCATGCGGGGCGCGGGCGCAGCTGCTGGATTTGTGATACATTGTTGTTTGCTGCTCCCTCGGCTCAGGTGCGCGTGCTGAGCCGCGACTGATGTCAAAAAAGGTTTGTGCCGCACTGCCCTTATGCGATACTATTTTTGGGAGCTCATGTCACAACCATGCTAAAAATGGGCACGCCAAACAGCACGTGGAGGTCACATGTTTTCAGAAGCGAAGTGGGGTACAGTGAATGTGAACATGCAAAGGGTTCCCAAATTCGCGGTTGCCCACCACAGCAGCATGGGTCGGAGATGTGATGAGTGTAGTTCTGTCTGGTTTTGACGATGGTGTGGAGGCTTGTAGCGGCGAAATCAGAAAACATACGTGACCGGAAGCCATTCGTGCTCTAAAGAGCCTGGTCATGTGTCACTCTTATCTCTGTTGCACGAGTTTGCATCGTAGATGAAGTCCAACTACAACTTCGGCTTGTGCATTTGTTGTGAGCGCGTCAATGTACCAGCAACCAGCATGTGGTGCTAACCAGCTCAGCGCCTTGCTGCTTGTGTCTGCTTGTGCGCACGTCGACATCGCAACATGGGCCATGCTCGGGATGCCCAAGCCTCGCTGGAAGAGCGCCAACATCAAAGTCTGAGACGTTCGGAGATCTGGGAAGGCAGAATGTGAAGGCATTGAGTGAAAGACACAGAGGAGCTACATGGGAGCTTCACTCCCATGTCTTTTCCAAGGCCAGCAGCCGCTCGTTGGCCAATGCTGCCGTGGCACCCTCAGCATCAGCTGAGCAACGGGCCTCCATATGCCTCCAGATAGGCTTCAAGATGCCTCAGCCCCCGCTTGCCTCAAAAGAGTCCTCTCAAGACTCAAGAGTCGGTCGGAATGTTTGGCGATGCTTGCGATGCTTCAGGGGATCTGCTTGGTGTCCAAGGCGACGGCACTCAGCTCTGGGCTTCCCGCTGCTTTGGGCCGTGCTGCGGCGGCAGCTGCGGAACCTGCTTTAGGGGTCGTGGCGGAGAGCCGCAGGCCACCGGGGATTTCTGTCGGTGAGCTCTGTTTGCAAGACCCCACACACGAGCATCCCTCTCTCGATTTTCGGTGGTCATGGAAGTTGAAAGGCAAAGAGAGCAGCAAGAGCATCTGCTCGTCAAAGCACAAGAGGAGCTCCAAAAGGCTCCTGGGCTTGTGCGACTTACGTAACGACGCATTCCCATCGAGCTGCTTGGATGCTGTGCATCCTAGGCAACACGCAATGCTCAGGCAGTGCCAACCCAAGACAGAGATGCTTGCATTCTGCATGAGCTACTGGCATGGGATACTTCCAGGGCATGGTTTGAACCCTTCAATCAGACTCTCCAGCCTGCAGCGAAACGTGCAAAAGCAGCATGTGACAAAGTCTGGCTAAGTATGGCTGCGTCTGAAGGCTGTGGAGCGCCGAGCAGGTGCTCCACCTGAGGCCTGCCTCGTTCTGCCATTGGCAAAGCGCTGCATCAGTGACTGTAACCAGCACCATGACGTGCGATGACAGCTGCTATCCCACGTGGCGTTGAGTAGTGCTGTTGCAGCCGCTGCTGCCATCATGCTGATTTCCATGGCGCATGGATGCACACAATGAGCGTACCTCGCTTTGGGCTGTTTTCTGGCTCAGACTAGTCACGCCAACCTCACAGAAACAACGTGGGAGCTATTTCCCACCGAAATCTGGCACGCGAACGTAGAAGCTGCCGGCTTAGCTTGAGCAGATCTGCAGCTGCGCACCTGGCTCGTTCCTTTGATTTGATGCCTCCTCAAGCTTCATTTTGCAGCACCGAAGGTCATGCCTGCAATGCCTGCTGTCCTTCGGCTTTTGATGGTACTGGCCGCGGCCTTGATTTGGGAGCTCCTTCCTGCTCATGTGCATGGGGCTTTGTGTCATGCCAGGCGTTGGGCGCGCCCCGCCTCGTTGCCTCGCTACCGAGCGTGACCTGGAAGAATTGGATCAACAATCTTGGCCGTCTCTGTTCATTGTTCAAGCGACATGCAGTGAACTGCCGCGAACTTGAGGCAGCAAATCTCCGGACAGGTGGTCACAAAGTGGATGAGGTCCACGGATGAATGCAGCGAGAGGGCGCTTGCCGGGGCGTTGCGCATCCTGTGAGGACACCTTGCAGGCGATGCTTCGGGAGATTGAAGAGGATGAGGGTCTGCAAGCCCTCTCAGAAGAGGTTGGGAGCAAAGCAGTCTGCACCGGCACTGGTCCCAAATGGCTCCAATTCTCGGCGGCCGGCCTGAGGTTGCAGCCCGATTCCGGAAGCCTAGCTTTCAGATTATTCGAGCACCAGGCTGCGCTGTGAGACGACATTTGTCAAAGTGCTGATGCCCAGTGCGAACATGGTGGCAGGTGAGTCGATCAATGATGAAGGCAAGGACATGGAGGAGAGAGGGAGAGAGGTGCAGTTGATGCGCTCCTGATCTCCTGCCCTTATCAGTTAGTTCTGTACAAAGAGAGACGGGCACATCGCACGCTCAGCGCAGGGGCCATTAATCCGCAGTGTCTTTCGAAAGCAAGCAAGGAAGAACGGAGAGAAGAGGTTTCCAGGCTGATGGAGCAGAGTGACCACCGAACACATTGCACCTCATATCCACTTATACTCTATACGCGAACATATGTCCACGAGCTGTGTGATTTTTCCGCTAGATCGTTTCGTCTCAATTTCGGCTGCAGGTCACCTGGTTTGACCTGAGCGCGTATCAATGAGCTTCCGAGGACTCTTGGGGCCCTGGCAGATCAGGATCGGCTTGTAGGTCCCCAATTCATGGCTGAGCCATTCATGGCTGTGCCGCCAGCTGCTTCCGAATGACTTCATCGTTTACAGAGTGTTGCTATTATGGAACTTTGCGTGTTAAGTTACATGTGTTTGATGGAGCTGGAGCAGTCTCTCTTCACGGCACATGTACATACCGCTGGCATGTCCTTGGAGCAAGGAAGGAAACTTGTTTAAAGTAAATAAAAGCAGAAACTTAACGTCACAACAAGCTCGATAGGCTGGCGCCTGGCGCCAATCAGTGCGACCGTAGATAGCGAGTGAACTCGCGGACGCCGAAGATGCACAGAGTGACCTTGTGCGGAGAAAGCTTGGCATGCCCCAGTTCAATCATGCCTCGATGTGGATGTAAAAATTGTCCTTGCAGGTTGAAGCTCGCAAGACTCCGGCGGGAAGGTGGACGGGAAACCCGAAGGGAAAAGGGGGAGCCAAGATGTATCGGCTTTCCTGTGGATGGAAGTCATGTTTCTTCTGATCGCCCTGTTACCGTTGGCAGGTCAGGCAAAGTCCGTGCACAATCGCCGCGCACGCGAGCTGCAAGGGCCCTTGCTTGGATGTTCTAGTCAGTCGGGGCCGTCGAAGCCTTTGGCTTGTGGTTAACCATGTCCATCAAGAAGAGCTCTTTCATTTGCACAGAGTTGCTTACAGTACATGAGAAAGGCGTATCTGCACAAACGAGCGGCAAACATGGCTTGCCAAAACTATCGTTTCCACATAAGATGTCCTGAGGTTCGTCCAGTACTTCGAGGGCCAGTCCCTTCTGCCAGGTGCAAGCTGTTGGGTGGAACAGCCACTGACCATGCAAGAGTATGCAGTTTTTTGATGCCAACCTCTCGCTGATGCAGAGGCGCCACTCCGGAGATGGAGAGGCATGTCGATTTCCTCTGCCAATGCCTGCGCCGCCCTTCACTGCTTACAGGGGCCGCACGTCTTGTGATTTTCCTTGAAGCCATTAAGCTGAAGCAAACGCGGACAGGCCGGTGCAGTTGATGGCCATCCTCCAAGCGGTGTGAGCTTTGCACTTAGTTCATCGCAGCTTAGCAGGCGTTGGGGGCAAACAGTTGAAGATACTGAAGTGAGAGTCGCACGCAGGTGCTTCACTGCGCGCTGCAGCGGCGCTGTCGCCGCATCGGGGCTTCTGCCGAGTTCACAGTCAGACGGCACCGCTGCCATAATCGTGCAGAGTACCGTAGCCACATTTGTGCAGTTGCTCTCTGTCGCTCTCTCGCTCTCTCGCTCTCTCGCTCTCTTTCTTTCTCTTTGCGCTGAGTGCACTTCAGAGCACAGTAAGCCAAGTCTCAGAGCCTGCTTGCTGAGACCACGCTGCGTCAGGGGCGTCCTTGCACCTTTGGCAGCAAGATGATGAATCAATAGCCGGTCATGAATCAGGATTTGATACTTGATAGCGGTTGGAATGGGGAGCCGGATGGTGGGCACGCAAGATGGTGAAGAAGATAAGAGAGGTCTCCCGAGCCAAGGGCCTGCCCTAGGCCCCAGGTGCTCTTGCAACGAGGAGATAGTTGGGGGTGAACCACCCCTCAAGACTTTGAAAGAACATCCAAAATGTTGCCCCGGCAGGAATTGCGCGAAAAGTTGTGGTGGTCACGGGGTGCAACTCGAGGGCGGCAGAAACTCTTTGGCAACGCTCTGCCGTCCATCACGTTACTGGCACTCCAACTGGTCCTGCTCTTGATGCTCGTCCACGTGAGCCTGATTAGGCCTCATCCTTGTTCAAGCCTGCGGCCCTCCCTTAAAGCAAACACACACACACACATCTTTGACTTTCGGAGGATGCCCAAGCAGTGCTCCTCAGGCGCTTTCAGGTTGTTCTTAGGATTTGCGCGTGTTGCACAGCACAGCAAATGAACCCCAGCTTGGTGTAACTTCGTCGCCGGTCCGGGGGCCTCCCTCGGCCTCCCTTGGCCTTTCCATGCCTGAGAGAGCGCCTCGCTCCCACGCTTGCCCAGAAGCAGAACAAGAATGTAGCTAGCGAGGGATGCAAGCTAAATGGAGGGGATCGCTTGAGCCTTGAGTGTTGTCACCCAGCAGGGGGTTGTGAATCACATCGTTCACCGAAAAAGCCTGGTATAGCCTGCGTGGCCCATGGCAAAAAGGCGTCATCTTCAAAGTTAGTAAGACGCCGTGAAGTCTGGCAGAAGTAAAGTTCGAGCCGGACCGTTACCTGTTTACGAAGTGCGCAGGCGTGTTGTTAAACTTTAACAGTTAAAGCTATTTCTCTCTTTCTCTCTCACTCTCATACTGTTGTAGATGGTTGCAGGTACCTTGTTGAGTTGGGTCTTGCAGCTTGCGTTGTGCAGGTTGTGTATGCTTTGACTGGGCATCAGCTCACGGCTTGCCCCGTTTAAGTTTGGTTTGGTTTCCTGCCAGCTCGTCCTTTTGGAGACCATGATGACCCTTGGGTTAGGTGGAGTGGGACTGTTGTCCAGGGAGGAGAGTTTCTCGCATAGTTGCTGCCCCGTGTCCCCGGCAAGTGCTCAATTGCTGAAATTCTGAAGCGGGGGGAGGAGAAAGAAAGATAAAAAGACTCATCATCATCAGCAGAAGAAGAAGAAGAAGAAGAAGAAGAAGAAGAAGAAGAAGAAGAAGAAGAAGAAGAAGAAGAAGAAGAAGAAGAAGAAGAAGAAGAAGAAGAACCGAGCGCAAGGCGGAATAGCCGCCAGCAGGCCGCCGATGCTCATTCAGGGGTTTGGGACGAAGCACTTGGGCCATTGTTCATCCGAGTGCAGCATCTGAAGTCCCGACCGTGAGCAGGCAAGCTCCCGGCTTGCTTGGACCGCGCCCGCAACTCCAGGTTGCAAGGGTCATAATCAGCTGATGAACTCATGAAGCTAAGTAGGCAGAGCTCGCAACACTTCCGTTGACAAAATGGCAAAGGAGTTGGGGGCTTATGCTGGGCAATCAGAGCAGGGGCCGCGGCTCCGTCGGCAGAGCCGCCGTCGGAACCAGAAGAGCCCGAGAAGGCCCCGCGGATTCGGTAGAGTAAGGCATGCTGTATAAGCGCACTTGAATTGCAAGTTCCCTGCGGCAAGCACGTGTCAGGAAGAGCCTGTGCAGCCTAGCACGCGGAGACCCTAGCAACAGCCTGACCGCTTCTGTTGGTTTCTCTGAAATCGGCGCTTGTCATTGTCTGAATGTGTTTGATGCCTTCTTGCAACAAGTTATCTTCGAATTACAGCCAGGGCGCAACCGGTGCAATCTTCTCCATCCTGGAAGCGGCTTGCCGGAGCTCCCGGTTTCTTCAGTGACTGATAGCACCCACAAGATTTGCGTGGCCAGCTGCTTTGGCGGCTTTGGCGTGTGTGACTCAATGTGCGGCTGTGCTCAGTCTCTTCTACTAAGGAGAAGACCGTAACTGCCTATGTGTCGCGCCGGAATGTCAGCTTGCCAGGGCCATATGCAGCCTTTGACTGTCCACAGCGTGATAAAGCACCGGACTTCTTTGTCGCAGCTGTGGGGTGACAAACTTTGACGAGCTTTGTGCGGCACCTTGAGCTTTTTCTCTGGCTCAAGAGTGCGGGCAGGGCAATACGTTAGCAAGACTGCACATCCCACTTCGAGACCGCCCGAAGTCCGCACCAGAGAGCCGATCATGACGGAGAAGATGGAGGGAGTGTGGAAGATCGAGCAGATGTTTGTTGGCCCGGAACTTGGTGAGTACCCCCTGTCCGAGAAGATGAGCGGGAAGCCGATTCTGTTGAGCATCTCCGCCGGCCCAGACGGTTCCTTTCAGATAAACACCAGAGTTGTGAACAACATGTCATTTTCTGCATCCTCCGCTGCGAATGCCAGCTTAGCTCCTTTTGATGCCTTGACTGTGAGTCCTGGCGTGTCAACTGAGATGATGGGTCCCGCGCCCATGATGGATGCCGAATCGCAGCTGTTGAGCGGTCTTGCAGGTGCTCGCAAGTGGATCGTTTCTGAGCACAAGTCTGAGCACAGGTTGCTCATCAGTGGGCCGACCTTTGAGATCATTTGCGCGCCATCAACAGAATAGCCCGATCTCGCTGATACGGAGCTGATCTCACACTGGCTTCGCATCGTTTCCGTCCGTACAGATTGCCTGGGAGCTTTGGTACAGATCGCTCCGAAAGACGAAAGAGTGCTGCAAGTCTGCAGGTAATCAGCGTTCCGCTTGGGTCTCCGACTCCAACTCAAGCTCTGCCTCTAGCTGCTAGCTCTCTTTCTTCCTATCTATGCTGTCCATACACATCCCCTGTAGACAGTCTGCCCGTTGCACTTGCTGAGTCAGCCTATGCATGAATGTACTCATCCACCCATCAGTTTGTCTATTTGCAGCATCTTGAGGTCAGAGTACGAGCAGGTGTGCCAGCGCTATGAAGGGCCCGTCGGCTGAGCCTTTCAACTTTGTTGCGAAAGGAGCATATGACAGAGACTTGAGCGAGTGTGCGAATGTGTACACGTTGTGCTTCGTTCAGGTCTCAGTAGTTGCCGTTTCAAGAAGTCTTACTTAGCATGTGAGGCACTTGAACGAATTGAAAGTTCTCTGCGATGCTGTGCGTCAAACCAACACGCTCTGACCTCGGACACACGCCATGTGAGCTTCGCATGGGCATGTCTCAGGTGGGAGCCCTGTTCAAGTTTAGGTGTTCGGGATCCAAACCACAAAGCAGGGTCGAACAATTTGAGACTTACCTTCGTGTTAAACGGCTCTTGAATGTGCCGCCGGGGTGTGAGTCATTCAGGCGCGCGTCCTCAAGGGCCAGTAGAAGCAAGTGATTGGCCCCTCACAGATGGATTGCGAGAAATTGCGCTGAAGTGCAGCGCATACCAATGCACGAAGTAGCACGAAGTTTGCTTCAGCAGCTTTCCTAACTATGCTTTTGTTGCAGTTCTCCACGGACTACCTCTCCAGAGAGGAAGCCTTGCAGTGCGCCAGACAGACACACGGGGGCATGGTTTCTACAGTCTCACATTCAGCACAACATCCATCAGCTCTTGCAGGTATCAGTTTTCGAGACCTGCACGACGACAAGGTGAGCAGCCTGAGCAGCCATCTATCAACGTGTGTACTTCACAACTTGAGGAGTTTGACTGTTTGTGCGAAACTGCTGCAGTAATGTACCTTTTTCAAGCGTTTTATTGATAATGTTACAGCCACGTTTGTCTCAGGCGTTTCGAGAATTCCTCGAACTCCGTGATCCACTTCTAAGCTCGAGGGCATGGGTGCCCAGACTGCCCACATGCTTATAAGTTCTGTCTTGGCAAGGCGCTTAGTTCAAAGGCCTGGAGGGTGAACCACAGTCACAGCCATGCTTAAAGGAGTCTAGCAGGGCCTGAAATGACAACTTTCGGGTCTCTTGATCGACGGCTTCTCATCGCCCAGGCGGCCCGACAGCGCAGCTGCAGCCCGCCGCAGGCCCACAAAGTTGGGAGCTTCTTTTGGTGGGGGCTTCCTGCAGGTGTGTTGCGTACAGTTGAGCTTCTGGTTAACAGTGGTTGCCAGGCCCCCCTAAATCCGCCGCCACCTCCGGCACCCCGAGCGAGGCTTGGATTTGTAGAGGACGCGCAGACAGCCCTGAGACATCTAGACAAGACCACCATCGATAAGCCACGGCTGCAAAGTGTGACAGATCTCCGCGCCGAGAGCTGCGCCCGGAGCCGCGCAGATCCTTCTCAGGCACTGGGAAAGCTAGATGGTGCAGGATGCGATCAGCTTAGTTTGAACACGCGACCTTGTTTCTTCGCAGGTCGAGTAGCCAGCACTCGCCTCCCCGAGGAGAGCCATCATGAGGCTTCGACCCCCCCCCCCCCCCGCCAAATGGGGTGGAGTAGTTGGTTATAGTCTTGTTTCCCGGTTCTGAATCTGAAGCTTGGGGCTCACGTCCGAACCCGCGAGTCCTCCAGCTGTAAACCTTTCGTGCGGTAGAGGGCCGCCAGGGCACCACAGAGTCATTCATGGCTCCATCGTCCTGGGGTGCTGCGTGCCCAGCTTCAACTTTCATGCAGGTCTTCCGGAGAGGCAAGCAACCCTGGGCCATGAAATGAAGAAAGCAACAGGAGTTAGATGCTTCGGATCTCTGTGCAGCAGCCCCTCCCAGTTGCTGTGGCGGGTACTCCAGAGGTGCGGTGCCGAAGGGTAATCGCTTCATACTGTTGACTTGCGTCGGCGAAAGGCAGAGGCAAAGGCAAAGATAGGAATCATCAGATCGATTCGGCTGGCGAGGACCGATGCGGCAAAGGCAAAGGCACCGAAAACCACGACTGTTTCTCACACAGCCCAGGGCCCAAGGTTGGCCCGGACTGGTGGCCAGTTTTGGGCACTTGGGCATCCCTTGCCGGGTGGGTGGCGGGCTGGTCTTGCGTCGTTTGAGGTTATCGTTGTGTATTCCTGGGTTTCCCCTCCCCTCGGATCTTTGTGCACAGCTTTTCTCAAGACTTTGTGGCTGCATTGCGTGCCCTCGGGACGGTGCGGCTTGGACCGAAGCGGGGGCTTTTCCGAAATAGGGCCAATAGGGCGAAGGAACGCTATGTGCCATGATCTTGCACATTGTGCCTCGTCATGGTTCAGCATCCCGCCACCCGCTGTCAACGCCTGGCATAACTTGCATCTGTGCAGTTCGAGATCCATAACGTTGCTGCTTCGGCCTGTGCCAGGCCGCCGAGGAGAAACCCGTCACACCTCCGCTTTTGAGTGCCTGGGATTCTGCACATGGCCTTTCTGAATCAGCCATCGCTTTGCAGTGCGTTTAGTAGTGCTTGGCAACTGAAGCCGACTCTTGGGGTTTCAACTTTTTCAATGCACATGATGCACATTCCAAGGTGCTGGAGTTCTCTCTGAGACCCCGGTATCCATGATCACCTTCGGCAGGGATGAGGAGCATTCCAATCATATTCTACAGAGTAGTGAGCAAGCCATTTCCCACAAATCCAAGCAGGACAACGACTTGGAGCACGTGCGCAATTTGTTTGCTACGCAGGCCCAACCTTGGCAAAATCTTACAGCACAGAGCTTAGACTTAATATACTTAATCAGGCGAAGTGCGTTGGGGCCAGGTTCCAGAAGCACTTGTTCTTGGAGTTTATCGCGTGGAGAATCCCACTTTAGCCGGGGCCTCAGGTCATGCCTGCTTCTTTATTTCCGTTGTCCCTCGCCGTATAATTGCCGTAATCTGCCCCACCCTACAATGGAGACGCCTTGGCCTGACCACTACCAGCGGGGCCGTAAGCCATTTGAGGCGTGGCTGCATATATCGAGGATCGGGCAGCATGGCCACCCAGCTCGCCAGCGAAAACTTCATGTGACCTCTAAGTTTTGTGGCGAAAGCCGGCTGAGATCGCACATGAGCAACACATAAACCCTCAGCAACTCCTTGGCGTATGGGGAAGTCTTTTTTGCAGACCCACTCGCATTCACTCGCGTTCTCTCGGAGAACGTTTTCGCCTCGCTCCTTGCCTCGATCGCCTTCGTCAGGGCTTTGAGTTCTTATAAGGCTGGGGTCTATGCGGCCGTGCGTGACGCCATGGGCAGCGACTGTGAGCCGGGATCCGAGCCGAGAGAGCAGAGGATAGAATAAGAGAACAGGATTCTGAGAAACAAAGCAGCAAGCAGAGAGGGAAGAACAAATCCGGAGAAGCGGCGTGCTTACCAGGCTTACCGCTCTTTGCATTGCTCTGTGTCTTTCGAGGCTGGACTTGTGGCATGGCACGTCGAGCGAGCTCTCCCCTCAGCAAGGAGCAATCAGGAGAACAATCAGGAGAACAATCAGTGGCTTTCAAACTTTGAAGCCAAAACAGGGAATGTGGCGAGTCAGTGGTAGGAAAGCTTGGATGGTAGAGTTTGTTCTGACGGGTTTCTTTGCAGATGCGTTCCCAACATCGTTCTCAACGGCTTCAACCGAGCTTACAGCGGTCGACATGGAACCAGCCTCAGCCAGGCTCAAGATTCAGTCTTCTCTTTGCTACGGCTCTGATCGCCGTAGCGTTAGCGCATATGCTGTTTTCGCAGAGTAGCTTGCTTATTTAGTTGGCCCCGTGTGGCATGGGATGGGGCCCTTGCCGACAGTCTGAGGAACAAAGCTGGGTCACGGCTGCTACTTTTCTGCTTCTGCTGCTTACAGCGCCTCGCCGGCAAAAGCGGGCTCTGGAAGTTGAGCTTTGCACGTTGATGTTACCTGCATGGTCTCAGTCGTCGTTATGATTTTGTGGACATGCTACATGTTCAGTCAGCGCGATGCCAGGTACAAAGTTCTGTGAGCGGAAGCGGCACCGGCGAATGGTGTTCTTCGCAAAAGTCCTGGTCGGGGTACGCTGCCCAATACGGCCAGCGGCCACAACACTACGCACCAGTGGTGATCTAGGTCCCAAGCTTTAAGTCCTCGGTTTTAGGTACTGGGTAGTAGGTCCTAGGTCCTATGTTCTAGGTGCCTGCTTGAATCAAGGCCTGGGCGAAAGGCTCTCCCGACCTTGTGGAGTTTGCACCTTACTGGGCCATCAGTGCTTGGGCATACGTTGGGGCGACTTTTGTCTTTCGAGGCCGCCTTGTCGCGACAAGGATGGCCTGGTGCGTCCGCGCCCGACTTTTCGGTTGGTGATGTTTTGGTGGACATCATTGCAATGGAGCTTTTCGATGGCTGGGATGTTCAAGGTTTTGACAGCACTGTGGACGACGCAGAGTGCCCGGTGAACTTTTGCATCTTCCGGGACTTTCAGGTCAGACCACGGGGCTTTCGCGTGTTCGTACAAGATGCAAACGCCCATTCATCGTGTGCTGAATGCAGGCCATGCCAACATACCTTCTGGAGTTCACGATCTGACCGATGCAGTGAACAAGTTCTGAGTCGTAGCCGGTCGAAGCCTCACAGCGTCTAGCGTTTAAACCCCTTCCACAGTGCCAGGCTTCTGCTAAGGGACCCTGGCACTTCTTGGCAGTGGAATCGATTTTTCGACGGCTTGCCGTTCGACCAAGGCCAGCAATTGCCGACCAGTCAGCCGTCCGCGCGGTTAATCCTACAGCATGATAAATATTGATCTGACACAACTTTTGTTAGTTTCATTCCACACTGTTCCCGTCAGCGGTTGTTGGCACATTCGACTCGGATGGAGTCCCTGCAGAGTCCCACTGGAGTGCCTCCTTTAAGTGCCTCCTTTGTGGACTGGGCTCCGTTGTTTTTTTCTATGACTGGTGTGTTTGCCAACCCAGAGCCCCTAGCAGAACTTCCTCAGTCATGACGTCTTTGGCAAGCAGCATCGGTCTGTGACAGCAAGTAGACTCGTAGGAGGAAGATGCTCCGAAAGTAGGGGGAGGCTTCGGAGAGATTCCTATCAACTGGACGAATAAAAATTTAGAGTCGTGAAGGTTGCCTTTGATTGTTAGGACCTTTGGGGGGCATGGCTGTGTGCCATGCACTCCCTAGATCTCAGCAAGATAAAAAATCACAACGCTGAAGGTGAAACACAAGGCCTGATTTTCAGCAATTACTGGAGCCGGAGTATCCAATCGTGGGTGCTCGCTGGCGCCGCCTCGTTCTTCGTCGTAGCCGGCGGCCCAAGCCACGGGACGACGTCCGGGTTCCAGTGGCCGCTCGGCATGGTGCTGCGGTTGTACTGCAGGGTGAGGGGGTGCCAAGGGGGCCCCATGCCAGGGGAGGTTGTCGAGGCTGCGTGAGTCCTTCAGACCCCACGCCCGCGGCGTTTGCACGACGTTGTGTTGGTAGATGTGTGCTGTGTGCAGTGTGCTTTGCGTATATTGCATGCTCAGAGTCGTATCTCGCAGTCCGCGCAGGACCGTCTTTGCAACCCCCGGGATGTACCCGAAGCCCTTGCCGAAACCCTAAACTGTAATTGCCCCTTTGTGGCTTAAAACCTTGGGCACGGGCTATGGCATCTAGAAAGTCTACCGGGAAGAAACCAAAACATCAACCTAACCCCTTTTGCGGCCCCCAAGCAAATTTGGCGGGACCAGGTTGGTCCGGAGGCCCGACTGAGGCGAATTTGTGGTGGACGCTCAGGATCGTTCCTCTTGCCCTCAACCCAACCCTGGCCCAAGTCATCACAGGGCAGAACGCGGGACAGCTAAGCGACATGTCTTGGCATACGATCTTTGCCAACCTGGAAGCAATCATCTCTTCGTGCTGAGAGCAACTGTACTTGCCAAAAAGCATCTTCGAGCATCTCTGCACTGGGCTCAGAACCAGGCCTGCGCAATTTCGACTTCTTCCCAGTATAGATGACATAACAAGTGCCAGTTCCTTGGGTCAAAATTGCCAGTACAGGCCTCGGCATTTCACCTGCGTACGTTTCCTGCCGCTGCTGCGGCCAGAGCGTCAAGGACACGCTCTGTTCCGAGGATCTCCGGGAGATCACGTTTTGAATCCTGCACAATGACATGATTGTCGCATGCACGCAACAAAAAGTCCAGAATGCAGCTTTTCGTGCATGAGGTCCGTCCTATTGGGAAGTTTTGGTGGCTGCAGGTGATGTTGTCTGCATTCGCAGCTTGTTGCCGGTCAGCTAGTATCCAGCAAAAACGCAAGCAGATCGTACCTAGTCTCGACTAGTTGCAGTCCTCAGATCAGCTTCTAAGCGGTAGCATTTGCTGCAGTGCATAGATGCTTACTTCAGATTCTTCGCAACACACCGAGCGGTGGAAATGCAGATCCGGATGAGGAACCTTCCCGAACCTAGTTCTTGCCAACTCCCAAGCACCTTAACCCGAACTAGTGGCCCAAAGGTTATGGGCTATGGGCCATGGGCCAAAGTGTTTGGCTGATCGGCCAGGCTTGTGCTGGTGAAGGTCGAAGGCCTGATGAGTCTTGCTGTGTAGTGCCAGGGTTCTGGCACGGGCAAGGATCCACTAGCTAGCCTGGTTGGCAGAGGTCGAAATGCACCCATCCTTCGTGCCCCCACCCCAGTGGCCACCACCTGCGCGCCCTGCACTCAGCCCAGGGCTGCAGAATGTCGCAGAGCTTGATCGGGGCCTATGATTGAACTGGAGACATGCCCGCGTGACTCAGGCTATCCTCCGCAAGGCTTTGCCGCACCGCAGCCCTTTCCACCGTCGGCATGCATGGGTCATGGGTATCCACCGCCCCCAGGCCCAGCGTATCCAGCCAACGCAATCCCTCGACAAATGACACCTGCCCCAACACATCCGAGCCTCAACCACCCACCCACTTCCACTTTCGTCCCAGGCATCCCGGCAACTAGTGCACTTCCTGGTGCGATGCCAGGCGGAGTGCCTGGTTCAGTGCCCAGTGCAATGCCAGGCGCGATACCCGGCATGATGCCTGGCACAATGCCGGGCGCAACAATGCCCGGTGCGATGCCGGGTGCAACAATTCCTGGCGCAATTCCGGGTGCAGTGCCGGGAACAATGCCTGGTGCCATGCCAGGTGCCATGCCAGGTGCCATGCCTGGTGCCATGCCGGGTGCCATGCCGGGTGCGATGCCAGGTGCCATGCCAGGTGCAATGCCAGGTGCAATGCCAGGTGCAATGCCTGGCACATCCCCTGGTGTACCTCCACAGCCGCCCTCAGCCCCATCCCCAATGCCACCTCAGGCATCCTTCACATCCCAGCCTTCCCCAACTGGCCCAACCGCTCCTCCGCCACCGTGTCCACGATCTGCCCCTGCACCAGCTGCCAAAGATAGCACAGAGGGTGCCAAAGCCGGTGGCAGCGAGTGGCCAGCGCCTCTGCGCACTCTGAGATCTCTGAGCGTGGAAGCAACTGTTCCCCAGGTCTGGTCAATCCTTCGAAGACACAATTGGTGAAGTGACTTAGCTGCGATACCTGCTGAATACTTCAGAGTGTAGCAAAAGCGTGCTTGCTTTTCCGTGTAAGAGCGAAGGCGAAACGCCGTGCAGAAGAGGCCAGGAAGAAGTTCGATGAGGCTGACATTGAAACTGCAAAATATATGTTGGAGAGACGATCAAGATAGGCGGACCAGTCACAATCCAGTCTTTGAAGGGTAGTTTCGTACATGCAGGAGCAAAGGAAGTCTCGTCGTACCCATCGTGATGGAGGATGGGGGTCTGCAAGCATAGCTGCTTTGCTCTGCGAATGTTCTGCAGGGCACTTGCCCAGGGCAGAAAGCTTTCATTTTCATGAGCTGCTTGGGTATTCGCATTTCTTCTTCGCACCTGCTTGTCGCTAACTAAAAGAAATTTCACAGGAGAGGAGCGGCCTCCTGCCACTGATGAGGCAGGGCATGGCAGGGTATCCATGCAGCATGCGTCAAGCCTCACTCCGATGAGCGTTTCTTGTTTCGGCCATCGTTTGGGCCCCATTGACGGAATCGACGGGGGTATAAGGCAGGTAGAAGGCAGGTAGAAGGCAGGTAAGAGGGGTATAAGGGAGGCATAAGGGGGGGCATAAGGGGGCGATAAAGGGGGGGCGGGGGGGTATAGGGGAGGGGGGTATAAGGGGGGGGGGTTTGAAAAGGGGGGGGGGGTTCTGCCAGGAGCTTCTGGAGCTCCAGGCCTGGCTGTCGAAGTTCCCAAGCCTGGACTCCAAAGCCCTCAACGCCTCTCGGCATGCTCTCAGAGCACTGAAGGGGCCCTCTGCAGAGGGTGAGCACTAAGTGTGTGTGATCAAGTAATAGCAGCTATGTAACTATTTGCGAGTGGTTGCAAGTATCAGAGGCACTGAAGAGCCTGGACGCCCGAGATGCTGTGCAGGCGTTGAAGGAGATCGTGGCTGTACCAGTGTGGTCTGGTAGAGCTTTGTTGAGAGGGGAGGCGATGTGTTAGCAGCTTGCGCGATGAATTTCGCTTGCCAACAGGAGCTCGAGCAGAAAGGACCTGGAATTCGAAACCCCTCAGCGCCCTGATTGCAGCTATTCATGCTATGCAGAGTCCAGTTTCGAAGATTCAACCTCGTCAAAGCAGCCTGTGATCTGCAAACGAGGCCTGGATTTGCAAGACTGCGCAAAATGTCCGAGAGAGGCCATCTTTGGGCCAACGAGATGCAACTTCTCCATCTTTTGCAGATAGAACACCTCAAGGGAGCTCCTTGTCACGTGAACTGCATACCATCCAACAAAGACAGGGAATTTAGTCGGTGGCTTCGGATTACTTAAGGATATTCGAACTAAGAAGGGTGTTCGCGAGATCCCAAGGATGTGGTTGAAAGGTTGAGCGTAGTCTTTGAGATAAGGTCATAGTTGTAAGTTGTACAGTACGCCTGCCAGGCAAAGGAGTTTCAGCATCTTGACAGGAAACCACAAAGATAAGACTATACCCCAGTTCCAGGGAAGGCTGACTGTGACAGTGAGTGAATCAGAGGTGACGCACACAGAGTCACCTTGTCAAAGGGATGTTGTTTTGTTTTGCCATATATACATATATATATGTAATATTTGTGCACATACAATATGATTAAATAGCTTTGGAATGTTGCCACTGCCTCAGAGACCTCAGATTCCATCCCACCTGTCAGTCTTGCCTTTCCACTACTAACAGCCTCACCATTGGACCGTACTAGAGCTGAGACTCCACAAGACTAAGATTCGATGTACAAGGGGGTCTAATCAAGTTTCTGATAGACTGCAAATCATGAAACTTGTTCCGGCAGGCGTGGTCTGCCACCACTTCCAGAAGAGGCCTTGCCACAATCTGCCACCAGTGGGTTGCTTCGATCTGCATCCCTGGGGCAGGAGAAGGAGAAAGAGAAAGAAAAGAAAAACGAGCTTGGCATCGTGGATCACTACGGAGCGCCTTTTTGATGCAGTCGTGAGGAAGGCAGATCAGGCCATTCAATCCTTCGGTGACACGAAGACACTCCTGGTAGGAGATTCTGTACGCTGTACAGCTATAGGTGCTATGCTTCTGCTTCTGACTTCCCTGCACCGCAGTGGTTTGACATCCGAGGCTCGAAGTGGCTGAGGACGCAGACGAGAAAGATATCAAGAAGGCATACAGGAGCCTAGAGTCTTGCTCTTTTGCGTGCAAACAGGTGCATCTGGTGCATTGGCAACAGATATGAACCTCTGCAGGAAGTTGGTGCTTAAGTGGCATCCCGACAAGCATCCAGAGGGTCGAGATGAGGCGCTGGCCTGCAAGATTTCTCAAAGCCCTTTAGACGCTGTGCAATCAGTGCAACCTGCTCCCCGCTCATGGGGGAGTCCAACCTGTTTCGAATAAATGCGGACAACCACTTTCAAACTCGATGCCATGCCTACCGGCCTACCAGATGCTGAATTCTTGCAGTAGCTTCGGCGACATCGAAACAGGACTCGGGGGCTCGCGATTTTCTTGAACAGTTGAACGTTTGAACTCGTCTTCCGTCGACTTGAGCGTGTGAGCAAATTCAAGCACTTGCTGAGATCACCAAGAGGTGCTTTCCTTTAGCAAGACAGGAGGTGTATGATACCATATGATACCCCTTTATTGACTTGAGACTCATGAACAGACTTGAGCAGTTGTGCACCGCAAGGCCGAAGAGAAGATTCGTGCCATCAACAATGCCTATGAAGCTTAGCTTTGCAACAACGTCGAAGCCTGCTTCGTGGCTGAGACTGGAACGGCTGGAACTGTCTTAGCCCTTCGGAAAGTGCTAAGGAGACGCTCAGCAATGCCACCAAGCGTTCCACGCTTGGTTCCTTTGAGACTGGGTTTCGGCAAGAGCTAGAGAACTTGCTCTCAAACACAGCTCTTGTCTTGCGAGAAGAAGAAGGGTCTTTTGTCTTGAAGCTTCTGGAGTTGCCCCAGGTGCCACGTACGACGCTCAGCGGCAGGCGCTACTGCGAAACAGCCGAGGGCAAGGCCGCGTTGCTGGATTGTCACGTACGCATAGTGGCAACAGCAAGAAACAGCAAACAGCAAGCAGCAAGCACCAACAACAAGAACGGCAGGACAGAGAAGGCTAGTAGAGGCTGGCCGTCAATATGCAGGGGATCATGCTGGATGATCTTGTCAGGGAATTGGAGGCACATGGCTTGTATCGGGATGCAGGAAGTAGGTCGTGAGGGAGAAGGTCCAAAGGCGTTTTCGGAGCGCGGCGCGTAAGGTGAAGTACCCTGCTTGTGTCTGCTTGTGAGATGTTGGCACTGAGCCCCTGGAGCATGTGCCCCACAAGCTGCAGTGGCAGAATCGTCACATCTCATCAGCTCTTCGTCCTTCTCTAGCGTCGTAAAGCCGTGCGAGGTCCCGACCTGAAGGCGCGATGCTCAGAAGGGGTTTATTTGGAAGCACCACGTTTTTCAGAGCTAGTTCTGGCTGTGGCGTTAGAGGCATGAAGGTGGCTATAGCGGCTATAGGCACATGGGCTATGTGAGGGTTAGGGATTCTGGGATCAGCTGTGAGGCACAGAATTTGGCACCGCGGCAGCGCATTCCGCGGGAATTTATGTTGCAGCCTATCGGGCCACATGGCGGCAAGGGGGATGAGGAAGTTGAGCAAGGCATCTGCACGCCCAACGTTCCCGCAAGCTGATGTGACATGAGGTATCCAGACAAGTTTGTGCGCTATGGCTCCGAGCGAGCACGAGCTCAATGCGAGGCTCAATATGTCGGAATGGTGAATCCGTTGAGTTGATGCAAATAGACGAAGGAAAGTTATGTGTAAGTAGGCGAAGGAGCTTGAAGCTCAGCTGAGAAGGTCACTTCGCGTGCAGATGCCCGACTCGATGGCAAGAGTGGATTGGATCAGCGCAGGGCTAAGCGGTCAGCCGACTAGGGCTGATCCGGAGTTCAAGCTGACATGAACCGAGGTTTGTGCCCTTCTTCAGAGCGGCGAAGCTCTCTTTGTGGTGGTGCGCCCCCCTTGTGTGTGTGATGTCCGGCCTTCGAGGGCAATGGCCAAAATTGCCAGCCTTGTTGTGCATGTCATTAGTGAAGTACCTGCAGCTTGCAGGTTGCCAGATGTGAACAACATGTGCCGCATCCGGGCATTGGAGGCTATGACGGCATCACGGGTGGATGTGATGCTGTTCAATGTTCTGCTCATACAAAGCTAGGGATAGTTGGAGCTTGTAAACTTGAGTGTCGTGTGCAGGCAAGGACTCGGTCGAGCGCTGGCGAAAAGGTGCCCGTAAGATGTCCCCATTCATTGCCATGCCCGCGGATGCCCTTTCGAAGTGGTCTCCTACGGCTGCAGGTCGTTGCTGGGCGCCCCGGTGGCTTTAATTTGGCCTTCGAGATTGATGCCCGGCACTCAGAAGGTCGATTCGAGCTGCATCACAGTCCGAAGCATGTCAGGGAGATTTCAGATCGTGCGTTGCCCGAGCCATTGAGCCTGCGCATCGTTGCTGCTGGTTGCTGCTGGATACTGATGGATAGCTGAGCAAGTTTCAGATGTCGATCGCTCAGCGACGATGTCTCGAAACAAGCGAGGCTACGGATCTGTAGGCAAGGCATTTCGTACGCATGGGCCATGTTCATGGAGTCTGACACCACAGTTGCCATAAGGTACCATGGTAACGAAGGCTTTCACATGGTTTCACGGCTTGCAGGACTTAGAGTACACTCAGAGCACATGTTTACACTCGGTGCACATGTCTAAGCAAACCTGTTGCCAGAGAGGAGACGGTGGGTAGGGAGCTGTTTCTTCGAGACTCTGTGGAGCGCCGCAATGGAACGAGATTAGTTTGTCAAGCTTCGTCTATAGGCTCTAGATGTGAAGTGTTTGACACTGATGGACAGGAATAAGTCTTGAAGAATGTGGCAAGGAGTCGCGTGAGCAAGGTTCAGGCGGCTACTGGCAGCATCACTGCTTGACAGTTGCTTGAGCATGTGTGCCTTCTTTGCAGCTGAGCTCGGAAGAACCTTAAGAACCTTCCGAGAACTGATAAGAGAGCAGTGACACTGTACCACGCCAGAACGTAGAACATCGTAGGACTACTATCGTGGCTGTAAACGCTAGAGTTTGGCCTAGGTTCTCCGAGAAGGTTCGATGCTCAGGTCAATGACGCGCGCGAATCGGATCTCCGCCTGGTGGAGGCCGGGGTTTCCTCAGAGCCAAATGGGGGCTTTCGAAATTAGGGGGGGGGTCCTTATTATAAGGGCATCCTACTAATCCTACTATTTGGGGGTCTATCTTGGGGGGTCTATTCGCATTTGCGTAAACTCCCAAACGAGCCGTGGCCACATCATGCCGCATCATGCCGCATCTTCCGATCCCAGCTCCCCCCCCAGCTTTGCGGCTCCTGCTGCAAAAACGTAGCGAGTGCTTTAAGTGCTTTAGTAGCGTGGCGTTTGCGAGATGATGCAATAAAGAGGCTGGGAAGGGGGAGAAGAATGAAAACGTGAATTTCATCGTCATCTCCAGCTGCGGACTCAGAGAACTGCGCAGTGTCTTTCCAAATTCGAAACCATCCAAACCCCGAATTGCAAAGCCCCCCCAAGCCTAGGAGTTCGAAGAGCATGAGCCCAAATCACGCCAAGTCAAGAGAATTCAGTGAAACAGTGCCCGGTGTTGGGACCCCCTGGGACACGACTCCGAGCCGTTTGCCCAAGGCCCCCTCTACGACAATGCCTTCCGCTTCGAAGCAGCATTCCGCCGGGGCTACTTCCTGGCGTGGCTTGGCATCTCGCACATCTGCGAGTGAAGATCCCGCTGGAGTTGGAGTTGACAAATGCAGCACTCATGGAAGCCCGCAATTTCTGGTCCCCGCACAGATGCATTTTTTCGTTCTTTCTTCCAAAGGCATATGCCGGCACTACAAAAAACTCCTCAAGGTTGGAACATCATGCTCCTCATACCCCAAGAGGGTTCAACGGAGTCCCAGCACTAATCGTCCTTAAACCATGTTCCCTGTAGCTATACTCGGACCAAGCAGTTAACCATTCCATAACCTTGGAAGATCCAAAGCGGCCTGGGTAGACCTTGCACCTCACCATCATAAAGCACAGGCTTCCATCTAAAGGCGCATCAGAGGAGTTGGGCTTCTCCTGCATAAGCTGTTTATTGGCTTTCAGTGTACGTGCTTGAGGTTCCTCTGCCTTTCATAGGATCGATGCTTTTGACCCTCCTAAGAGGCATACCATGGAAGGCATGATTTGGGGGGGTGGCGCCTCTTGCAAGGTTTCGCCCACCGACGCAGCTAAGGCCGTGTTCATGATTCTGTGCTTCAGCTGCGGGTGCCAAGGGCTGGGAAGACTGAGTTGAAGACGTTAGACTTGTGCAGGATGATCCCGTATAGTGGTGGACAACTTCCCAAGAAGTCCTTCTCTCAGCATGCCCAGCTGTTCAAGAGGGATGGGCCAGTCGTTCTAACAATGGAGAGGCGTTCAGGAGAGTCGATGGCTGATTTCTCCCACCGCCGTAAGGGTCATCATCGACTTCACGCTTGTCGATTTCCAGGCAATGTTCAAGTTCATCGACATCGAGGAGGTGCGGCAGATTGCCAGAACATCCTGCCTTCGAGCAAGGGCATGCAAACTTTGCGACTCGAAGACTCCTTCCTGGCAGCTTCCTGGCAGCTTCCTGGCAGCTTCGCGGCAGCTTCCTGCAGGTCCTTCGGCCTGCCATTGAGAAGAAGGGTGGCTGGGTCACCTTTGAGGTTCCGACCCAGGGCACACCCATCTGTTGATATCTCTTGTCTGCCATTGCCACATCTCGGCTGACGACATGCGTGATCTCAGCAGAATGTGTAGGAACTCGTTGTGCGCAGGAGGTCAAAGCAGATGCGAACGTCGTCGCATCTCGTCCTTTTGAAGTCAATAGGCATGAGACGCTGGAACATGCCAGTGCTGCTAGTATCGACACATTTCCAACGTTGTCTTGGATTCTATGGAGCTTGCTGCAGTGACGTGATCACAAGAGGCCAGCTCGAGTCTCTTGGACTTTCGGGCGGGATCAGCTGACACCATACCCAATCTAAGGCATACTTCGGAAACATCTTGCAGAAGCCAGTGTGGGACGATGACGACTTTCAAACCTACTTTGAGGGCCACTTTGAGATGTGGGAGTCTCTCAGCAGCATTGCTCAGCATTCGGGGTTTGTGCGTATGAGCTGAGAACAAGGCAGACAGATGTGTGGATCTGCTTATACTCTCTCCATACTGAAGTCACATGCGTAGAAAAAACAGTCTACCCAAATATTTTTTAAGTCTTGCTACTACAGCTTGACAGTGCCTCCCAGGTTTCGTGCCACCGACAATGGGCCAGAAGTCAGGTCTGCATCGTTCCATGTCATGACGGTTTGTAGTACGGCCGTGGTGACACTTGCAATCGCCGTGCTGTCCATACACTGTCAGCAGGTCACGAAGATAGTTGCGCTCGGTTGATGTATGCGCCCAGCAGTCGTGTCTTTGCATTTGTCTTGATGCAGGCTGCGTGGCGTGGATGAGCGGTTGGGATACGCCCTTGAGCGGGCAAAGGACTTCCGCCCTCCAGACTCTTAACCGTCCCCATTGGGCTTGGACGTTTTGATGTTACTTGATGTGCATTCCAGCTGCTGATGCGCGATTCTCTCCAGGAGTGTCCGCAGTGACGTGAGTTAAATCTGCTCCTTGTGGCAAAGGGCAAGCGGGTTGCAGTGAAACACCGCAGCTGCCCGCATCTGCCTACACGACCCATGGCTGCAGCAAGCCGAGCCTGCAAAGAGAGCGGCCTTTGTGAGGACCCTGATGTGGCTGCTGAATTGGTTGTGACGCCACCAGCTTAGTGCTGGAAGAGTTGGGCCACTACGCCACGCAGAGGGCCCAAATAAAAACTGAGCATGCGCTGCATGGGGCTCAAGTGTTGCCTTGAGGGCCGGCGACGAGCTCAAAGGCTTGCACTGGCTGGGTTCTCAGCTGCTGTCTACACACAGGTCTTCAGTGTCATACCGTATCCGTATCATGCCTGTAGACCAGGCAGAAGGATTCCAAGCGCAGTCCATGCTTCTAAGAGACCGTAGCTTCAAGTCGCTTTGAATGATAGATCATGAGAGATCATGATAGATCATGAATGATCATGCAGTCCGAGAAATGATGGGGTGAGCCTTGAAGTCAAAAGCCATCAGATTTGCCCTTCCTAGAGGCGCTACGTGTTGCCGGTCTTCGAAGTCCTCAGCCGGGGTCAGAGCGACGACGTTTCAGCTGTCGGGCCCTCGGATGTCCCAGGCCTCCCAGAAGCACCGGCTGTTTTTTTTTTTTTTGCTCTCTTCTTTTCTTTTTTTGCAGTTGTCCTAGTCTGGCAGTGGAGCTCGTCTTTAACTGCTGGATTCGGAGACATGCAAAAAGCATCTCCAGCTGAGGTTGTCCAACGCATGGAGGCGATCTGCGACAACTAGCTCCGGACCGTTGCTGACTACTATTCTGAAAGGGTCACATGGTTCAAAGATGCTTGGACTGTTTGGGAGGCGCAGCGCCAGCTTCTCGCCTCACTCTTGGGCGGCGTGCTTTCCACAGCTGGCGAGGCAGACGGACAAGTTTGGCAGGAAGACTCTATAGGGATACATTGTGATCGTGCTGGTGCTTAGGGATCCTCACTCTGTGGCAAAACACCAGTGGGGTTTCGAGCTCCTTACTGTAGCCTGAAGCTTTGCCTCCAGGCGGACCTACGGGACTTGGCTCGCTTTGCCCATGCCCTGCTGCCTCTGAGCGAGGGCACAGCACCCGACGTGGCGCATAGGCAGGTGCAGAAGTTTTTGTACAACACATGTGAGACGAACAAACCCACGCCTGCAATTCTGATCGTTCCTGGTGCATGAGGTGAAGGCCAGTTGTTAAAGTATGGTTCTGTCTCGTTTCCTTTATGGATGAAACCGCCACGCACTTCTTACGGTCATTGTGACAGGAGCACCGAGGCTTGCAGCATGTTGTCAAAGCTTGCCGAAGCCCTACAGAAGTTACATAAGTGTGTGCAAAACCACGCTACGCGCAACTTGAAGCTTCATTGCCTGCACGTGACACTGCCGATGATTTGGAGAGGCATCACGTTGTGGGGTCGAGGTCCTGGCTCGGGCGGCTGCTGCAGAGAAGGGTACAGTTGCAGATGTCGCAACCTGGCACAAGCTGTAAGGAGCTGTGCTATTTTGCCCCAGTAGCCTAGGACGAAGTTGCGACGCGTTGCAATTTGACCAAGTGAAAACCCAAGAGATGCCATGATGTCGCCTTCGCCTTTTCAACAGGATAGATGACAACCTGAATTTACTGCTACCAAGCTACACATGTTGAGTGCAGCCATTCAGCACTGGCATTCTGCATCAGTTAGCAGAAAGTGAGACGCATCTCCTTTCGGGTGAATCATGGACTTCCGCACGTGATCAGGTGAAGCTGGAAGACCTCCGGGTTGTGCTGATGCTGCCGGGGATGTCTTCCCACAGCAACATTCTAGCCAGGCTCGTTGGCATGGGCTGTGGAAATCGACCACGCTTCACTCGTCTGTGAACCCACTGTCCTTGAATGGTTAGCGCATGTCCGACATTTCGCGCAGCTTAGAGAGAAGCCGAAAAAGCACACCAGTGTCCGTCGGCTGAGCAGAACCAGGATTGGCAAGTCAGCTGCGTAAGTTCTTGCCAGGATTACTTCCCCTCCTCTGGCAGAGGCCCGCGCCACTTTGCAGAGCGAGTGAACCTGCAATGCAGCAACAACTGCCAGTCGCAGAGGCTCCTCTCGACAAGATACTTGAAGCAACTTCTGGTGCAGCAGCTGCTAAAGCCATGGGCTTTGCTCGAGAGGCAAAGGGGGTTCTGCACCGCTTCCAGTGTTGCCACGTGATAGGAGTCACATGGCAAGCTGCATGAAGTACATCTGATTGCCATTTCGAGGCAGGTCAGCTGGCACTTCACCAGGTAGGCAGGAGCCTCGACGCTAGTTGATTTTGCTTGCAAGGGTGGGGCACCACTGACTTGCTTCTGGAAAGGCCGAATTGGAACCTCGCCGGCTGCTGTTCACAGCGTGGTGCTGGCGTTGGCAAACAATGGTGCGCGGGGTCGACCTCCTGAAAAGTGGAGTGAAGCATGAAGCCGCTGATGTGCAGGCTTGCTGCTTGATGGCTGCGCGTCCCTCTTGGCACAACACTCTGCCCTGCTTGCGACAGAGGCCCGTGGATCTCAGACAGGTGTTTGTCAGCACGACGTTGTGACGCGTGTGAGTCTGGTTGCAAAGCTTTTCCCAGGACCTGGCCTCGGCAGTGGCCGCCGTCGGAGATCAGGGCCACGAAGGACTGGGAAAGGGATCGGTGAGCCTCATGAACCCCATCAGCTTCATGGGCCCGCATGGGCCCGCAGAGGTCACAGGAGGTTGCTTTGGTCAACAAAGCAGTTTCTGCCCATGCTGCCAGGACCACAGCTTGTTGCGGCATGCAAGAACCTCGCAAGCAGAGGCACCAGCTGTTGCCCGAATGTTTGGTCTCAGATATCCGTTGATCCGTTTGGATGCAATGGAGCACAGCTTCCTATGCCTTGCTGCCTGCTGCCCTGAGCTTCTCAGATTTGCTGTGGCACGAGGACCCATCTCTCACCCCTAGTTTGCCCAAGCTGCACTGCAAGGAGCCGCAGATTTCTCCACGCTTTCTTCTTCTCGTCTCCAGGTGCAGGGCATGATTCCTGCAAGCCCTTCCTGATGCATAACATGTAGTAATATGTAGTAGCAATGTAGTATCCTTGGCATGAGCGCCGTGAATGCTTTTCGCACATTGGAAAGGCATCTTTTTGCGACGAGTCCTGAACATTCCGCGAAAGAATTATCCCGACATCCAGTAGATCAAGAAGAAATGTGGTTGGGGAGGAATGATCTTTCCACAGCACAGTTGAGGCATTGGCGGTTGCAGCAACAAAGTCCACCTCGCTGTCGTTCTGCAGTGCTACGGTGGGTGGCTCAGGAGAAGCTAGGCTTGTCTTGACAGGTTATGAGGTGGTTATGAGGTGGTGCGCATGAAAAACTTCAGTGAGAGGCAGTGCAAGCATGAAGTATTCATGCGCTTCTCGATCAAACAGATGCTGTGCGTGCATATTGCCAGAGTTGGCTGTTTGAGGTGGTGGAGACCGCCGTGCAGGCGTGGATATTCCATTCCGTTCCTCGCAGTCTGGGGTGGGCATTCTTGTTCTTTCTTAGACAGGTGCTGGGCCAGTGGCCGGCCAGCGAGGTGAAGCATTGTATGCAATTTATGCGAATGGGCTGGGGAAGCCGTCATGTTTGCCAAACCTGTGGATGAGAGCCCACAGACTACACCCAAAACTTGTACACAATAGTAGCAGAGACTGGCAGAGAGTCGCTCCATCGGCTGCTTGTCATCCTTGTCCTTCCCTGGATATGTGTTCAAGGCCATACGCTTGGTCCTTGCATTGGCAAAGCCGCGGCGTGCGGAGACAAAGGATGCTGATATCGCACAATGTCGCACCCGTTTGCCCGACTGTCCTCCTCATGACAGTTGACAGTTGATGGACAAACGCTCGAGGACGAAGCGCCGGAGGTCTCATCAGCTCTCTGGGCCTCACTGCTCTCCGCCACTGCGGCCAAGGCTGCTGCAAACCTCGAAGCGGCATCGCATCCATCTTACAAAGTGTAATGCGAGCAGGGGCCAGGGTGCTTTCCACAGGTGCGACCTGCGCTGTCAGACCTGCCGGCTGCAGAACTGATTCGCCACTCCGACTTGAATCAGCTCTCAGTCCTCCCCCAGACTCGGCCCTTTTCTGGCAAGAGTCCATCCAGCCCTTCTTAGGTTTGGCTCTCGCTGCCAAAACCCATGCAGAGCAGGGTGGCAAGGCACGTGAGTCGTGCTTCTTGCAGCTACTGGGGTCATTGATTTCAGTTTGCAATGAGCTGTTGCTGTGGACTGGGTGGGAAGATCATTCATATGCTGCCTGCCTTTCGCCGACTTGCCACAGCACTGCAGAGATGCCTCCATTACACAGACCCAGTCATAGACAATGCCAAGAATCTAGCTCACAGTCAATACCTTTTTCTGGCTAGAGTTGTGCAGACCCGGTCACATCCTGTCCCAGGAGCTCCTGGAAGGAGTTGCGGTGGAGGCAGTCAGGCGACTGGCCGACTTGCCCCAGGCAGACCTGCTGTGTTGGCTTGCAGCACGAGTGCAGGATGTCAGCTTGAATTGGCTTGCAAAGTGCTTGAAACATGGCTGTTTCGTAGGCGCACTTGCTCCTGCTCACACAAGGTGCACCGGGCTCGTACATTAGAATGGTCTGCCCTATGTACGGCAATACGTTTGCTAGTGCTGTTGCTGGGATTTGCAGCCCTATGCATGGCACAGAGATTCGAGCTGTTGCTTTGAAATCTAACTTGTCACCGACAGCAGCCAAACTAGCCAAAGGATTGAAGTGCAGGTCTGACACCGTTGGGCGGCAAGCATCCGAAGGTCAGGGAGATCTGCAACTACTGGAGCGAGGCCAAGCTGGGGGGGAACATTCCAAAGCCTCATACAACTGCTGGTCCGATGCTACCGCGGTCTTTACCGTGGCTCGTGTTTCGGTATCTTGACGGCGGTGTTTTTGCAACTGCCGCCAGGTCCTTGGTGAAGACTCGGAGAAAGGCGACGAGGTCTCCAAAAGACGGAAGGAAGCTGGGCCACCCAGCAAGCGGCAGCGGTAGACACATCTGTACGGAGATGTCAGGTCCCCTTCCTGTCTCGCTTTTGCCGTAGTGTGCACAGATGCTCTAAGTCTAAATCCATTCGGATGTTTCCTCGCAGCTCTACGAGACGATTCACCGAGGTGGAGCGAGGGCAAGCGCTGACTGGCGACCAGGCACTTCGCATCCATGCGTGACGCTGCGTTTAAACTGATTTGTCTGTCGGATACTTTCATGAGACTCACAGGAACCACCAAACAACTTTTTTTCCCGCAGTGATCAGCAGGTTGCAAAGCTTGCGCTGATCTTCGAAGCTCTGTCTTCTGTGCCTTGGATGATTTCGAAGAGTTGATATGCACATTTCTTTGGCAGCCGAAGATCGTGTCGTCTCATGGGCACAAGCTGGACAGCCACTATGCCAAGCGTGAATCGACACCCTTTTCAACAGAAGCAACGCGCTATTTCGTCCTCATGTCTGTCCTCGCGTGATTGACCTTCAGCCATCAGGATTTGGACACTGCAACTTCTGATCGCTGCTTCTCCAGCCTCGGGAAACAAGTCCTACTCCTGACAAGGCGAAGAGATTGTCAGACATAAGTGACATTAAAGCCAAAAGCTATAGGTGCAGGGATGATAGCGATGGTGGCATGGTGTGAGCTATTTTTCCTCGGGCTCAGGAAGGTCACGTGTTGCTGCTCGCTGCAGGTCGGCCCGAAGCTTGCCCCCGGCAACTCGCGAGACACTTCTCGACCAAATACGAAGGCGGAACCACTGTGTGAATCGATGTTGCACGGGCGGCGGCGGCGGCGGCGGCGGCTGCTGCTGCTGCTGCTGCTGTTGCTGCTGCTGTGCTGTGTGTGCACTGTTCACATCTGTTCACATTTCTGCAGGCTCTGGTATCCGAATCCGCTCTCACTAGAGTCAGGGACGAGCTCGATCTTATGCATGAGTCACAGACCCATCCTGTCCAGGGGCCAGGGCATCGGGCTTTGGGAGTCTGGACGCGAAGCTCGGATGTAAGCAGGCAGTTTGCAGACGTGTGTCAGCACAAAATCGTGCGGTGGGGCCACAGAGGAAAGTTTAGGGTCCCTGTCGCTTGAATGTTGCTTCGCGTGGTGAACTTCGCTTGATGCCACACTGCGCCATGATCTCTTTCCTAAGCTTGCTGAGGAAACCCTTCGGAAGGCCCTGGACAAGAGAAGCAGGATGCTGGGATAAGTTGAAAATGGTATGAAGAGATATGAACAGTACAGGAGCCAGTTTTCTTGAGCATGCGAGTGCGAAGCGTCTCCAGGAGTCGGCGACGAAGTAGCAGCAGCCGAAGTCGCAGCAGAGGCGCTGCTTTGTCCAGAGCCCAACTTGAGCCTGGCTGTCGTGGCTTCGATGACGGAGCTTGCCGTGGCAGAAATCGACCGGTAAGTGGGAGGCCGCAAGAAGCGTCGGAAAGCCAGTTCGTCGAGGCTGGTATCTCAACGGAAGACAGGAGGACGGCACTGGCATGACGTGTCGCTTTGTGACTTTGTGAGCCCTGCTCAGGGACCGAAGCCGTGGCCGTCGTCGAAGCCGAAGCTGACAAAGCCCGCAAAAAAAGGGCGGATGGATCTGCCAATCGGCTGTTGCATGAATGTCCAACAGAATCGTTCGGTGTCCATGTGGTCCGGTACGCCGGCAGTAAGTTTGCCATGCAAATTCGTAGTCGCTCGTAGTCAGGCTCATCAGACATGCAGCATGAGGCCTGCTTGAGCTTCAGACAGCAAATGTAAGCAAGACCCCATGCCACAAGCGGCAGCTTCTGTTAAGGCTGCACATGCGTATGCAGCTGCAACAAAGCAGAGTTTCGCAGAGTGGGGTGAAGAAGAGACATCGCGAAACGACTACAGACTTGCCATTCCAGCGTTCACTTCGAAACTCGAGCGGACTGAGTCCGACAAGCAGCTCTAAACTAGGTGTCATTGTTGCGCGTTGACGTGTGGCTACGTGGCTGCGCTGGCACGTGGCTGCAAGCACCGACGCCCATTGCTGCCGAGGTATCAGATCTTGGGAAGTTTTTTTCTGGGGGGGGGGACTCCGGGAAATCTCGCCCGAGATGGCATCAGTGGAAGCTGCTGTGTACAACCTGGCCACATTCCTCCTTGCCCTCCGCCAGATTCATGCTCATCTTGTCAGCCTCTGTGGCCAGAGGGCGCGGAACTCTGCTTCTCTTCCTGCGGTGTGGGTTGTGTGCATGCTTTACTCCATTCATTCTCCGGAAATGACTATAGGGGCCCTGGAATTGATCCGTTCTCTGAAGGTCATTACGCGGGAGGGGTTGGAGGTTCGTGGTTGCTCTAGCAGGATCGGGGTCTGAGGAGTTTGTAACAGAGGAGATGTGTACTTTGTTTCGCTGGACAGGATCACAGCCGTAAGTCAAGACTCTGAAAGAGGGTCAAGCCAGCAGCTACTCATCCTGCAAATATTCGACCCATGCTGGCATGAGAAATCTAGCCGCAACTACCAGGAGAGCCTACATACTCTTTGCCAACAGTCGCGAGTAGTGAACCTACAATCAAGGACGTTTGTCCTTTGTGAGTACGATGCTTCACCAGGCCGGCCTGCCTTTGCTTCGGGGATTCTGTTGCCTGAAGGCATAGTGGGCCGAGGGCAGAGGGTGATGAAAGCTATGACAGGCTCCGATGACCTGACAGAAGTCTCTCGCAAGGCGCCGCGTCCAGAACGGCAGGACATGGCAGGACAGTGAAGTATGTAACAGTACCATTGCAGGCTTGCATGTTCAGGTGCTGCCGAAAATCCCGCGAACTGGAGCCGTCAAGCCTGAACCTCAAGGCTGTAAGGCTGCAGGGCCACTACCCTGTATACCTTCGTGTTCCGTAGTGCCTGGGCCGGCAATGCGGAGGTCCTACGTCTATGGAAACCACACTTTCAACTACTTGCTGGAAAAGGACGGGTTCTTGAAAGTGCCCCTCTTGAACCTCTGCGCTCTTGGAGAATTGCTGGTTCAAGAACTTTGAAGCTATCACTCATGGCAGAAGGTGGCTGTCTGCTTCTTGTGGTATTCTTGAGCCCTATCTTCGACAGCTGAAGCCTCTCCCTACGTCTCGTGCGGGCTCTGCCAAGTGCGCTCACGATAGCGTCGCTTTTTGTAATCAGATCGAACAACATATGCTTAGTAGGAGCTTATCTTCTTGTGCATCGCCTCGCCGACTGCGGGCACGGAAATGGTGTTTGGCTCAGTCGCCCATGGAAACTTGCGCAAAGAACTTTCCAAGGTTGCTCTCCGAATCAGGGGCCAGATGTCTGTGTCCAGAATAGAGAGGAACACTGACGAGCAAGTTAGAGGCGGAATAGCATGAACAGTTGCGGCCTTCAGATGCATTTTGTTTCTCACACGTTTTTGGTAATTGACCGTGGCCTGTGCGTATAAGGACAGGTGACAGCAAGTTTGTACAGCGTCGCGTGTGAAGATAGCAAGCTCGGGTGCGCACGGATTACTCCTCGAGTTTGTTGCAGTACGTCTTGCCGCCAAAGTGGCACACTTTGCTTCATTCACCCGAATCCCGAGGCCTTGCGCCTGATAGAGTTTTCTCGTCACTCGCGGCCTTGCCAAGTACACTGACAGTCGTATCTCAAAGCTCCCAGCCCTTTCCCGCTTTCAGAGTCAACGTGGCTTTCTGTGTGCAGCTGGTGTGAGTTGTCAAATTTGCTGCCACTACATTGGGAACACCACCACGTTCAAGTGCGTAAGTGTACTGAGTCACTGCGGCTTGCAATGTTTAGTCAAGTGGTTTCGGAGGCATGTCCACATCTCACGCAGCAGGGCAAAGGGACGTGGGAGGGGCGCTTTGCTCATGAAGCAGTCTTCCGCGTGCTGTTCCTTTTACTCATGTCCTTTTACCCCGGCAAGATTGATGCGGAAAAGGGGGGTCACCTTAGAGGAAAGGATGCGATGGGCATCGGCAGTTTGCTTGGGCAGGGGGCGGGGGGTTGGGGGCGGGGGTGGTGGTGGGTGGGTGGGTGGTTGGGGATCCTCATCACTTTCTCATGGCTCTCATAGCGTCAGGTCTTCGAGTTTCTAAACGACTTCCGCCGAAGCTTCGAGGCAGGGTTGGTCGTCTGTGATCCATTGAAGGCAACAATGCCTCTCATCGTCCCGCATTGATAAGTGCGTGCTGGTGACAGCGACATTGCACAGAGCTGTTCGAGGAAAACTGACCGAGACTTGTAGAACGACACGACGTACATGTGTATGAATGCTGCCTGACGTACACGTTTGGACCTCGTTTCAGAGAGCCTGTAGCTTGTGCGAGCAATCTTGCATGCTACTCCTTGCCTCTTCGAGCATTACATGGATTGTCTGCTTTGTCTTTGTGGCTTTCCCATTTCTCGGTATGCGTGGCAGAGGCGCACACTCGGCGGTTAGGACATCGCGAGGATGAGCTAGCCAGGAGCAGAGCTGATGCCACCTTCCGTATCGCAATCGGTTGCTGCCAAAGTCTCCTTCGCCAGGATGCTTCGAGACCTCATCTCGCGCTACAACAACGATGGAGGCGGCAAGATGCAGCAGATGGAGAGGGACCTTGAGGAGCTTCTTGCATCTTATGTGGCATTGAGTAGCACTGCGGCCAAGCGGCCATGATGACACATTGATGCCCAGTGACGTAGGATGTTGCGGACATCATGCGGGACAACCTTGGGAAAGACCCAAACTCAGGGAAAGCTTGGAGATGAGTTGCCCGAGAAAGTGTCGGCTAAGCAGCAATTCCAGATTCTGAAGTATTCCGGCTGTGTTGTTGGAGCTTTCAGATGGGAGGCAGTTTGCATCACAGGGCCGTTCTCCGGTTTCGTTTGCGTGGGAGGTAATAACAAGGCTGCCAGGTTGGACAAGCTGAGAAGCTGAGTGCTGGCTCGCCAGAGGTCATCGACCGCGGCGAGCGCATTGATTCCTTGCTGGACAAGACAGCTGCTCTGAAGTCAGAGTCTGCTTCAGCCTTGGGGCATACAGGCCGATTCGTGGCGTACGCAAGCACGACGAGTCCCATGCCCTCGAATCCAAGGCAAAAGTCAGCATTGTCAGCCGATTCTAAGGTCTCCTTCCGGACCAACGCCAAGCGCTACAATGATGACCTCTGGTGGCGGGACCAGAGAGGCCGTCAACTTTGTTCATGGTTGGAAATCTCGGGAAGGGCGTTGAATATGTCAGCTGCAATCTAGCCAGGGGCTGTTACGACTTGGCAAGGCAGAATGCTCCTCGGCATCGTTGCTATGGCCGTCATCGTCGTCATCACATGGCTCAGCGTGTGCTGCTGGCCTGCGCCTGTGTCTGATAGGCAGAATAGTTGCCTTTTTGCCTTTGCCTTTGCTTTGGCCTTGGCAAGAATGTGCGATTCTTCAATGCCAGGCACCACAATGAGCCCGTCGCAGCGGAGCGAACATCCTGACGAGTGCGCCCAAAAACATGCCTGTGACGAGTGCTGCCCGAATGTTTTGGGATGCCGTTGACCATGGCATCGCGACGTGAGAGATTAAGCGAAAGTGGAGCACGCGAACCTAGCACATCTCGGAGAGCACCTGCCTCGCATGATCTGAGCATATTCGGTCTCTGCGCTGCCGTTGTGGTTGAGCCCGCTCGTTTACGTGCAGCAATTCCCACCGGGCTGGTCATGGACAGGCAGGGCGCTGCCTTCCGGAAGAGTCTTTCGATTGAGAGAGCCCTGTCTGCCATTGCCATCTGAAGCTGAATTCCAAGCCTCGACCAAGGACGAACTGCCTCACGCTTGGCGCTTTCGGCACTCAAGCAGGCGATTTAGGAAACACGTGATGAACGCTGTTGCTACGATCACGAGCCGCAAGACCTGGTGTGTGATAAATAAATTATCCAACTAACTAACTAACTAACTAACTAACTAACTAACTAAATAAATATAGAAAAAATATATGTATGTTGTTAATGCTAGAGCTTCTCAGCATGCCACTGTATTCAGGCGAAGCCTGGACGGCATTATCCAGCTGCTTCGGAATAGGCGGGGCTGAGCTTCACGGGAGGGGGGGGACCCTGAGATGCCACAAAAGCGGCCGATAGTTCTCCTCAAATTGAGACAAGAAGCAGAACAGAGAGCTTCAGGCCAACGGCTTCTCCAAGGTGCTGAAGGATTCGAGCCGGAGTCCGCAGAGACAAAAGAGACAAAGGACAAAGAGATGACTGAGATGATGGACGAGAAAGAGGTACCCTGTTGGCGGATCTGCAGACCGCCGGAGCGCATTTTCCCTCTCGCTTGTCGTCGTGCAGCCGAATGCCAATCGTGCAGGCGGAGACTCCGGGCTCCGCTGAAGTGTGTCGCGCAGATCTCGGAAATGTCATGCTGCGGGCGACTAGCGACAGGCAGCAATTCGTTCAAGGCGTGTGGCGTTCGACGAAAGCTCTGCCACGACCCTAAACTCCCTACAAAACCAGAGGGTCTTGCTACGGATGAGTTCGCTGCGAAGCTGCCTGCCGTCAGCCTGAGGACGTCGCAGGCTCCTCAGATCCCTGTCGAGGAAGTCGAGGACTCGTCGCCTGCCGGCCAGAAACTCTGCTGCGCGTGCTGAAGTCACTGTAGGTGACCGGTGGCAGCGTTCAAACCCATCAAAATGTCCAGATGAGGTGGAGAACAGCAGCCGGAGCCAGGTGCAAGCCTTGTGCTGTCGAAGAGCAAGCTTTGAAAGAAAGCGTTGGGCTGGAGCGAGGCCTTTGTGGCGAGTCAGAAAGCTGTGAGGCTACAGAGATCTGCTGTGAGTCAAGGGGCGCTTCTTTAGGGCTGATGCTCCTTCCGCCAGGTCACTGAGATTCCTGAGGATGTACAGGAGCACGGGACGGCTCCGAAGGTGCGTTGCCGCGCAGTGAATTTGGTGACTTGTTCGTGTTGACGGCTGCGGGCCAGGACACTGCCTCAGTCACTGCCTCCTCGGAGACAGAGCCGGCAGAGACAGGCGTGCTCGATGAAGCTGGGAAGGTCTTCCATGGTGTCCATTGGTGTCACTTCTGCCAGGTACCGGCACAGAGTCCGATACAGCTCTGCCCGAAGCCGTGGAAGAGACCTACTCTGCAAGTGAAGGCAGTGAGAGGCCATCACGGTCGGTGGGGCTCTTCTGGCTTAAAGTTCAAAAAGTGTGGCAGTTTTTGGACAGGAGTGCCGATACGCTGGCTCCCACGCCTCCCACGCCTCCCACGGCTCCCGTGGATATGGGACGTAGCCTCCTGGAGCTCCTGAGGTGCGGAGAGAACCCATATTTCTTCTTTTGGGCCACCTCCAAATCTACGGAGGACCGGTGCGGCCAAAACCAATGACACCACTTCAGTTCTGAGCTGAGGGAGCCAAGATGAGCTGAGAATGGGGTTCCGATGGATGCGACAAGGGGGCATAGCCGCGAACACGACCTCGTACAGCCAGTGCTACTTGCAGATTCATGCAGAGGCTGCGGAAACAGCGCTCGTCGGCGGAGCCTGTCGTGACAAGACATCTCAGGCACAGCCTCTGCCATCCTGTGCGGGAGTGGAAGCATGCTAGCAGTCTGCGCAGGAGGAAGAAGAGTTCAACTCCCCGTTGCCACTTTCTTGTTTTTTCGAGATGCTTTCTTCGTGTCTCTCAAAAAGTCATCGAGGAGTTGGGCTGAAGAACTGCAGCTTAGGCCATTGGTGAACATGGCCGGATTAAGCTCGTTAAGCTCCACGCTTTGGGAGAGCCTGGTGTGGCCCTTGCTGGACTCAAGGCCGGAACTTCGCAAGGGATGGAGAGAAGGGCAAGAGAGACACATAACAAGTGGGAACCGTCGCAACATCTTCGAATGGCAAAAGAAGCTGTTGAGAGATGGAAAGAGGGACCGAGGGGGAGAGGGGGGAGGGTAAGTCAGAGAAACTTCTGGGTATGCGCCCGCAATGCCTGTGCCTGTGCCCTGTACCGTTCGCTCGCTTCGCCCGAGAGAGGCACCCGAAAGCCTTTGTTGGACCAGAGGCCTTCAAAGGCACGGGCAGCAAGCGAATCATGACATGTGGATTGATTCCTACACTACGGGCCCTTCCCTTGCAGCGCTAGAGTTGTATTGGTGCTGTTGGCACGAACCTTGTGCAGGCTGCTCACATATGCCCACTGGACTGCGACCTCAGGCGACTTGCTAGTCGTTGCATTTGCTTCTGTTGCTCCTTGCATTGCTGCAGGTCTTGGTAGATGTGCGCAAGGAACATCATATCATGGCGATGCCCGTGCCTTGGTCTTGCGGGAGGTAACGCGGAGTAGAGGAAAAAAGGAGCTGCGAAAGAAGGTTCAAGCCATCTGGCTGGGCTACCTGCTCAACTCCGCAATGGGAAGGCAGCTTTCACTTCCCCAGGGACTTGCGATGACTCGCGAGCTTGCCTGGAAGGTCTCGAAGGCAACCTCATTCGACACGTGTGGTGCTACTTCAATGCCTGAAGCACAGTCACTTTTTCTCCTGGGGGGGCCTCCTCCTTCTCTGCTGCACCAGGCCCCAACGGCAGCTCCGTGCCATCGCCTTGACAAAGGCACCTCCGGAATCGTGGTCCGCACCTTCAGAGACTTCAGCGTTCTCGACGACTCGTTATTTTGTTCTGGACTTCTCCCCCCTCGTCCGCCCTCGCTCCTTCGACTTGCGCCAAGTTAGTGGCCACCAACAAGACAGCTTCCAAGCACATCTGCAGGGATCTCAGCCATGATTAGAGAACTTTCTGAAGTTCTGGAAAACGCAGAGCCATCACGATTGTCTGGCTGCCACCTACAGGTCAGCAGATTCTCAACAAGGGCATCGTGAAGCAGTATGCAGCGAGCTTGGGGATAAGGGATCAATCAACCAGGCTGCCGAGTGTTCAAAGCCCAGGTGGGCCTGTGCCACGGCATCGTCCAGCCGGGAATGGGAGTCTTCTCCGCGCCATTGGCGCTCAGCCGGGCAGATAGGCGACTGCCAACTCGGAACGTATGAGGAACTGGTGCTTTACGTCGGATCGGGATGCAGGCCTCTTGGCGCATGCTCCACCGAGGGCCGTGAAGCGGTGCGCACCTCTCTGTTGCAATGACGGACGGTGCTGTGCAGCGAAGATCGGGCCACTTTAGACCCATGGCAGGTGACACGCTTCCGTGTTCTTGGCTACTTCCACGGCGCTTGGGGCAGCTTCAGCTTGCTCCAGGTTCAACGAATTCCAAGAGTTCAAAGATCTCAAGAGGTTTCATGGAGCTGCCAAGGAGTACAAAGAGAGTGCAGTGAGCGTGCTGGTAGGTGCAGATCGAGCACGGGCGACAACACCAGATCCGCCTCTTGGCTGGTCGTGTGGGTCCTGCCTAGGTTGGCCAAGTCACTGCCAAGTCTCTTACTTCACTTAATTCTCTCACGTACGTACGTTTCATTCATGCTTCATACTTACGTGTTGAACATCCCTTTAGGCGAGGCTCGAGGCTCGGCTGGAGGGGTCCTCCTGGCCTTGCAGCCATGGCGGGCGAGCTTGTGGGAAGGTGCCAGGCTATTGAGGAGACCGAAGCAAGGCTCCAACCCTTTTGAGGATCTTTGACATTCATGGCATCCTTAGACAACGACTTGTTCGAGGCAGTGGCATCCGAAGATGTTGGAAAGCTGGGATTGGTGTTCATGAGCTTGCCCCCTGGCCAAATCGAAGTAAAGTCGGTATCCTCGGGGAGCTGGGCCGCAGAACAAGACATCTTGCCAGGAGATCTTCTCGTGCAGGCACAGGGCAGGGACCTGGAGAACATATCTGCTGATGCTTTTCGCGACATGACGCAGCAGCGCCCTCTCGCTCTGGTCTTTTGGGCGAGTGACGCCGATGTGCAGGCGAAGCGACTTGCGCGGCTTGCAGCTGAGGCCAAGGCCCAGCAAGCCGCCAAGGCAGCCGCCAAGGCAGCCGCCAAGGCAGCCGCTGCGGCCGCTGCCGCCAAAGCGGCTGCACCGGCCGGGCCGCCGCAACGGGAGCCTGCGCAGCCAAAGCGCGAGCACCCCAAGCCTGAGCCCCCTAAGAAGCCCGAGCCTGCCCAGCCCGAGCCGCCCAAGCCCGAGCCCAAGCCCGAGCCCAAGCCCGAGCCGAAGCCGGAGCCGAAGGCGGAGGCGAAGCCCCAAGACTCAAAGGCAAAGGTCGAAGCAGTCGATGCTCGGGCGGCTCCGGCTCAGGCGGCTCCGGCGGCTCAGGCTCCATCTGAGATTCGACAAACAAAAGGCCCTTCTCCTCAACCAATCCCCGTGGAGAAGAGCCGCGAGCATGTGAATCAGACGCAAGCAGCCGACGCAGCACCAGCATCTTCCTCAGACCGACCATCAGCACAGGCCAAGCCTCCACCCACGGGCCCTGCAGCCGCACCTGCTGCAACCCCTGCTGCAACCCCTGCTGCAGACCCTGCTGCACCTACTGCTGCACCTACTGCTGCACCCGCTGCTGAACCCACTGCTCCTTCGGTTGCTCCTCCTCCTCCAGCACCCGCAGCTGGGCCTGCTCCCGAGCCTACCATTCTGAGCCGCGAAGTGGAACCGCCTGCTCAAAACACAAAGGTCCTTTCAGGGAGTGCAGTTGCGGAAGTGAAAGATACACTTGGACCCTCTCCGGTACCAGGAAGCGCTCCAAAAGCTCCAAAAGCTCCAGCAAGCAATGTGCAAAATGTGCAAGAGCCCCGCAGGCCGTCTCTGGAGCTCGAACCACCTGAGCTGGCGAGGCTTGAGGCCAAACATCCACCTCCCCAGAAGGTGCATGCCGAGTCAGCTCGGCCTGGCAACTCTCTGCCTTTGAGAAGTGCTCCGATGCCCGCACCAGCACCAGCCCCGACTCCCACACCCGCATCGACGTCCACCCTTGCGGCTACAACTCCGGCGGAGCCCGGTCGCCGATTGCTCGAAGAAGATCTAGCAGCAACTCGGGCAGAGCTTCGATTGGCGCAAACAGAGCGAGCGGAGTTGCAGGATGAGGCTTCAAGTGCTCGTGGCATCATCAAGCGGTTGAGGAGTGAGCTGGCAGAGGCCCGAACTCGGAGTCGCAAAGAGGGTCTTCAACAAGACGTTGGTGGGACGGATGGTGCAGAGAGTGAGGGCAACTTGGGCAGCTTGCAGCAGCTCCGGGAGGAGCTGGATGAGGCTCGACGTGAGCTCGCGGCTGCCAGGAAGTTTGGCCCTGGCAAAGACTCGGCTCAAAAGGAGCAGCTGCTCAAAACGGAGATTGAAGAGATGGAGGCCACCATGAAGAAGGTCAAGGCAGATCTCCAGAGGTCGCAGCAGGCAGTGCGGAATTGCGAATCGGAGATGATGAGTGAAGCAAGCGGCGCGGGAAGCGTGCCGGCTCTACGCATGGAGCAAGCCGTCGTCCGCGGCTTGCAGCGGCAGCTGGTGGAGGGGACTGTCACTGCTTCCCAGAAAGCAAGCCAGAGTCAGGAGAGTGAGATGGACAGTGTGCGAACTGAGCTTCGAATCGAACAAGCCGCCATGCGTTCCTTCCAGCGGACGGCTGGAGGTGATATAGAGGCGACGGTGCAGCAAGCAGTCCAGCAACGGGAAGACCTGAAGCAGTCCTTGATGAGAGCTGAGAATGCTGCAGTCCGCGGCTTGCGCAGACGTCACGATGAGGCGAGGCGCATGACCCTCCAATTGGAGGACCCACTTGTGCAAGAAGCAAATGCAATACGCAGCGCTATTCCACAGCAAGAAGAGATGGAGGAGTTCCTGTCTGGTCGGCTGCGGGAGTTGGAAGAGGCAACCGCTGCCATGGTGGAGGGTAGCGAGGGCAGAGATGCTTTCCAGCTTGTGGCAAAGGCTCAGGGTTTCGAAGCAGCGGAAGCCACAGCTGCCAGAGCTCTCGCGGAGGAGGCGAGTGCACTTGCACAGGCAGAAGAAATGCAGAAGGACCTGCGCAACTCCGACCTCTACTCTGTGCGTGTGGAGCTACACAAAGAGCGAACTCTGCGCCTGAAGGCCGTTGATGAACACAAGGAGTTGGCGCAGATCCTCTCAGGCATGTCTGTGCCGCCGGCAACACTCACCCCCATGCCGGGAAAGGTGGCCCAGGTGCCCGGCGCTCCCGGTGCTCCCGGTGCTCCCGGTGCTCCCGGTGCTCCCGGTGCTCCCGGTGTGCCAGGACGCTCTCCTGACCCTCTGCCTGAACCTCAGACTGTCGACAGGACCCCTGAGGCTCCGCAGGATGTACGGCTGACAGCCACGCTGGGCACCGAGACTTTGCAGTTGAGCATGGAGAGCCGCAGCGAAGAAATGGACCCCATGCTGGAGGCCCGGCCGGACGTCAAACGCATGGGAATCTGGTCATCTTGTAGGAACTTGTAGGTGTAAAGATGTGAGGCACCATGTCATCGACTGACTTCCCCATGCCAGGTGCCGCTAAGACCAAGCGAAACTCAGCCCGACCTCCGGCAGATTACGGAATCCCGGCTACTGAAAGTCGTTGTGCCATGTTCGACCTGCCCCATGGAACATCATGGAGTAGCCGAACAGCAACATATAATGTTACATAATGTTATGTTGAGTGCCAGGTTGGGGTGCAACCGGGACTTTTCTTGGAGCTGCGCGGCCCCGCCCCCGCCGCCCTTCCCCCCATGCCTACGTGACGCTCGAGGTGTAAGGTGCAAGTTACTCTGGACCGTGTGCATGAGTATGGTCCGCCTAAGGCGCCAGAACACCCCAAACCGTTCACACAGGCATGTGGATTGAGGGTTCTTCCAGGCCTTTGAGGGCTGTCCCCATGCACGTGCAATCTTCCTGGGGCTAGCCGATTTCGTAATGTTGTATGGATCCAGAACTCAACCCGAAGCCATGAATCCGAAATCTTTCGTCTTGTGCTAGTGTATGTCAGTATCCCTCCGTGATTGAGGACGACCTTGACAAGGTTCAGATAGCCTTGCTCTCCATCAGCAGCGACTGGACTGGTGAAAGCATGGTGCCGAAGCTGCGCACCGCACCGCTTCGTGGCCTTGAGGACTCCCGAACACTGGGGTGAAGAGTGACTGAGTACTTAAGTGTGTAGTCGAGAGATGAAGCGAGAGGGAGAGGTACGTGGAGCTCTTGTCGCCAGGAGTCCCAGGAGTCCCAGGAGGCCCGGGAGGCCCAGCTCCCAGAGCGGAGATGGGCAGGCCAGGCAAGCCAGTTCCCAGACAGGGAGTCCATGGAGGAGGAAGTTCAGCAGTTGGAAGCCAAGGCAAGGGCCGTGATGTGCTCTACTGTACTCGTAGACACGTAGCTGGTGAGTTCCCAAGAAGCCTTGTTTTTTTTTTTACTGGAAGGGTACACGAACCATCATCCACATCAACTTGATGTCTTCGTCATGAAGCGGCCCCCCCCAAGTACGCCAAGAACGCGCTAGCACTCAGTCTAAGAAGCCCAAGCTAGCACTGTAGCATCTGCCACGGACGGTCACCTGTGGGAAGACTGCTCAAGCAAAGACAAAGCATTGTTCCCAACCCCCCTTGTGGAGCCGACACCGAGGGGTTGTGAGTTAGGGGTTGGCGGGGTTTGAGGATGGAAACTATTGTTCCCAACTTCCCCTTTTCGAGCCGAGAAGGATGGGTTGTGAATCATGTATGCCCTGGGGCTGGATGGAAAGTACCATGTTGGACTTGTGCAGGGGCTGAAAGCCCCGTGCCAACAAACGCGGTTTTAACGAATTTGGGGGGCTGGAAATAGTGGGTTGCTGGCGCTAGCACGGCACTAGTTATGCGCCAGCAAAATGCGCACGAACCTGGGTTGTCCACAGTCAGTCACCAGATGCTGACACGTAGCCCTCGGGGTTGGATTTTTCCGAAGCTTAAGCTTTCAACCTCAAGCCTTAACCCGACAAACTCAACGCAATCCTCTTCCCTCCCCCCAAAAAGACTGGTGTTGGGGATTTAAGGCTAACTTGCAAGCTGCGTGTCTGCTGGATTCGGGGGTGAGCTTGGAAAGATGACATTGTCTCAGGTCCACATGCAGAATGAGAAGCTGGGGACCTTTCAGGAGGTCTTGGACTCAACGGAAATCCTCGGTGAAGCTGCCCTGCAAAGTGAGCTCCAAGTGCAACGGTTGGAGGAAGAGCTCATTGGCGTGCGCCATGCCTTCCAACTGCAAGGCGAGGAGCTAGCCTGGGTTTCGGAGGCAGCGCTCCGTGACGAAACCAGATCTGAGAGTGCAACAAGTGAGAAGCATGCGAGTACTTCGAGTACCAAGCTGAGCAAGCTGGCAGCCGCAGAGAAACGGTCTGCGCGGAGTTCCTCACCGACTGTCGGAGCAGTAGAGTGGGCACCTGGACGAGCTGGACGAACATTGACTCCGACCTCCAGACCATTGCCCCCACGTAGTCCCACCATCTCGGTGTCATCGGTTGCACAGGGCTCCGCGCGACCACCGAGATCCCCGCCTGCAGTGACGAGCCGTTCCAACTCGCCCTTGCCCTCGCCTTCCTTTGGGCTTCCAGGCCTTGACTTGTTCGCAGATGCCCCGCTTCCGAGTCCGCCGATGCCAGTCCAGGAAGCTGAGGCGACTGAAGCGGTGCTTTCAAGACGTGCAAGCCCACAATTCTCGGTCAGCTCCATCGAGCCAGATCCGACAGATCCTTCCCGCACTTCACTTTCCCGACCTTCACGAGAACTCGAAGGTCTCACAGGACTCGAGGAGCTTGAGGCTTCCGTTTCGCAGCTGGAGGCGAAGAACGCAGAGCTCGAGCAGTCCGTCTCACACGCAGAGCTGGCACTGCAGGAGGCTCTGCAGAAGGCCGAGGCGGCCGAGGCGGCGGAGGCGGCCGAGGCGTCGAAACGCCAGTCTTTAGGAACTGCACTGGAGCCAGCCAAGGCAGCCAAGGAGCCGCAGAGGATGCAGAGAGCATCATCCCCAGGCCCCGATAGGACGAGCGAGCTGCATGCAGAGATCATGGCGCAGATGCAAGAAGAGGAGAAGCGCTGGCGCAAGCGCCTGCAGGTCGAGCGACGCAAGGCGGCGGCAGCAGCCTTGCGAGCGGTTGCACAGGAGGCCTCGGAGGCCACGGAGGCCTCGGAGGCCTCGGAGGCCTCGGAAGCTGAGCTGAGACGGGAACTGCATATGTTGCAGCGTGCCGTCGATCGGGCTCACCAGGAGGCGGCCCAACCAGCACCACCGCTTGAGTCGCTGGCGGCGTGCGAGGACGTCGAGGAGCTTTCAAACGCCGCTCCAGCGGTGGATGAGGCAACTGGACATTACTCCAAAGAGGAGGAAGGCAAGTCGACGACCGTGTTGACCAAAGATTGTGCTGTACAAGCTTTGGAGTCCAATAGCACTTCGGACTTAGAGGAGGTCATGCAGCTGAAGCAGGAAGCAGCAGAGCTGCCTCGGCTTCGGTCCTTGCTAGAAGCAGCAGAGAAGAGGCTGTCAAAAGCAGATGAGTCGTATGCCGAGTTGGAGAAGATACGGAGCTCCCTTCGAGATGAGAAGCACATGGCGATTGCCGTCCAAGGTGCCAGGGACACGGAGGACATGTTGCGCTCTGCCTTGGCTGCTGAAACTACTTGTCAGCTAATGGCGGAGTCGGAAGCCGAACGTGCAAAGGCAGCATCTGACCAAGCTCGAGACGAAGCTCGAGAGATGTTGCAAGATCTCGTGGATGCTGGCCGCAATGAGTTGTTGGCCCTGCGTGCCTGGATGGAAGAAGAAGCTGCGGACTCTTCTGGCAGACTGGGAGAAGCTCAGCAAGCTCTGCATTTGGCTGGGGAGGGCGAGGAAGCCCTGGTAAAGCTGGGAGAGGAGGAGGTCTCAGCTGCTGAAGCACGTGCAGAGCTCTTCCACGAAAAAGAAGCGAGGGCCCTTGAGCTGCAAGCAGCGAGCTGGTTTTACTTTGCGGAGACCGAAGGGTGGTCCGCAGGCGAGGCTTCCGAAGCTCATTCCGAAGCCCAACTGATGATGCAAAGCCGTCGAGAAGAGGTACAGCTCCTGGACCAGCGTGACGCCTCGATTCATGCGGCCACGGCCGAGGCCGGTGCCCTGCGTGCCGAGGCTGCTGTCATGCGTAAGGAGGCGCTGGGGCTCCGCCATGACCTGGGCAAGGAAGAGGTGGCCTTCCAGCAGATGAAGCTCTTGGCCGACAGGGCTCGTGCCGCAGAGTCAGCCACACTTCGGTCGGCCCTCACGGAGGTGCGAGCAGAGGCTGCCAGAGGTGCATCAATCCTACATCGAGCAGAAGATGCAGAGAAGGAGCTGCGAAGGCTCAGGCTGGACCAGGCTCAGAAGGAGGCGCACCTAAAGGACCTCACAAGCCAGCTGTTTGATGCAGAACGCCGTGCTACCGCAGCGGTATCTGCTTCAACTATCGCCATGGGAGGTGGAGCACTTGGAGCCCTGGCCATCTCAAACTTGGACACCAGAAGGGAGAGGGCCCCGTGGAGGGGCTTCGACCGAGGACCAGGCTAGGGGCCACAGAGCCATGTTCAGCGATTTTTGTTTTAGTTCATTTTGTTGATGTTTCGCTTCCGCTGTGCTCAGATATTCGTTGGATTTGTGCGGAATTTGTTGTGAGTGCATATGGAAGACAGTGGCTGCTTGCATGCTGTTGACCATGGTGCCTGATGTGTGGTTTGAGCTTTGCGCTTGAACAGGCCAGGGGCCGGTCCCTTCAACACCAACACCCAGTGCGGGACATGTGGGCGACGCAGACCCGGGTGCCAGTGGCCCAGGCAACGATGGACTTGGTGACAAAGCAGCAATGCTGCGAGCTAGGGCAGAGGGTTTGAAGGGAGAGGTGGAGCGGTGGCAGGCCGCTCGCAGCCAGAATGCAGACAATGGCTAATTCTGTGAATGTGCCAAGAGTGCGTCGACTCATTTGACTTAGCCTGCCTGTCAACATGATGTCCTTCTTCGCGCTGGGAACTTGCTGTACCAGGGCACAGGCGCGTGCGATGCTGAACTTTTGCCGCCGGACAGTATGCAGGACATCGTCAAGGCCTTCAGGCGGAACAGCCCTGCACGAAATGCCTAGCTTTAGACATGACCCAAGGCTTTCAAGCAGCGAGCTTGAGCAGCCTTTGACAAGTGTGTCCGAGCCGACATGGAGGCATCCAGAACAATGAGGCTGAACATTCGCGCAGCTTGCAGAGGATGTCTGCGCCAAGAGGGTATGCCGCCCTGGCGACATGCCGACGAACAAGACCCGAATGGCATAAGGCGGAGCAGATATTCCACATCTGGATCCCAGAAGTTCCCCCCTCCGCAGCATTCAAGCAACAGCTGGCATCGTGACTTACGTCAGATAGTTTAGTCTCTACCGCTCTTTGCGTGTTGGAGTTCTGATCGTCGGACAGAACAGATCGAAAATGGGAACATCAAATTCTGATGCTACTGCCCAGCTGCGAGTGATGCAGTGGCTTCCCAGTATACAGATCTCTCCCGTCTGCGCTGTATCGTGTGCATCGTGAGGTCTGCACATGGCGTCGCTCGGACATCCCATCGTGGCCGATGCCCGGTACAACCCGCACAAGGCACTGCAGATGGAGCGGCTGCACGGCTTCGTGAAACTTGGGTGCCAGGCTAAGGATGACGTGATGAGCTCAGAGAGTGCGGAGTCCTGCCGCTTGTCGATTCTTTGCGTGGGGCAAGTGGGAGCATGCTTGGATTGGCAGGCCGAGATTTGTCCACGGCTCTTTCTTCACGCGTGCTACCTGCGCTGCCTGCTCCCCAGCGGTCGGCCGAGAGATAATACCGCATGCCCTGATGTTACATCACGGCAAGACCTCTTTGCGGTTGGAGGTACATTGCTTGAAGTGGATGCAGCGGAATCCACGAAGGACGCCTAACATGGTTGAATAACTTTCCGACTTGGTCAAGCGAAAGTTGCCTACACGGCACATGGAAGCTCGGACCGTTTTGTGAGGAGCAGCCGTTCGCAGTCGCCTGCCACTTGCCGCCAGAACTGCCTGGCGCTCATGTTGCCATACACTGCATCATGAGGCTCGAAAGAACGTTGCCCCGTGCAAGGCGCCGCGTTCTGCTGAGTCAGCTCCGCTTGGACAGGACTCCGGCACCATGACTCCGGTGGACTTTGGAGACACACACTTGCATGAGCCAAGGACGGCAAGTGCAAAGCTGCCCGAATCTGCAAGGCTTCTTTGCCCTTCCCTCAGCTAAACACTGCATGTCATTTCCCTTGAGCGCTTCATTTTTGAGTCTGATGAAGGATCCTCCGTAAAAGGGCTGTATCATGTCTTGGCTGGGAAGGCGAGACGCTCCTCCATCCAGAGGCAGACTTGAAGAGTGAAATGACGTGCATTTACAAGGGACGTTTCTGCGCTTGCGGTGCGTCCAGCCGGCAGATCCTCTAAGACTGTGCATGGAAGCTGCGCCCGATAGAAACTTGACACTCCAACATTCATGGATGTGTTCTAGACACTAGGCCAGATCCTTCTCTGAATGTGTACTGTACGACTGTACGCACACCTGTACAGGAGACTCATGGCGTTCAGCACTCGTTCGCGTCTAAGCCGAGAAAGCAAAAAACGCAAAAGCGTTTCGTTGCCGTGCTGTGGTTCTTTGAGGAAACGTCCCCGAGATATGGAGGAGCTTCATGCCCAGTCCCCAGAAAGCGGTCTCAGCGCACAGGCACGGCAGTCATGGAAAGTGGCTCATTGGCGGTAAGGAGAGTCGACTAACCCTGCGTCGGCGGGATGAGTTCTTGCCAGGGCGCCAGAGTTTTAACCTTTGTAGGGGACGGAAGCAATACTTTCGTCCCTATAAGTGCGCTTCCGATTTCCCGGATATAGGAGCCGTGCCGACTCTGCCGTGCCCCTTAAGAATGAGGCATCGCTTCCGCTTCAACAGCAAAGAACGTGCGAGCCTCGTTTTTCGATCCAGTTCGGGGGTGAGGATTAGGGCTTGGGCTTTCAGTCAACCGACTACGATATGATCACGGGGTTGGCTTCGGGTCCGTCATGCTTCTCAGGCATGGAAATCATCCGCATCTTGAGCCAGCTGAAGACCAGTAAGGCCCCATGCTTGATGTTGAAAACTTGGTTGGAGACTGCATGCTGCCTTCAAGGAGTTAGGGGACCCCTCGACGTCCTGAGCAGGAGCGAAGCGCAGCGCTTCAGCAATTCCGAGTTCTGGGACAAAGAACACCAGATTTCATTGTTTGGCACTCAGCTCATGGTCTCAGATCTTATGGTTGAGCGTGAAGCGAAACTGCTGACACTTTGCACCAGGTGGGGCGATTCGCAAAATATGCTCCATCCTCGGAGTTTCTCTTTGCGGAGGGGGGGGGGGGGTTGCTTCTTGAATCAGCTCTGCCATAGACCGGCCTAGGGCGAGCGCTCTAGCGGTAGGCATGCATCTTCCCTTTTCATTGAACAAGAATACAAGCAAGCACTTTCGTGTTTGCAGCAGGGGCTCCGATTCAGTAAGCAGGCTGTTTAAGAACGTATCCTAAGGATGCCTTACGCAAAAAGATGCAAGTTTGTTTCGATTGGCACACTCAGGTGGAAGGGCTGCTGCGTTGGCCCTGCACTGAGTTTTGCAGAGTTGCGCGGCTGACCGGGCTCTGTTCGTTCTGGAACCGAGCGAAGGAGCAACTGCAAGAAGGGCTCCGAAGAGGCCAACGATTCCTGAGCGCCTCTCTTGCTTGCACGCTGCCTGCACGGGTGTACCGGTGTGCCGGTGCCACAGGAGGTTGCAGCATCAGAGAGGCGCCCCCGAACTTGGCATTCGCTGTCAGTTTGTCTCAGTGACGAAATCCGAGTGCACGGGTTTGGTGGGCACTGTATCTGCTTCTCCCGCCAGGTGTTCCAGCACCGGTGCAAGCAAGGAGGATGGGCTCGGCGTGGTGCATGCCTGTCCCATTGACACTGCTGACACTGAGCGGTCGCTAATGCACCGCGAAGGAAGCTCAAGATCTTTGCAAAGAGCATGTTCTGGCATGTTTGCGGCATGATGTGTTGATTCGGAAAGTTCGTTCAGTGCATATTATGCTACTGATAGAAGTGGCCATGCATACCCAATGCATGATTATGCATTTGTTCTCGTGATGCTCGTGCCAGGCGTAGCTCGGCAGAGCTATGCACACATGACATGCCCCAGGCAAAGTGTGCAGATTCTGGTAGGGCAGACTGTAGATATGCATCTTGAGTCCACGAGAGAGGCCGTCGGTAGGGACTGCAACCTGCTTGCATAGTCTGAGTGGATTTGAAGGTCCCCGGCCCGCTCCAGATTCTCACAGAGTCTGTCCGGACCTTTCCCTTCGACTCATCCATGGAGTAGACCTTCCAGTGAGCCGTGCCACTTCGTCTCCACGTCTTCTTGCAGGTATGGTGCGACGTCTGTGGGCTTACCGAAAAGCAGGCCCAGTCTGGCAGAGCTTTGCGAGTGTCAAGGAAGGATCAGGGTGGCCCTGAGAGCTTTTGCTTCCCTCAGGTCTCTGTACAAGCGCCTTCCTTGGAGCTTCGCATGCGTCCGCGCCTTTCATACGCATGGGCACATCAGGAATCAATTCAAAAGAAACACCATTCCTTTGTCGTGCCGCATGCATGTAGCGTGCTGGGTTCTCTATCCCTTTGTTATCTGGATCTCTGGAACATCTGCAAGGCTTGCCCGGCATCCATGGTCGTCGACCTCCCTGTCAGCCGGTCCTGCCGCCAAGAGTCCCACGAAGTTGCCAATTTCATGATGGTTGGGTTTCGAAAACAGGTTCGGAGACGCAGGAACACGAGAGACTTCCGGACGACGTGGAAAGTGAAAGACAGCACGGAGCCTCAGAAGGTGCATCAGCTGAAGCGGGCAGATGGCTCAACCAGAGATTCCTGAGGTGGGAGGAGAGAGCTGGTCGAAGATGAGGCCTCTCACCTGAGGGAAAGCACTCGATAAAACCGATTGCCTTGTGGTTCCCATTTTCCAGGAGCTTGAAGACGAGTACGACGAGGACACGCTGCTGCTTGAAGCCGCTTGTGCCGAATGTCATATGATGGCTGGCTCAGAGGATGAGGAAGACAACGATGACGACGATGAGCTGGTTGATGAGGAAGACGAGGATGACTTCGAGGATGCTGACGAAGAGGAAGAGGGAGAGGAGGAGGAAGAGGAGGAGCGCTCGTGGATGTAGGCACTGACAGTTCAACAGCAGTGTCGGCTCCAACGCCTGCGCCACCTCGGCGTCATACGAAGCCCATCGGGGTGCATAGGGTGTTCCCGAGGATTCTGCTCAAAAGCCCAAGTTGTTAGCTGTAGCTCAGCTCGAAAATGAGTGCTGCAAAGCGGCGGGTGGAGGTGAAGGGACCATGGGCTTCTGAGCCGATGACCAGGGCGTGGACTAATATAGGGTCTTGCCGGTTGTTGCAGGGGGAGGGAATGGGAGGGAGAAAGGAGGCGGGTTTCTGCCTCAAAACGCCTTAGGCTTGGGGCCTCGGCAGATCAAATGCAACACCTTGTCTCGCCTTCACCCCTGATGGTGTTTACCGTTTACCCATGCAGATGGCAATCAATGAACCTGCTGGCAAGGAAAAGTCCTCTCCATCACACAGAACCCGGAGGCACATGCCAGGACCCAACCTGAGCTAAGCCCGCATCCCCTGAAGTGCAGGTGGCAGCCTGCCGGATACAAGGCCCGGCACAACTGTTGTCGCCCATCGTGCGCTCATCTGCAGGGTGGCCAGTAGTGGTTCGCTCCACGAGGCCAAAGAGCAGTCCTCTGCCGCATCCAACACGCGCAGCACTTAAGCGCTCAGTGTGCGAACAAGTGTGCTGCATGTTGCTGCCGCATACCGCAGTATCCTTTTCACCCTTTCTGCACTTGTGCCGCTGTGCTTGTAGCTGAGGCAGGCGCGTAACCTCGAGCAAACAGTTCGCGATCTGGTCAAAGGCCACAACAAAAGCTTTCGGCAGAAATCAAGGCGCCACAAGCACGGCACGCTTTGCGCAGGAAGAGGTGGCTCCGTGGATGGCGTTTGGCTAGCTGGCAAAGTTCCTCGGCCTGGGAGTTGTGTGATGTTTCCTGTTTCCTTGCAGTTTCAGAATCGGGTTTCGAAGGTCCTGAGGGGTATATGAAACCAGCTACAAGTTCACAGCTAGATTGTGGTTCCCTTATCTATAGTTAGCGCTTCGCTTCCACCGCTCTGAAGGTAGCTTCAAGCTTCAACACACACATCAGGGAAAACACCAGGCAGGGAGCTGAGAGTGTGCAGAGCCGGAAGTGAGGCATGATCATGGCATGATGCAAACTTCGCTCGTGAACGGAAGCCCTCTTGATGCCACAGCTGCAAGGCGGAACGATGGCAGCCTAAAGAAGTGGTTGATGTCCATTCCAGGTCCTGTGATTCGCGACTGACAGAAGTTGCACACTCTGGATGCTTGTGGATGCTTGTGGATGCTTTTTGTGCAGTTCAGCTGCAGTCGACAGGCATAGAGGTTGAGACTGCCAAGCATCAGAATCACTGGCGCGTCAAACTCGCTTGAAAGCGTGCGATACTGAGCTGTTTCGAGTTTCCAGGAATCATCTGCCAGGCAAGGGTAGTGACAGGTTACTCGACACGTTTCTTTGCACGTTCTCCAGGTGCGCCGAACGTGCTTCATCGAACCCTGATTGTCCGTTGTGCTGGCATGTGACTGAAGCGACCTTGGCAAATGCAGAGTGGGTATGAACGGGCGTGACTTGGCTGTCGCGTCGCCATGGTGTGCACGTTATGCAAAGCCCTTTCACCTCGAGCAATCCGGATGTTCACATGTCGCTTTGCTCACTCAGCACATGTGTGCATAGTCGCATGGCCTGCTTTGACGCTCTGCTTTTATATTTGGTTGGACAAGCAGTCCACCGGAGCCATTGATGACTTGAACAAGCGGTTCGTGAGCGGCAATGCAAGGCTGTGTTTCGTTTCGCTTTCTCCTTGCTGTGAGCTTATGGCGAAGCATACTCGATAATGACAACTGCTCTATCTCCGTTGCAACACCAGTTTGCAACATGCTCGTGTCACGGACTGTCAATGGACGCGTGCCACGAATGATAAAATCGCTTGACGGGACGCTTGTCCGAGTGAGTGGCAAACAGGTCGCCTGTGCCCTCCAAGCAAGCGGTCAACGTAGGAAAGAACTGGCAGCGCCTGCACCCTGGAGTGCATGGCAGGTGCCTTTAGAATTGAAGTACTCCACCACCTTGCCAGGCACCCGCCTGAAGTTCGAACAGTTGCTAAGCCTGCTAAGCGATTTGAACATCGAAGTGGTAAGACTACCACATGCGATCCTGGCAAGAAGGTGTGATGGATGCTCTCGGCGGCATCTTGTTTTTTGTCTTTGCACCTGCAAGCCCCTGCGCTGGACTTTTACGAGGTAACTGATATCTGCAGCGGTTGGTTCCCATGTGTCGGGTGGTGAGCAGCTGTGCGTCCAGCCAGCACTTCTCCTCGTCGTAGAGGCATGTGAACTGTCGATGCGTAACCGTCTGTGGCAAGACTTGCAGTTATGACTTGGAGAAGCGCAGGCAGCGTGCGCCCAGCGCAACGAGCGTTCCACTGATTTTTGCCCGAGTTCCTTAATATCATAGCCTCGCTTCAATGCTGGCTGGCATTTGCCTTCATGAAGTAGTTAGCTGACGGCCTTCTGAGTTGGTTGACCTCGCAAGGTCAACTCAGACGTGCTGTAATCATGAAGTACAGGATGCCAGGACCCCGGCCTGACAAGGCTTTTGCCTTGTGCACCAGCTAGATCTAGCCACATCTTCAATTTGAAAAAAGCCTTGCTCGTGCGTTCAACTTCTGCGCGTCACGGGCAAGCTTTACTAGGTGCTGATGGGAGACACTCTGACATGAAGGTTGCACAACAGCAATCTGTGCCGCTTGCCGTCGTATCTCCAGCCAGTAACGGCCGTACCGTGTTCAGAGCCATGTCGGAAGCGACCCTTGCGATACGAAAGGTGGGTGACTGATTGTCTAGCCATACTTGATTTCGGGCATTGCAAGCTTAGCTCTCTGCCATGGTCGTCAACTGTTCTCGACTCGCCATTGCAATCCTTCCTGCAGGTGAGGCTGATCACAGCCGTGAAGACGCCTTACCTTGCTGACGGAAAGGTTGATCTCGAGGCGGAATAAGCAATACCAACATTGACGTGTGGCTCGGATTGTTTCCGTCCGTTCGCCATCAGCAGGCCTATGACAAGATTGTGGAGCACCAGATCGCAAACGGAGTTGGTTCTCAGTTTTGATTAAACATTCACTTGGCAAAATTTGCATTTCCTGGGGAGCCTTGACCATGCCCAGGTCGAAGGCTTGATTGTGGGAGGCACGACGGGGGAGGGCCACCTCCTCTCCTGGGACGAACATCTGGGCCTCATTGGACACACGAAGGCACACTGGGCCGACTGAGGATAACGCGCTTCAGTTCACCCCTTCACAAACTGCGAGCCATGCAAGATGCGTTCCTTTGCTGGTGGTAGGCGAAGTTTGGCGGCCGAATAATTATTGCCGGCATCTCACAATGTCAAAAGAGTAGGCATGGAGGGTGGAGGTTTATGCGGGCAAGTTGCGTTGTGTAGCTTCGTTGCTTCGCTGTAGCTCGCAGCTCCCAGGTCGGAAACACAGGCAGCAATCACACGGCCGAGGCATGCCTGCGCACGCGAGCAAGCGAGTTCTTTCAACGTCCTTGAGTCCTTCCTGGTAGGCAGTTTGGGCCACCGAGAGGGGCTTTGCTACTCCGCTGAATTCTTCATTTACCATTGCTTCTGCGGCTTCAGACTTGCAGCTTCTCCTTCGCTCCGGCTGGCCCGTCTTCCGTCTTGCGTAGATGGCCGAGAGAGCAGTGCCCGTCGTTCTGTGAGTCTCAAAAAAGTTCGGGAACTCTGTCATTTGCAGTATCTGCAAGCCGATTACCGTCTTTGTGGGAGGTGTGGTGGGGGAGTGCTGAAACCAAGACAGCACAAGCAGCTTTTGAAGAAGATACTGGTTGGGCAACACAAATGAAGGTCCTATTCGTTGATGAATGTCTTGGTGCTTGAGTTTTGTGTGGCTTTCTGGGGATGCAAAAGGAAACCCTGCATGTTTGAGGCTGCCCACTTTCCAAAGTCGCCTTAACTTAAAATTAGCAGAAAAACCAGGCTTCGTGTTGGAATGCTAAAGGAAATGGAGGTTGCCTTAATTGCCAAAGTTCAGTCCAACCACAAGAAGGACAACAAGGCTAGCATCAGCAGCTATGTTGATTAACACCAGAATAATCTCCGAAGCCACCATCAGCGTACGAACGCTGCTTGCAATAATACGTGCGGACATGGTTTGCTTAGCTCCCCCCTCTTTCAATTATGGGTTTGGCAAGGGATTTCTGGATGTCCCATGACAAAGAGAGAGCCCAAAACGCATTCGTGTTGTACAACTTTCCATGTGCAAAAGCTGGCGCTGTTTGGATGCAAGATGCGAAGCCACATAAGAATGGGAGTGATACTTGGATTTCTGAAAAAAGGGATATGATCAAGTCTTAGGCTTACCCTCCTTGGCAAATATGATTCCTTGCAGTCTCCCAGTAGAGTTTTTGTAATGCGTCAAGGAATTGGGAGTCCCTGATCACAAGATGAGGAAACCTTTTTTGCTCAACTGCCACAGGGCCCGGACCCCACAAAAACTCACGCTGTGGATTGCATATTGACGTGAGGAAGGAAACTAAGTATCTCGTACAGAAAGCCAGGAAATACACAACGCATACAAACGCAACGTAACACAACCAAAAGAGAACACAGAAGTTCGTGGCCAGTAATTCTCTCATCATTGAGGCTGCTGGTATGGACGCATCCCTGCTCATCAACCCTTACTACGGCATGGTGCCAAGAGCGGGCCAACCCCAAACCCTAAACCCTAAACCCTAAACCCTAAACCCTAAACCCTAAACCCTAAACCCTAAACCCTAAACCCTATAAACCCTAAGCCCTAAACCCTATAAACCCCAAACCCCAAACCCTAAACCCTAAACCGGCCCTGCCTCCAGAAGCTGCCAACACCAGCGGCATGTGTCCCAGGCAAGACGTCAGACTCCGGAATTGCCTGGAACTGTACTGGCTGGTTCTTAGCAGGGAATGAGGGAATGAGGTGCCCTAGGTAAAACCCTTACAGGGGAAATGTAGGGCCCTAATTCCCTCATTCCCTACTAAGAAGCAGGGGTTTAGGATGCTTTGAGCCTGTGAAGCTTTCCATGAAAACGGCGCGTGCACCGAGATCATGCACCTGGAAGCAGCGCTTAAGTTTGGACCAGCCTTCATTTACAATGCCTGGGTACTCAGAAGCTCGATGCTACCGCGAGACGTTAAAAATCACGCGACTGGCTCAGGTACCAGGCCGAACCGGGCAGGACCAGTACTAGAACATCACACCTCACTTTTGCTTCAAATGCCCCGGGATGGTGCATCTGATGCTGGATGCCGAATGGTCTGCAGAGTCTGCATGAGGACATCAAGTCCAGCGTGATGGTAAAGATCAAGGATCACCCTAATTTTGTGGGCGTCAAGGACGGTGCTGGCAAGCGCTGCAGCACATGCAATGGACTAGTTCGTCATTGTGCAGGAATGTATGGGCCACGAGCGCATCAAGGACTCATTGTGTTTGAATGTAGCGGGTTCGGCAATGTTAAACATCGCTTGTCCAGCCGTCGGGTTGGGTTTGCCAGAGACTTGGCCTGTAATTTCAGCTCCAGCCCCAGTATGCAACGGGCAGCTTTGACAGCTAAGTTCACACAGTGCTCTGTACCTCAGTGTTGTCAGTGCTGCCTGTTCAATGCAAGAGTGGTTGCAGTTATGCGGTGGTACGTAGTGCGGATCGTAGGCAGTACAGACTAGTACAGACGACACACCGTAAGGTGCTGGCGATAACAGTCATTTGCAGAGCGCTACCCACTACGAAGTGCTTCGCTCGCGGTGTGTGTTTTTGTTTTAGTAGTTCTTGGCGGTCGAGGCATTTAGCCTCTTTAAGGGTTAAGCGAGTGATTCAACCAGGAATTTTAGATGTGGATGTCTTCAGCAAGGGCCCGTGAGGTCTGATTTACGAGCATTGGAACGCGGCATGCGTGGTATAGAGTTTGAGCATACTTCTGGACCAGCGACAGGAAGTTCAAGGATAGCTAAGGGGAATGGACATGAGCAAGAAGGGCTGAGTGCACATCAGGCAACAGGTGCTTGGTAGTCCACCACGAATATTTTGGTTCGTAACCGTGCATATACCACCGCTTCCAACTTGTGGAAATCGCCTGCGCTTCCAAAAGTTTGGTTCTAGCATCGGCATCTGAGGAGTACAGCAGTATGGGCGTTTGCTGCTGGTCTGGCAATGATGATCAGCCATTGCCTCGGCCACGATGAAGGGATGGCTCGGGCTTGTGTAGCAGCAAACGAGGATGCATGAGTCAAGACATCAACATGGAGCTGTTGGCGTCATCTCCGTCACGTGCGGAACTCAATCGTGAATGCTGCGCACGTGCCGAGTGATGATGCAACTCGCAACTCGAGCAGGTTTGGTAGTAAGGAACTTGATTCTGCTCATCATCCAGTGGTGTAGGTACAGTAAGGCAGGTTCAGAAGGTTCAAGATGCTGCTCAGGTCCAACGTTGTGCCGGGGCTGGTCAAGAAGCTGATGACGGAGAAGGACCCTTCAAAGCTGGATGTGAGCGGCTTGCTTTGAGTCGTGGATCCACAGGATGATGCTCTGGACGCCAAGCTGCAGCCTCTCTACAAATGGTGCGCCCCCGGAGATGTGAAGCTTGGGGCTGTTTGGGGTTTGTCTCAATGTCTCTCCTGTGTGACACTGGTTGCTGAAGCCGATGAAGCTGCCGATTCCGTCTTGGCATGGCATGCATCGTTGCAGACTCGTCACAGGCTGTTCACGGACCCCAATCCGATTGGTTGCAAGCTCAGCACGGAGGTCGGGTGTCATCCCGACACTGCAAACAATCCTTGTCCGGATACCGAGGTGTCAACACCATGCTGATGATGCTGGGTGCCGCGAAGCCCATCTTTCGCTTGCCTTACACCTTCGTTCCCAGGCCTGGAACTTTTCCACAAACAGCTCGCGGTTCACCCCCCGACCATGGACCTACGAGCGCTATAATGTTGTGATCAGGGACAGAAGAGCGCAAGGAGTCGAGGTGCTGTCATCCATTGGTTTAGAGTGCCTCGACCAGTTTGGCTCGTGTGGCGAAGTCTTTCTTCAGAGAGTGGCAGCCGAGGAACTGCCCAGCCTTCGGAGAGCTGAAGGTGCTTGAGGACAGGGCAAACATAGCAGTGCTCCGGCGGAGGGGGAAAGCATTCCGATACACCATGTCCCCCCCCCCCCCCCCCCCCCCCCCCCCCCCCCCCCCCCCCCCCCCACCCTACCCCCTGCATATCGGGCGTGTCGGCGTTTCGGCGCCGTTTCTGTATCGGCCTGTCTGCGGGGGGGGAAGAGGCAAGGAGGTGGACGGGGGGGAGAGGGAAAGAGATACACCGACACGCCGATACATCGAGACGTGGAGGGAAAGGCGGGGTTGGGGCAGGGATATCGGCGTATCAGCGCAGGGGCAATGCACCGATACACCGATACACCGACCCAGAACAATGCACCGATGCATGGATTCCGGGGGGTCCCGGGGTTTGGTCGACGCACGCCTGTGGCAATCAAGGCCAAGTTCTAGGCTAGTCCTGGTTCGGTTTTTACGCCGCAGGAGGTCCCGAAATGCTTCATTCAGGATTCCATGTTAGGTCTCAGCGATAGAGCAAGGTTTGTGCACGTGATGCAGTATCTGCTCGCGCGCATGCACGACAGCAGTGCGTATGGGTAGCTAATATGGTGTTTGTGGATCCTGCACTCAAAGCCGAGCCAGACAAAGCTGGACCTCTTTGCTTTGGGTGTGGGGGGGTCGCCCTGTCGACGTGGAAAGAAAGCGGAGGGGGGAGGGCGGGGGATCGGGGAGATATCGGCGTATCGGCGTGAGTCGTCGCCCATCGTTGCATGGCACGCTAAAGCGTAGGGTGCAGATGACGGAATCCAGGGGCAACCAAAGAAACACACCACAAGTGAGGAACCTTGAAGAAGCCAGTCTTCGCACGCACACGCACGCACACGCACACGCACGCACACGCACACGCACACGCACGCACGCGCGCACGCACACGCACGCACACGCACGCGCACGCGCACGCGCACGCGCACGCGCGCACGAGCACGACCACGCGCACGCGCACGTGCACGCGCACGCGCTCGCGCACGCTCACGCGCACGCGCACGCCCACGCGCACGCGCACGTGCGCACGCGCGCGTGCACGCCCACGCGCACGCGCACGCGCACGTGCGCACGCGCGCACGCGCGCGCGCACGCGCACGCACGCACGCGCACGCGCACGCGCGCACACGCACGCGCGCACACGCACGCGCGCACACGCACGCGCGCACACGCACGCGCACACGCACCCGCACACGCACACGCACACGCACACGCGCGTGCGCAAGCATGACACGCCCCCCGATCACCCCGCCCACTGCAAACCTCGGTCACCCTTACACGCGGCACCTGCAAAATGTGGTTCACCTGCACTCCCGGGCAAGTTAACAAGCAGGATGCGGACTTCCAGCACGTGCTGGGAGGCCACTGAGTCACCAGCGCGCATCTCAGGCTTCAACAACAGGGTCCTGCTCACGCAGCAATGTGCTCGCATACTTGGCACATCTAAGTACAGTGAGAGAGAGTTGTCTACGCCATGATTTGCACGTCATCAGGGGTGCACACATGCTGTGTTGAAGAAGCACATTCCTTTGGGTGATGCCCAGGCTGCTGGTGGCAGATGTAGCGTTCACGCGGTCCGACTGGATGTGGAGCTTCCGGACGTTGTTGTGTCTCGCTGTGTTTAGGGGCTCTAAACTGCAATCGATGCATGACAGGCTTCGTTTTGAGCCCGCTTTGCCACAATTTCTGGATACTCTACCTTGTGTCTCAGGCGTCTCTCTTTTTCGTGACGGCCAGGAACCAGGGCATCAGTTTTGCAAATCTCGCATCGAGCTTGAAGGGAAGACACGGCAAAGCTGGTTTCCCTTAGGTTGTTACGCCCATATTTGTCCATCTCCACCTTGGTCTTGCTTGCCTTAAGTTGTCTTCTCGAACAAGTACATCTTGACCCTCATGTGACACAATCACTGGGGTGCATCTCCACAACTGACCTTAGAAGGCTGCGGGCGCCTGCGTGCTCGCAAGATGCGTCGGAGAGTACAGATGCGAAGATGGAAAAGTATCACCTGCCGGTTTGCTTGCGTCTGGGCAAGGTGGTCGTGCCACACCGACTGCTGCCTTGTGCCTGGTAATCTTTCATGATTTGACAGAGTTCCACAGCTCGTTCGTTCCCTGCAGTTGGTCTTCGAGGGTACATGAGAAGCCAGCCTGTCCACATCGTATCATCAGCACGAGGCTTCGACCATTGAAAACCAAGTCTGAACAGTGTGTGAACCTTCATGCGCTTCAGTAGTCGTTGTGTCGCTGTGCGCAACTGTGCGGCATCTGTGTGTACCCATGGCAGCAACCAGCCTGCCACAAATTTGCATGGAACCCAGGGCATCAGTGCCAACTGAAACGCCCATAGCACAGCTGCAAGCGCTCGTGGGAATTGTCGAAGCTGCCCGTCTTCAAAGTCGGCCACTGACTGCAGAGGAGGATGCAAAGATTGATGGCGCGCGCGATGCCAAGGCTCCTCTGGTTGCGATTGCCGCGATGCAGGCAGGTGAGGATCGCTCTGAAATTGGCAGCCTTGGCCATCGCTTGTGGGCAGCTTTGGGTCATGCAGCGACCGATATGCAGCAAGATGCAAAATGTCGAACCTTGGCCTGTGAGCTTTATGCTGCTGGCATGGGGTCTGGTCCCAGTGCCAGCAAGGACACGCTTCTGTTAGCAACCCACTGGGCACTGGCCGGCTATACTTGGGTCTGTGCATCAGATGATCAAAAAGCCCTTGCATGCTTTGCAGAAGCAATGAAGCCAGTCAGAGCAAATGCCCAGCGCTGTGATGCAAAATTGGCAGAGCTTGCGGCGCAGACCTTACTGTGGATGGCTGACGCTCGCTTCCGACAAGCAACATACAAGGAAGCCTTCGCAGATCTCGCAAACGTCCGCGAGCTTCTTTCCCTCCACCCTGAGCTGCAACAAGCACAGCTGCGTCCTCAGAAGTCTGGGTATACTTTTGTCCGATTTTCTGAAGCAAGCTGTCCTACTGCGTGCTGACAAGTCTTGATTCCTCTTCGCCAGTCAGCAGCCTTCAGAAGCTTTTGCAAGGTTGGACAACTTGCTGTGGCACTGCCACAAGCAGGCCGGACTACCTTTGCTGTTCTCTGAAATGTCAACCCTGCACGGAAGATACGGTTAAATGGACAATGCCTGCCCGTGCAGCAGGCGTCATCTCATCGTTCTGCGGGAAACTTGTCAGAAGCAATCGAGCTGCTGAACCTGGCAGTGGCAGCGGCAGCAGGCAGCGGAGTGTTGTGTTCACGTAGTGGGTTCGCAGGAAGGCATAGCCATAGCCAACTTTTCAGTGCAAACTGCTCTACATCTTCTAGGTTCACTACACAGACTCGGTTCTGATAAGTGCCTGGATGATGTTGAATGACTTTGCAATGTTGCATGACCTGTTGCAGCTGAGAGGCGTCTCCTCCCAGAAATGCAGGCCGGTGATGCCGATGTCAAGGGTTCGCGCAAAGCTAGACACAATTCGGGACCCGCAGTTGTTGTCAAGATGTTTTTCTTGCCCCTTGTTAGGACCACTCTTATCCAGTTGTATGCTCATAGACTCAGCTGAAAATTGTAGCGCATCACTAACTGCTCGCCACAAAGTGCTGTAAATGGCACTGTCAGTGGGCGCTGTCATTGCGAGATGGCCCACAAAAGTGTTAAGTGCCGTGTGTGAGGAACATCGAAGACACGGTCAAGCGAACGACACGTCAAGCCTCATCAGGATTCGAAAAAGATCGTCAAAGTTTGTTGGGGGGAGGCACTGGTGCCGCTTCTCACTGCAACGAGGGGTACAATTTTTGCAGATGAGAGCACAACACAAGACACAAATGAAGCTTATTTATTGCACCATACAGTAGAGGTCGACGAAGCACCAACATGCATCAACAGGACAGCATTTGAGTTTGTGGGTGGGATCTCGATTCAGTCTCATCGTCCGGGTGTCGTAAGAAGATTTCGCGCGGCGCGCCTTTAAAATAAGTTTGCCGGGCCACGCTGTCCCTTTCCAACTCATCTAAACTCCTCCCCTTTAAAATGTTATTAAAACCCGTGGACCGTTTAAAGAGTGCAAGAAGCAGCTTTGACTGTTCAGCGGCGAGGGAACACACTAAAGCAGGCACAGCATCACTCTTTGTGCAGGTGGGTCGTCTGCTGCATCGAGCTTCATGGGAAACCACGTGATCCAGTAACTGCACGCGGCACGCGGAAAATGCCGAAGAATGCAAATGAATTTAATTGGGCAGCCGGATGCACCCTCGGGCGTTCCACAAGAAAGCAAACGAGGTCAGAGGCAGAAGGGTCTGGCCCAGAGCACCACTGGAAGTGGATCCGTGATCTCGGACGATACTGACGTGAGCGATGTGCGTGCTTATTCAACACGCAGAGTTACTGACCTTGGACCAGCTTGTTGCGGGGAATGCAAGAAGGTGCAGTCTGAAACTAGAAGACCCGATCCGATACAAACATGCATGAATCCGCGAGCGAGGAGGGTCTCATGATCTATCATCAGAGTCCCTGCCAATCGTTACTTACACTGCAGGCTCTTTCGCTTGTTGGCGCTCTGTCACATGGACGTGCCCGATCTGGACCTTGCCGTGGTGCTGTTCTCAGCTCTGCCAGAAGTTGTGGGCGGTTTACTGCGGCAGTACTGCGGGATACTTGTTACATGCCCACTGTGTTCAACTCACGTGACGCCTATGGTGGCTCGCAGCGCCTAGTATCAGGGGACATGTGACAGCAAGCTTTCTTGAGGCCCATTCCCGGCAGGCGGTCGTGGAAGCTACGAGTTCCGAAGAACAACGTCTCGCTCTGCAGGTCGGAGGACTTCCATCGGCCTGATGAGTGGAGAAACCGTGGATGATGTGCAGGTTCAGCTCTGGGCGCTCGTGCAGCGCAGATCGCAAGGCACGCCCAGCAGAGACTCCATGAGAGTGCTACTGACAGAAAGCAGTAGTCGCATTGAAGGCTGCGAGCAGCCCTTAGGTGTCCCGTGGCGGTGAATGTTGCACGCAGATACTTTGGTAGAAGGAGCTGCTGAACCTGCGGATGTTGAGACGACATAGTGTGCTGATTGTGCTGATTGTGCTGTTCGTCCTTGCCACAGTTTTTGCTGACCGGCATCTGAAGTTTGCTTGAGATGTTAGATGTCACATCTTACTGACACTGCCAAAATCAGTGGGATAGCAAGTGCAGCACCACCTTCTCAGCTTTCATGTTATCGGGCGTCAACCCATTATATCTGAAGCAAGATTCCTGCAATGCGCAGCACCTTCACGGCATTCCTGACATGGCAACTCTAATCCACTCACCACAAGGAACCGCAACTTGGCTTGAAATGGGCTAGAAGGGCGTCTGGACCTCCTGATTTCGGTCCTAGCATTCTGCCACGGAGCACGGGAGGAGGAGCTACCACTAGGAGCTGGTTCGTGCGAGTGGCACACGGGGTGCATCTCCTCCAGACCATAATTTGCTGAGGCGTCAGATTTGGCCCAGGTGGATCCAAGTGTTGGCACTGAATTTCAAACTGTCGCCAACGATGTGTTCGCCTCCAACCCGCGGGTTGCGGAGAAGGAGCAGCTTGTAAGCACCTGGACATGGCATGCTCCGTACTCGGTTGATCCCCTCCTGTGCCCTCAGTCCCCTCCGGTGTACCTAAGGAAGAGACGCTGGGAGGAAGAGAAGGGCTTCGGCACACTCTTCGACACCAGCCGCTCCAGCCCTTCGACGCCCTTGAGAGAAAGCAGTAAGACACAGGAGACTCAGACACACAGAGACACGGTTTCGTGATCGCGTTCTGGTTCTGTCTCACAGAAATGGTCTATGGCCGTCTGTGGTCCATGGTTCCTAATACCGTGCGATTGCCCTGTTGAGATTGTTCTGGCCTTGGTGAGCACATGGACCGCAGGAATACCGCCATGGATTCAAGCGGGTCCCTCAACGAGGATGGTCAGACGAGGAGGCCGGTCAAGATCAGCCTCTGCTCCGACCTGCACCTTGGAATATTGAGGCCAGGAGGTTCCATTATTATTATTATTATTACTATTCTTGTTATTATTATTGTTGTTATTATAACTATTATTATTATTATTATTCTTATTATTATTATTATTACTACTGTTATTATTATTATTTACAACCCAAGGTGTCGGTTAGATGCCGAGGTATTGGCGAGCGAGCTGCCGCGAGAAGACTTTCATGCGAATCGATGGAGGTGCATCGTCCACCCAGAGCGTGCAGCACCTTGGCAAGAACTGGACGAGAGGATGCATCTTGCTGCGCTTTTTTTTTTTCCTCTGGTTTCGGCTGGACGAGCTTGGCATCTGAGGTTGAGACGCTGGGACCCGTTGCTCATCTTGAGCTTTCAATCTTCAGTGCCAAGGACTTGGCAGAAGAAGACATCTCCCTGACTTTGCAGCCTACATGCAATCCCTATGCCAAGGCTCCCAGCACCTCATGCGGATTTGATGTTGCTCTCCCTCCGGCACTCCCCCCAGCACATGGCAGGTCTATCTCGACGATAGGCTAGTCTGCCGTTCCAAGTGCCAGCAGCGAACGACATCTCCAGATTGGCGTTGCGCTGAATACTTGCAAATGATTTGCAGTCGCAGAATGTGTGTCTCCTGCATTGCGACGGAGTGGTTCAGTCTGGTATGCTTGTCTACCGGCCCAAGGCGTTTTCACCGGTCGCTGGATGTCGTGTGCCCATATTCGATGCTGAGGACAACTGGGGGGTCGAGTGCAGGGCACGGTAAGGGGGAACGCTGGAAGGGGAAGGAGCTTCCAAGTTCCCCACAGCCTCCCACCTCACAGCCTCCCACAGCCTCCCAGTCCCAAAGCGCATACCCTTTTTTTAAAAAGGGTGTGGATTCTCCGGTGTCCGGCGTTGTAGGTCTGTAGTTTCGGCGTGAGCCTTTGTGCAACGTTGACTGCAAACGTGAAGGCCCCACTTGTAGCTTGTGTATCACCATCATGCTTAGACTTGATGGGGATGGAGACGGGGAGCGTTGCAAGTGGGCCGATGACACTCGTCAACGATGAATGCTGCACTCCGAGCCCGGCAAAGTGTCAAGTCTGAACAGGATACAGGTGGCGGATCAGACGCACTCCAACGTCATGATGGCGCGAGCTTTTGCTGAGCTGTTAGTTCTTAGGGAACACTTTCTGGGGATCTCGGTTACAATTAGTGAAGTTGCAGCAATCTTGCGGCACTGAGGAGATGCCCAGATGGGCTTTGTGGAAATCTGCCTTGGTGATTTGCCGTGGAATCGGGACGTCGAAGGGTGGTTCGAGTTGCGCTACAAGGAGCTACACACCGTGATTCCGCTTGCATCTGCATGCGCTGCGTACACTCGCAGTAGTCTGTTCAGAGGAGAACTTGCAGCGGACCAGCGCTGAACGGTATAAAGCCCACTGCCAGCGAAGAGATTCGGCATGGGGAGGTGGGGCGGCCGCGAGGCCCTTGATTCCGCAGAGTGGCTTGTGACTGGAGCTTTGCCCAAAGCTTTGCTCATCACCCTTCTGCCGTAAAAGTCCTTCTTGCAGGCGCAAGTGGCAGAGTCAGTCGAAGCAGAAGGAGCCTGCTTATGACGAATATGCTGGGGCTGCTGACTGCTGGCACCTAAACGTTTTTGAAGAATGCACGAGCGTCAGGACATCATACCGGCAGATGCCTTGCTGCAACTTCATATCTCTCGGTTGATTCTGCAGGGTGGGGGGAGCATTTTGGAGTCGTGCAGCATGGAAGAGAATGCAGCCTCTGCGAAGAAAGAAACTCAGGGAAACTGTTTGTCTGGGAACAGCTACAAAGTTCCATGCTGAGGATCAGGAGCAAGCCGAGAAGTCTGGACATCCACGGCTTGGGACTTGGGACGTACTTTTCTCGACTCTTTCTGTTTGAGACTGCCCAGATGTGCCTAGGAGTCTGCTCCGAAACTGTGTGGGCTACTTCGTCGATCGCTCAGCTGAGCTGGGGCTACCACTGCCGGAGGCCGGGGGGATGCAGAAATCCCAAACGCACGCTGGAGGACAGTCGTTCGACGGTCTCTTCACAGCGTACTGGCTTGTCCAGAAACTTCTTGGTGAAAGTAGGCTTGTCACCCAATGCAGTTGCAGCAACATTAGCAGCTAGTGTTAGCCGGTTGGTGTTGTTCTGATCCAGATCACACCACGAGGGCAGAAGTTGAGGAACATGCTGGTTGGACGAGTTTGCATAACGCAGCGCAGATGAACTTTACATTTCGAGTGCAGCCGAGAACCACTAGTTGACTAGTTGAATTGGCCCCACTCCAGACGAGCTGTCTAGGTTATTTCACTCTGCATGCCTGACTTGCCCCACTTGGCCACTTGGTGCTTCATGATCAGTCGGACCGCTTGTCCCACTTCCCACTTGCTCATGCCCAAGCGGGGAAACGGAGCAAGTGGGGTACGTGGTGCGGGGCGAGTGGGGCAGTGCGGCAAGCAGCACATCCAAATCCAAACAGCTCCCCCACGCACGCTGATTGTCGGATAGTCGCTCACCAGGCATTGCGCACGGGCCATCGGTCTAGTGCTGGCGAGAAGCTTTGCAGCAGCAGTTCCATGCGAAGACCGTGCACACTGCACGAATGAAGGACATGCAGTTGCCGTGGCTTTTGCGAAACCAAGGATCCTGCTGCGCATGCGCCTGTCCTATCTGGATCGTGGCAAGGACGGCGCGCACACACACACACACCATGCCAGCCTTTCTGTGAGAGACCCCATGCCAGGATGCGATGTTTGCCATGGCGCTCAATCCACCCTCCTCGGAAGACCACGGCACCCACTTGCAGGCCACCCAAAAAAGCACTGATTGCAAAATTCTACAGATAAAGGCGAAGGCATGGCTGGCGCTCAACCGGCCAACGTGATTATTCGCTTGTGGCAATTCGGTAGGACCGGATGGGAGCACGAGGAGAGCAAGGGCAGTGAGCTGGAACGTATCAACAACTGGCTACCAGCTAGACTCCGCACGAGCATGCATTTTTCCAGTCTTTTCTGGCACATCTTGAAACGGTAGGGCCGGCTTGGTTTCTTTTCATCCGCTTTGAACCGCTTGCCTGGCTCAGCTTCTGCAGATTGATCAGTGTCGCAGTTTCTTCCATGGCATCTGCAAGGAAACGCTTGCAAGAGCTCTTCGAAAAGTATGACACCTCAGGAGACGGAACCATGAGCGAGGATGAGATGGTTGCTCTCTTGTCGAAGTTCCTTGGGATTCCTGGCTCCAGGGCCCGAGACTGGTTTAAGGCCGCAGATGGAAACAAGGATGGTGTCGTCCAGGTGCACGAGTTCATCTCGTGGCTCACCAAGAACCCACCCATGCATTCTGTGCAAGAGAAGGTCACAGAAAGTGGGAAGACCGTTGTCCAGGCGACTATTGTCAACACTTCTGGAGCTGTGGGACAAGTGTTTACCTTCACGATCAAGAACCACCAAAATGTAAGTTTCCCAAAGGGAAACCCGGTGACAGTGGTTGTGAGGCCAGGCGAACAGGTGACAGAAACGCTTTTGGAGGTTGAGGCCGAGCCCTTCAAGTATCAGTGGTTTCCAGCAACCTATCGTTCTGACTGGACTGGGGTTGAGGATGATCCAAATGCCTTCAGAGATCCCGGCTTCCCTCACCATGATTCTAGCATCTTGGATCCAAGTCGAGAGAGCCTGAAGCTGGGTAAGACGGAGCAATGGATGCGCGCACGGATGCTGGGAGATCCAGGGGAAGCGGTGCTCTTTGATGGAGTCCGACCGCAAGACGTTCAACAGGGCCACGTGGGAGACTGCTGGTTGATTTGTGCTTTAGGTGCATTGGCCACACATCCTGAAAAGCTGAAGAGCTTGTTCCACAGCAAGCATGTTCCCGAGGACGGCAAGTACCGGGTTTGGCTCTTTGACATCTATGAGAAGCGATGGACCCAAGTAGAGGTTGACGAGTTTTTGCCTTGTGAAATCAAGGATGGAAGACCCATTCCGACATTCGCTCGGCCTCTCGGGAACGAGCTTTGGGTTTTGCTTCTTGAGAAGGCCCTGGCAAAGTTTTGCGGCAGCTATGGGAAGCTTAGTGCGGGATTCCCGTGCTGGGCATTTCAGGTGCTCACCGGGAAGATCGATTTCGTTGCCTTCCTGAAGCAAGGAAGTGGCTGGCGCAAGTGTCAGCCAGAGACAAAGATCACCAAGGAGGATGCCAGAAACCCCAGGTTTGGGCAAATGAGGTACAGTGGATGGGGCTCCTGGGGCAAGGACGACCTCTACAAATTCCTGAAGTCCCATATTGAAGACAAGCACGTCTTTGCGTGTTCAATTCAACGGAAGGGTGCAGGTGTGGAGGCGAAGCTGGCAAACGGCTTGCTGTGCCACCACGCATACGCACTGCTGAAGATCATCTCTGAAACCTTGGACGATGGGAGTCCCGTGAGGCTGGTGCAGCTGGCCAATCCGCATCACACCGGGGAGTGGAAGGGTGATTGGAGTGACTACCAGATCACCAACAGGGAACTCGCATCCCGGCGCTGGGCTGAAAACCCGGAGTTGACTAAAAGGATTGGAGCCATCCGCTCTGACGATGGCACCTTCTTCATGTCCTTCGATGACTGGGAGGCAAACTTCACCAAAGTGGTCCTTTGCCCAGTTGGCAGCAAGCCCATTCCTTTGGATGAGGCTACAGACGATGCAGATGATGATGAGGAGCCACAAGGATTTTTCTCCAGTTTGTTTGGGTGGTAGGATCTGACGAGGAGAAGCCCAAACTCTTGCGGCCAAAGTACTGCTGCAAGTGCTGTTGGCTTTGTTGTGCGTCTCACTGGTATCACTTTCCCTGCTGTACTCGAACAAATCTTGGATTGCGGCAGGGCACGTAGGAAATCTTCCTAAGCAATCGCACATGTTGAGCCGAAAGGGTGTAAGTTCAAAGGCTTTGGTGTTGTAAGTTGTTGGGAGCCTGGAGCACCCCTTGCGTCCTGAAATGGCAGGTGGATGGCGATCCGAACTTTCACCTGCAGCATCTCTGGGATGATGTGGCGGACGTCCGGCGTGACCTCGTGGAGGTTTCCAGGAAGCACTTATGACATCAGTGGTGGGCTTGATGACGTTGCGAATATAGCCGGTGCTTGCAGAACCCTGGATCACAGATGGGGTGTGCGAAAAGGGGGGACCCTAAAATAGACCCACCAAATGGTAGGATCCCCTTATACTAAGGACCCCAAGAAGGTACCCCTAAGATTCGAATATCGTAAACCCGCCAGACGTGTGTGTAGAGAAGTTTAAAGGGTCTCAGGATGCCATGAGCTGCGTGTCCAATTTCCTTGTCTACATCCTGCAGTGGCGATCGTTTCTGGTGACCCTTGGGCTGAACCTGAATCTGGAAGGGCACTCCAGAGTCATTAAGACTCAATAAGCATCAAGAAGAGTTACTAAGAGCTAGAAAGAGTTACTAAGAGTTGCTAGGAGTTACCAAGAATGCCTCAGAGTTACCAGGAGCTACTAAGAGTTACCAAGAGCTATTAAGAGCTACTAAGAGCTACAGCTTGGATCTGCTAAAAAAGGACGGCAGTCTTTGCATGCCAGGTCCCTGCCAGGCCCCGCTAGGCCCTGCTCGGCCATGCTAGGGCTCCTCTCATGTGCTAGAGCTCCAGAGCCCCCTCCAGTTTCCAGGTGCGTGTGCAGGCTTCATGAGAGCTGCCGATCAGCACACGAACACAAGTCTTGAAAGACAGCAGAGCAAAGGCTCCGTTCTCCAGTTATCCCCGTACATGTCAGCATTGATGGACAGGCATGCATGCGTGACACTGCATGCAGGACCGGCACTCTTTTAACTTTGCTGGTGGTGCCTCTGGTGTATTCTGCGATGCATCCCCATCGACGAAACATGTGGCTGCTGTCCGCTGTGCTGCCTGGAGTGCTGGCCTTCCTCTTACTGCTTCTGCCGGGCGCATAGACTATCTGGACGCTGCACCTGTGAACCAAACTGTTTCACGCAGATCCCTTGCAAAGGTCGTGTCCCAGACTTCGAGCTTCCATGGTGCATGGTGGCACAAACGCCCCGTTGACACAGGAAGGCCGCTGGCTCAGCATGCTGGAATATGCTACAAATCAATCGTACGAGGCTATTCATGGAGTCAGCTTCCTCCACATGCCCCAAGGTTTTGCTAGTACGGCAGCCTGGAGAGATAGCGTGCCTCGTCTGACTTGGGGCGAGGGGCACTAAGCCGTCACTGGCTTGGTTGACTTGGCCCTTGTTGCCCCTCATGTTTGAAGTCTCCGAAAGCCATCGACAGCCAGCGTGTGGCCGTGTGCATGTCGTGCGGTGATGCCTCGGCAGGCCCAGATGGTGACTTTTTTGAGCAGAATCATCGCTGATCTTCAGGAGCTCGGTCCTGCAAAATGTCCTGCGAGCAGTCCCTCTGTCGAGACACGATTGCGTGGCAATTGGTTCCCACATGTTCCCACCAGGGGATCGTGAACGATGATCATGAGCTCCAGTCCTTGGCTGCGCGCTGCTTCCGGGATGGCAAGCCGCGGCTCACGCTTTCAGAGCTCAGGAGCCAGTTGCAGCCGCGTGAGCCACGCTCTGTCCATGTGTTGATGCAGTTATGAAATCTCGTTCATGCGCACACCATGCAGATCAGAGAGAATCAGCAGCGCAGCATGCTGCAGATTTCGTGAATGCTGCCCTGCCACGGTTCAATGCTGAAGCGAAAGCTACACCCGCAGCTTTTGGACACAAGCAGGGCAGCACCAGCGGTACAGTCAGCATCCATCTACGCGCAGGAGTCTGCTGAAAGGGGCGCACTGGGTGAACATCGCCAGCTGCTGAATGAACCTCGGAATGGCTGCCAAGTGTCACAAGCATCTCTGCAGCCACTCAGGCCGTTGCTGAGCCTGATGCAGCAGACAAGGCACCGGAATGAAACTCAACAGCGAAGCGTATCATGTGTGGGCAGGGACAGGCATAATGTTCGGTGCTAAGGCTTTCAACCAAACCCAGAACCCCCGGTGCAAGCCCCTGTTGTTTTGGAGGCCGGCGGAAAGCCATTGCTGCTTCGGGAGGGCTTCTCTGGCACACGGCTTCTGCCCGGAGACTTGGCAGCTTGGCGAAAAGCGAGAAGCATGTGTGGCACTTCAACTAAACCTCTAGCCAACCAAAAAGCTTCACCGCCTGACCGCCCACCCAACTTTGCATCAAGACCATGCAGCCTCAACGATCCTTTGAGCCTCGAACCGGCGACAGGTACTGGAGGTGTCGGGTTTAAGGGTAAACTTGAGCTTAGTCACAGCTTGCGTGCCGCGTGGACACATAAGCAGTGCAAGCTTGATGACACTGCTATCATGCTCATGTTGCATGAAAGGTCCTTGTCGACCACTATGCTCGCGCAACTGTCAAATCCGTTGAGGATCCATTTGTTGTCGTGGCTCAGATGCATGCTGAAGCTGGCTGTGTGTCTGAAGGTGCCCAGGTGTGCACGCAATGTTCCTAAGCGCAATGTTTTGATTGCTGTAGCTGTGCTTTAAGTATATCTCAGGTTAGACTGAGGCGGTGCAGTGAGGATGTACTGCAGAGGGACTCACGAAGCTGTCTTTCAGACCTGTGTCGGAACATAATTAGGTGGAGTATGACGACCCGGAGCACTTGGATTTGATTAGGGGCGAGCAGGCTCGTTGCGCTGTTGGCAGAAACGGGGTGCACAGTTCCCCACCCCCGCCAGTTCTCAGGTGGGTGGCCAGACGACTACCTCATCGATGGAGAGGCCTGGCGTTGCCGACCGCTTGCACACAGCACCGGCCAGAAATCGATGTCCCCTTTTCCCAAAGTCTCAGAAAGCAGGCCACAAGAGCCACAAGTCTACGAGACGCTTGTCCCTTCGGGATCCCATACGGAGGCGTGATGGCAGCAACGGGAATCCAAAAGTGAAAGCCTGCTCACCTATAATCTCTTCCCAGGCTATTCTGGCTCCGTCGTCCAGCTCCAGCTCGCTGCCTCAATGGGCCCTTTCAACTCCTTGGTTTGTGAACATGTGTTTCGTTGACTGGGAAGGAACTCTGGCATCTTTCAGGCGCAGAACAAACTTGAGATTCGGAATTCTCGTCTACGGGCTTTTCGCAGAACAAACTAAAGGCATCCTGCGCCTAGCTGTAGGTTTTGCCATCAACACCATGCTGCCATGCGAAGCACCCTCCCCAGATTAACTGAAGCATCACATGTCTTCTTGCCAAGGTTTCTTGGCAGAGGACGCACACTTGGTGATGCTCAAGTTCTTGAGGTCAAACTATATACTCCCAAGATAACGCACGCCTGCATGACAAGAGTTCGCGAGGTTCATAGTGAGTTGAGCGATGCAACATATCTTGGGTTTTTGCCATTCAGGTTTCCTAGGAGGGACGGCTTGCCAAGGCTTGCCAAGTTGTAAAGGCGTCTCGGTCGGGAAGCTCTTGTGCCGGCTCTACGAGCGGACGCCAGGAGAGACTTCCCAAAGCACGGCTGTCACTCCGACCACACGTTCCGGTTGTACCAAAGCAGTGGCCTCCCAAGTCTCAAGCTCACTATGTAAGCATGACTGTAAGTCGTGGAGCTTTGTTGCTTTGTTCAGTGTGATATCCGCTTGGCGTCTGACGTAGCACGGCAACCATCGCGCTGTGCTCTCTTGGAAGAGTGCTGAAGCAAGGTACATCCCGAACTACATGGCCGGCCATATCAAGTACACTTGCAACTCGCACTCAGAAAAATGGAAGTGGCTGCATTTAGCCGTATGTAATCAGCCTGGTGTGATGTACGCAGAGCTACAAGTAAAAGTCTTCGCGAGGTATCCTCGTGGACGATTGCAAGAGGCGCCTGTGCAACTTGGCTCAGCGTGCGACTTGCGTTGAGTCTGGCCATCCGCCCAGACCAACACCGAAAGCCCGAGGCCCATGGTTGCGCTATTGGAGTGGCGTCTTGTCCTGGCATCGATGGTGGGTTTCGCCCGGGACTTGGCCAGCAGTTCGTTTGGGCTCTGCGGTTACCATGCAGAAGTGAGCTGCTCATGTACTGCACAAGTATGCGGAGGTTGGCGCTGCTGCTGGGCTTGGGTCTGCTTTCGTTCGTTTCGCACCTTGGGCGCAAGAGCCGTGCTGCTCGTGAACCTGTGCAGCATGCTACGGCAGTTCGGGTACAGTAGCTGGTGCATGCTGGTGCAGAAGAATTGTACGTCCGAGTAAGCTTTGAAGTTAAGGTTATGATATTAGGATAGGTGAAGAGGTTGATAGAACACTGCACCAGGATGGCTGCCTTTATCTTGGAGCTCACCCACGATGTGGATTTGGCGAGTGAGTCTGCCCTGGCCAAGGCAGTGCTCAGGCGCGTTTGCAGGATTTTTTTTTGTTGTGTGTGTGTGTGTGTGTGGTGTGTGTGTGTGTGTGTACGCTCTGTTGACAAAGAGTTCTGAAGAGGCAACTTCATCAGGAGTCTCTGGTGCAAAAGCAGGGGGGTCACCCACGACCTTGACTGGTGACCCAACGAAGAGAGTCAAGTGTTCGTGCTGAAATCTGGCCTGATCAGCCAGACGTACCTGCAGTTTCACTCGCTGATTGCAATTTGCCGAGCTCGCAGAAATACAGCTCCGCAGCATTGACATTGACTGCACCCTAGGACTGTATGCTTTTGGTGGCAACGCCCCTTGCATGTCGAAAGCATCCGCCATGAAAGAAGCATGTGTCGCATTCAATCATTTCTTGCAAGATCGCTTCCCAGACGGAAACTGGACTTCCCTCGCAGTGATTCTGAACCCTCACATAGGGCTCCACCGCGACATGGGGAACATGATTGGCATGTGTGAACACCTACTAACCTCTCGAGGGTCGTCCCAGTGTGTATTCGGCTGGATCTCTGTCAAAGTGCCAGTCGTGAGGCTCGTTGGCCAGCAATTGAACTTAACACTTTGATACAAACATCCTTGATTTACCAACCATGATGCACAAAACCGTGATTCACCAACCTGAGAACCTTGATGCATTATCCTTGATTCAATATCCTTGATCCTTTATCCTTGATCCTTTATCCTTGATCCTTTATCCTTGATCCAAAGGTACGAGAAGCTCGTAAGTCCAACCGCGCCACAGCCATGTATCAGTTTCAGTTCTTCTGTGGTGGCGGTGGTGCGTCCAATATGCATTCTACTGTTCCATCGTATGCAGAGGGCCCGGCAAGATTCAGCGGTCCGAGAAGACCAGCACTGCCACCGGGCATGGAATCGAATGCTCCACCACCGAGACCACCAAGAGCTCATAGACAGAGCCCATATATGCAGTTTGACCGTCCACAACAGCCACAGGTTGTTCCTTTTGATGGTCCTCAGAACATGCAGTTTGACGCGCAGTTGTTTCACATGCATGATGCAGCTGTTCAGTTTGCAGACTCTTCAATGTTTACACCTCCGGAAATGCCGCCGCCGCCGCCTGGAGCAACTCGTCTTGTTCGACCGACATTTCCCCAAGTGGAAGAAGCCTCTGTTGACCCCGCCCCCATCCCCCTACCACCGCCGCCACCGCCGCCGCCTTTTATGTTCCCTCCCCCCCCACAGCCGGTTGCCCCACCGCCGCAACCTTGGGTTGAACCAACGCCCGTCCCTTGCCCCACCATGCCAAACCCTTTCCAACCTCCCCCCCATCCTGTTCCACCTTTTCCCGGTCAAGCCAACCACAATGTCCCACCCCCATTGCCAAAAGCGCCCCCAAGGCAAATTGCAGGCATTGGACCACCTCACCCCCTGCCACACCTGCCATCCAACCAAGGGGGAGACGAAGCAGTTACCATTCGCAATGCGGTTGACAGCGATGCGGGTATTGAAGCTTCAGGTCAGTCATGTGCGACAAATCTTTCGTTGACGCTTCTTACACAGATCAACCAAGCCGTTGCAGTTCATGGCACCAGATTTGATTACATTGATCCTTTGCAGATTCAGACAAAAGAGGATCGATCTATTTGGCTTCGAACTTCAGCCGAGATTTTCTCTCTCTTACTTCCCGATTCTTATGAGCAAGTGGTGCAGCATCTCATGTCGTTGGTCACACCGCTTGATCCAACTTTTCATATCGACTTGTCAGTCGTTCAACGCTTTGCCAAGATGATCGTGGCGTCGGGATGTGATTACAGAAAGGTTTTCCAGAAGAGAGCAGCTGTGATGAAAGATCCACACAACACAGTCGTTTGGCAGTTTCCTGTTGCCGGTTTTCCGCAGCCAACAACACTCCTTTCCGCAGGAAGCACGCAGTATGTGTTTTTCCATGGCACAAGCGAAGAAGGATGCATTGGCGTATTGAGATGTGGAAAAGTTTTGCGATCAACCACAGATGGCGTAGGCATGCCTCCTGGAAAGTTTTGCCTAGGGTTCTTTTGTAAAGCTATCGTGGGTTGGCCCACGCAGCAACAGACCGCAGCAGCAGCTACAGATATGTTCTTCCACGGCAAGAACCAGTATACAAGGAGTTGCCAAGGGATCGCACTACAAGCCACTGACAGCCGATACACATCGAGAACAGATATGGTTGCAGCGTTATCCGGTCATACACAGCTCTTCCAAAGATAAAAGATGGTGCATCAGGGAGGATGTTGCCCACATTACACATTTTAATTTGATCTTCAACTCCGATGAGGACTGGGGTACGTGGCAAGGAGTCTAATCCTTTTTTTTTGGGGGGCCTCCGAGGTGGTACGTGCAAAGGTCTGCGCTACAATGTTTCACCAAAATTCGCACACCATTTTTCCTTACATGACACTACCACAAACTCAGCCAAGCTATGCTGAGTCAGAGTCTCACCTTCGTCACAAAAGTCAGCATTGATAACTGCGCATCCCAGAAAGAAGACAATTGCGAGAGCGAGAGACTGAGAGCAGTGCATGTTACATGTCACGACAGTCATGCTGTTGCAGTTGTGA